ACCTGGCTGCAGCAAGAGGATTATGTGAGCATAAATGAGGCAACTCCTTCAAGCTATTTAAATTTTCACATCCCCAGAAGTTCTGGGCGAGGAGGAGGAGTAGCAACAATCTTCCAGTCTGACTTACTGATTACTCCCAAAACAATTAATACCTACAACTCTTTTGAACATTTAACCCTTAATTTCCCTGATCCAAATTTCAAGGCAAGAAAACCTCTTCTTTTTGTAACTTGGTATCGTCCACCAGGTCCTTACTCTGAATTTTTAGATGAGTTTTCAGAGTTCCTTTCTGATTTGGTATTAAATACTGACAGGGTCATCATAGTGGGAGATTTTAACATCCATGCTGACATTGAAGGCGATAGCTTAAGAGCAGCCTTTAATGCTATCTTAGACACTATTGGCTTTGTTCAAAATGTGAATAGTCCCACACATTCTCATCTTCATACTTTGGATCTTGTGCTGACATACGGCATAGAATGTGAAGAAATAACAGTATTTCCTCACAACCCTGTCCTCTCTGACCACTTTCCAATAACCTTCAGGATTACTTTAACAGAGTTCTCCTCCCCCAAAAGAAGGTTAAATTTTAGTAGATCTTTATCAGATAGTGCAGTTATAAATTTTAAAGAATCTGCTTCACTTTCTCTCTCCTCTGTGTCACTGAGCAGTGCTGCAGAGTGCAAAAGCATAGCTTATTCCCCTTCACAGGTTGATGATTTTGTTGATGGGGTTGCTAGTTCTCTGCGTATTGCCTTAGACAACGCAGCTCCTTTGAAAATGAAAACCGTTAAAAATAGAAAGCTTGCTCCTTGGTTTAATGCAGAGCTGCGTACTTTGAAGCAAAATGCTAGGAAACTGGAGAGAAAATATCGCTCCACAGGCCTGCGAGAGTCCTTCCTAGTCTGGAAAAATGGTTTACTGCTGTATAAGAGGACCCTTTGTAAAGCAAGAGCAGCATACTTCTCCTCATTAATAGAGGAGAATAAGAATAATCCTAGATTTCTTTTTAATACAGTTGCCAAACTCACCCAGAGCCATAGCTCTGTTGAACCGTCCATTCCACCTGCTCTTAGCAGCAATGATTTTATGGGATTCTTTATAAATAAGATTGATCTTATTAAAAATAAGATCATAAGCACTCCTCTATCCGCGATTGTACCTGAGGTAGTCATGGAATCTGAACCGGGTTTAGACTGCTTTGATCCAGTTGAACTCTCTGAATTAGCAAAATTATTGTCTTCATCTAAGCCTTCAACTTGTATGTTAGATCCAGTTCCAACCAGGTTATTTAAGGAGGTATTCCCTTTGATCTCCTCCTCCATTTTAGATGTGATTAATCTATCTCTGTTACAGGGATATGTACCTAAAGCTTTTAAGGCTGCTGTAATTAAACCTCTGCTTAAGAAACCGTCTCTTGACCCAGATGACTTGGTCAATTATAGACCTATATCCAATCTTCCTTTCTTATCCAAAATTCTTGAGAAAGTAGTTGCCAAACAAGTTTGCGATCACTTCCACCATAATGAACTTTTTGAAGAGTTTCAGTCTGGCTTTAGAGCTCATCATAGCACTGAAACAGCTCTGGTGAAAGTCACTAATGATATTCTCATGGCCTCAGATAATGGACTTGTATCTGTGCTCGTCCTGTTGGATCTTAGTGCTGCATTTGATACAGTTGACCATAATATTCTTTTAGAAAGACTTGAATATTTTGTTGGAATTAAAGGAACAGCACTAGACTGGTTTAAATCTTATCTATCTGATCGAATTCAGTTTGTTCATGTTAATGATAGATCTTCAACACGCTCAAAGGTTACCTGTGGAGTACCACAGGGATCAGTGCTAGGACCAATTCTCTTTACTTTATACATGCTCCCAATTGGTAGAATTATTAGACAGCATGGGATTAATTTCCACTGTTACGCTGATGATACCCAGCTATATCTGTCTATAAATCCAGATGAAGCTAACCCATTACATAGATTACAGGCATGTCTTGAAGACATAAAACCCTGGATGACTCTTAACTTTCTGCTTCTGAATGCAGACAAAACAGAAGTTATAGTCTTTGGACCAGAGTCTCTGAAAAAGAAACTGATTAGCCAGTCACTTCATTTGGATGGGATTAAACTGATTTCAGATAATAAAGTAAAAAATCTTGGTGTTATTTTTGATCAGGACCTGTCATTTAAATCCCATATCAAAGAGGTTTCTAGAATTTCCTTCTTTCATCTGAGGAACATTACAAAAATTAGAAATATCCTGTCCAGGGGTGATGCTGAGAAACTAGTCCATGCATTTGTTACTTCAAGGCTGGACTATTGTAATTCTTTACTATCAGGAAGTCCACAAACTGTAGTTAAAAGCCTTCAGCTGATCCAAAATGCTGCAGCCAGAGTTCTAATGAAAATGAAAAAGAGAGATCATATCTCTCCTATCCTGGCTTCTCTTCATTGGCTTCCTGTTAAATCAAGAATAGAATTTAAAATCCTCCTTCTCACATATAAAGCCTTAAATGGCCAAGCTCCATCTGATATCAGAGATCTGATTGTTCCTTATGTTCCTAACAGAGCACTTCGCTCTCAATCTGCAGGTTTACTAGTGGTTCCTAGAATTTCTAAAAGTAGAATGGGAGGCAGATCTTTTAGTTATCAGGCTCCTCTCCTGTGGAACCAACTACCAGTTTTAGTCCGTGAGGCAGACACCCTGTCTACTTTTAAGGCTAGGTTTAAAACTTTCCTTTTTGATAAAGCTTATAGTTAGGGTGGCTCAGGTTATCCTGATATATCTCTATAGTTATGCTGCTATAGGCTTAGACTTTTGGAGGACATAGGGACCCCCATTTCATCATTCTGCTTCATTCTCTCTCTGTTCTCCTATTCTCCAGAATCTGTTAGTTCAATCTCTAACCTTCTGCTCTCTCTGCTTTTCCTCAGAGTAGCTTTGCCTCGTCTGTTCCTGTTTGGCTGTGACGTCATCCTGGAAAGAAACATCAGCTGTGCTGCTTCTATCAACACCCTTGTTTATAGATGTTGGAGATCGGCCTGTTTTCCAGTGTGGTCCTGTTTCTCTGACCGTGACTGGCTGGATGTGCTCTCTTCGTCCTCTGGCATGGGAGCTGCCTTGGAGCTCGTCTGCCTGGCTGTGTGTTTCCTGGACAGGGCCGCCTTTTACAGCTGCTTTTTCTATGTCTGCTTCTGTCTCCTTGAACCCCAGTCGGCCTCGGCAGATGGCCGCTCACACTGAGCCTGGTTCTGCTGGAGGTTTCTTCCTGTTAAAAGGGAGTTTTTCCTCTCCACTGTCGCTACAAGCATGCTTAGTGTGGGGGATTGTATTTGAGTCAATGAGTCGATGCAATCAACTGGTTTTCCTTAGATAGAAAACTTTGTATCAATTTGACTGTATGATCTGGTTGAACTGTAAAGTGCCTTGAGATGACATGTGTTGTGAATTTGGCGCTATATAAATAAACTGAATTGAATTGAATTGAATTATATGCTTCTTGATCTGATTGGTTTATTTGGCCCGTCTATCACCAACATAGGCCAATCAGCTAACCAGTATTTTCGCCCCTTCCCAAAATTACTTCAACAGAAGGTTTCCAGATGGATATGCGGAGCCAGGTTAGGTGGCGGGTGGAAGTGGATGTTAGAGTTAAACAGGTATGTGGTACAAACTTTCTCACCAGAATAATAGAGGCAAACATATTTTGCTGGCAAGTTTCAACATTATAAGTTAATTTAGGTCTGTGTCTGTCTCCCTGTCAGTTCCACAATCAGCTTCTCTAATTGGGTGATGAGGCGCATTGAGCAACAAAAGTAACATTTTTCTAACTCCAGTAGCTGCAGCGTGTGAAGCACGTCATGCACATCAGAAGCTCATGAGGTGTTGCTTCAGCTGCTCTAGACATGCTGCAGGACCTTTTGATAGCGCCTTGATGCACCTCAACCATGTAAACCAGCTGCTTCTGCTGCTTAAAGCACGTTAGGCGTACAATAAGTTTATTAGTTGCCATCTGGCTTTCTTGTCATTCAGCAGCACTCCCAGCAGGTGGCGCTTTTTGTCTTTTTATGTATTTTCATTGCACATGGTGCTGGAATCAAAAAGGGTCTAAACAAAATCAGGACCTTGATATATGAAATCTTATTTTATCAGGATCATATCGCTTTTCTGGTACATTTTGGAAATACAGAATGTGTCTATGCACTTAAACTGTCAATAATTTTAGGCTGTAAATCATTCACTGAACTCTGTCTCTAGGTTTAACTGTTTTAACAATTGCAATGATCTGGTTAAAGTTATAATTCAAAGTGGTCAAATAACAGTTTGACTCTTCCAGATTCCTCTACTTTTGCTTTTTCTGTCAGAGATATTCCAAATAAAACTTTTCCATGAATAAGATGAAATAAACATATTCACTAAGGAGGAAAAAGGATGAAATAAACTTTGATCCATGTAAATAAAGTAAATGCAACCTTTCTGTGGCCATTTTTTAGACTGCTGTGTTTCTGAAATAGGATGTGAAACCATCTGACCTTTGACCTTGTGACAGGAAACCAACTGACCTGAATAAACTGATTCTGCTTAGAAGGAGTGACGGCTGCAAGATGGCTGAGCTGCAGCTGCTTATAAGGCTGCATGTATCAGACATGGGCAATGTGGCGTCAACAAGTCATCTCCATGTCATGTATTTAATCTACCCAGCCAATTAACCAGATGAGTCCAATCTTCACAGGTTAATTCACGGTGAAGATTGGACTCACCTGTTTAATTGGCTGGGTAGAACAAATACATGACATGGAGATGACTTGTTGACTCCACATTGCCCTTGTCTGGCATGTATACATTTAAGCCTGAGTGATTTTAATCATGGCGGCTGTTCAGTCATTAAGGCTGAAGGGAATACTGGAGGTTAAAATGGAATTTTCCCCTCAGACTGAAGGCCAAAGACACATGATGCGTGTTTGATGTCGGCTGTTTGTGCAAAAGGTACCAACCAGGAGACCTGAGCAGATCTTCTACCCTCGACACTCAGCATGAAGGTGGTAAAGTCTATCGATCAGCGTCGCCTCCAGGTGTTTGAGAACCGGCAGGTCCTGGTCCGGTCCCGATCCAGGCGGCGTCGCTGAGCCAGGGGAGAAAGATTCCTTTCTGATGGTACCGAGCAGCAGGCGGTGGAAGTCCTCTCTGTCCAGGAGCTGGTCCATGTTCTGCAGGAAGAACCCCTCACAGAACCTGCAGAGTTCAGCTGCTCCATGGTGCTGCAGACAAACGCAGGAACTTTAGACATACCATCGATTTGACCCATCTGACAGGTTTAAACCAGTTTTATATTTGGAAATCTCCTCCTCCTCTCTGAGGTTAAATTCAACTGACAGACACATTCTGTCAGTTTGAGGGTTCTGATCAGATGGTTGCGTTTCTGTACCTTGGCGGTCTGATAGACGCTCACGGCATTATCCAGAGTCAGACTCTGAGACAGCATCACCTCACAGCATCTCTGCAGACCTCGGAGTTGGAAGAAAAAGGCCACAGGCAGCAGCTGCAGAACAAAACATTAAAGATAAGCAGAGATGACGTCATCAAACCAGCAGGTAGACGATCCACCTGACTGACTCACTTCTCTTTGAATTGGAAACAGAACAAGAAGCAACCAGCTGTAGAACTAAACCTGTCTGTATTGATGGGGGATTTGGATGAACTCTCTGCTGGTTAATCTGTCTCCTTGAACTAAGAAGGTTTTGGGTTTGAATCCAAGTGACTGACTGCATCTATCAGCAGTTGATGTAAAATCAGCCCTCCTGTCTGAACATCTCTGTTCTGGCTCTGAAAGCCTGTGGGTTCTACCTTCTTGGCTTCAGCAGGAAGGATCTTCAGCCCGTCGGTTCCTCCACAGTACAGAGACCTCATCACCATCTGGAGGAGCAGAGACACAAACCCGTTTATCAACAAACCAGTCAGATCTGACCCAATCTTCAGGAACCAGGAGTCCGATTCCCACCTGGAAGGTGCCATACGTCATGTGGCTGATGTGGATGATGTTGTCTGGCGAATCTGCCAGCATCTGCCGGAACCTGACGGGTCCAAAAATACACAGTAAGTTCCATTTGAAAGAGTGCAGATGTTCCGGACCGGCTCAGAATCTGTCCTCTGTGTGAACCAACCGTTCAGAGGCGGACATCAACAGCACCCGATGAGCGAAGAACGGACGGCCTTCCACCATGAACGTCACATCTGACATCTCCTTGTTGTTCAGGAAGCGGATATCTGGCAGCAGAGCAGAAACGATCAACTGTCGGCCCGATTCAGCAGAACAGAACCTGCTTCCTGGCAGCAGTGAGGAGAATTACCCAGCTGAGTGGACCGAGCCACGTCCACCGGTGGAACGGCGGGGACCGGGGAGCCGCCGTAGCAGTGAGACACCAGCAAGGCCAGCTGCTTGGTCAGAGCGTAGTCCTGCAGAGGAACCGGCGTCAGAACAAGACGTCACTCAAACCTGCAGCAGTTCTCATTTCTATTGGCTTCCTTTAAAAAAATCGCCTGATATATTTGGCTGATCTTTTCTTCCACTGCAAAGTTATTTATTTATTTATTTATTTCACAAAGGTTTAAATGGTTTTATGTGTTTTAAAAATCAGATTCAAACATTGAAGGACTCCTTTGATCTCATAAATTTGACCTGATTTAAATACAAATTGGTCAAAATCAAAAGTGTGTATTTTAGTTTTTTTAAAGATTGATAATGAGCCAGAAAACTGCAATAGTTGCACCGCTGCTAAACAGTGACTGGTTCCCAGTGGAGGGGAGGAGGCCTACCCTGCTGGTGGCCAACAGGCTGAACAGGAAGGGGATCCCTGCAGACAGCAGCTCGGGGCTGAAGTCCTCCGTCCTGATGGAGGGGAAGTCGCTGAGGAGGCGGAGGGTGACTTGGTTTCTGCCGAGCTGCTGGGCCCTGCGGAGCGACTCCAGCCAGGTGTGCAGCTTCCAGCGGACGCCTGGTCAGAGCACAGAGACGAGAGCAAAACAGGACTTTCACTGATAGAGATGACTCAGCATAAATCTGATCCCTGCATCCAAGACGGTTTTTTTTTGCAGCATCAAATACTCAGCCTGTTTTTCTATTAAAATAATTAAGAATTATAAATCTTCTCACTGACGAGCAATTCTTTTAAGTTAATATCTTTAAATCTATTAGACAATATCAAAATAAATGTTTTTTTTTTTTCTGTAGAGGACAGGAGACGGAGAGCAAATGCTGCCCCTAAAAAGAAACATTTTATCGCAGGCATGGAGTGGAAGAGATGCCGAGTTTGGAAGTAGAGAACAAACCAATTTTGCTTGTACCTAGTTAACCCCATTAGAAAGATCCACAAGGAAATATTTGCTGATTGGGACTTTTTTTATCGTTTCATATTAGATTAAGCACTTGTTACCTCCTATTGTGTTCCAATGAATTAACAAATAATATTGTGCATGCTCTCCTCAAGCTCGAAGGAACTTGGAGTGAAGCTAGATGGGAGGAACTGTCAAGGCTGTAGGCGCTCTGGAGCGGAACGGGGCGCGGGGGTTATGGGGGATGTGGGATTTCAAGGTTAATATACTTAAAGCTAAGGTACGAGGCCATAGAAAGCTGGGATTCCTCTGTTTCCTTTATAAAGTTCCTCGCAGAACACAAAACACAAATGTTCTGCATGAGTTCAGGTAGAAGATAATCTTGGATCGATGGATTCAAACATTTCTGAGCCGATACCCACATAGAAACAGTCGGAACGTTCTTTACAGCTGGAAGCAGCTCAGAGCGGAAGGAAAACAGAGGAGCAAACTGACTTCCTGTTGACTGAAAAGGTCAAACTGTTAAGAAGAATGTTGGAAGTTGAAGATTATCTTTGACTTGATTCTCTTCCATCTGGGGGTTTGGGTTTCGTTTCGGTCTGCAGAACTGATACAGAAGTGAGGATGACTAGAGATCTTCCTCTCACCCATCTCTCTCAGCTCCATGGTAACATCCAGGTATCCGTGCTCTGCGCTGTAATACGCCGCCTGCTGCAGAGCTTTCATCGTGGCTTTAGACGCGGAAGGAACCGCGCTCAGGGAGCCTGCCGCCGGATGCCGGGTCGGGTCCTCGGGCTCCTCCACTCCTTCAGCCAGGATCTCCTCAAGAGATAGGATGTCCTCTTTCCTGTGCGGCGGCTGAAGCAGTAGTCTCCTCACGATGTTCCTGCAGAGGAAAAAAAAAAAATGCATCTCAGAGTAAAACCGGCAAACCCAAACGTCCCTCTGGAGGCGAGCAGCACCTGTGTCCATGAGCTGCGGCGTAACTGAAGCAGTTCATGTCCTCGAACAGAGGGGGCGTCAGCGAGGTCCCATGGTGCGCTCTGAGCAGAGGGTCCGCTCCATGAGTGAGCAACAGGCAGACCATCTCATAGTTACCTAACAGGAGGAGACGATCCTCAACATCAGGAATATGAAGATGAAAAACCGAGGAAGTTACAGAGAAAGTTTCTCTTCTTTCACTAAAGACCTGCAGCTGCTGCAAGCTGCAGCGGCGTTTCCGCTGAGCTCTCCACTCCGTCCAGCAGGACTCCGCCTTCAACATCGGCAGCAGCCTCTAGCAGCAGCTGCCAGAGGAGAGACGGAGTTCAACAACCAGCTGTGGCTCCAGACAGGCTCAAACGGGGGGGGTAACTTTAGCGCTCACCTGAGCCACACAGAAGTGACCGTGCAGCACGGCAAACGTCAGCGCCACCCAGTGCCGACTGCCGGGATGAACAGAAGGGTGTCGGAGAGAGTTGGCAGGGACCTGAATGGAAAGGAACAACATCTGTAGAGAGAGTTCCATCATACCAAGAAAGGTCAGCGCGCCACTACCTGCAGGTTCAGGTGGGCTCCGGCCTCCACGAGCATCTGCACCATAGCTTCATCTCCTGCTGCAGAGGCGTACATCAAAGGCGTCATTCCCTGCAGGAACAAACAATGCAGAACGATTGGGGGAGGTGTTAGCCTAATGGGTTAGAGCAGTGTTTGTGCTGTGAGACGGTTGCAAGTACCCACAGCCTGCATTCTGGGTTCCTGAGCAAGACCCTTAACCCCACACTGTTCCATGCTTAATAAAGGGATTTACACTTTCTGCAGATAAATCCTCCTCATCAGGTCAAATTTCTAACAAGTAAAAACTAAATGAAAATGCAAAAAACCATAAAGAAGCAGGCCTGCCCTCTGCTGGCTGCTAAAAGTGATTACATCTTGGCTGATGGTTTTTGCTCAGGATCAGAAATAAATAAAACTTTTAAAACGGCATTAAAAAAACATAAAAATATACAGCATTTTAAAATAAATAAAACGAGAAAAAAATGTTCTAATTGTGACTGAGTTTAACCAAGTGCTGAGAGCTTCACCTGCCACCCATCCAGCCACGATATCGCCTCTCTTCATCTTTTCCAAACTTTATCACAGGCATGAAATCTATTTTTTATTTAGTGGAAAAAAACAATAAAGCTGCTGGACTAAATAAACAAACGTAGAGGTTAACATGTTAAAACCGGATGTGTGATTGAAACCCAAACCTGGTCGTCCATGGTATTGATGCCATCTGCGCCCAGCAGCCGGGCAGCCTGCTGGACCAGATCTGCTCTGCCACATGAGAGCATCCGGAAGCCCAGGTCCAGGTGGAACTTTCCTGAAGCAGCTGCAGCATCCAGACATTTGAAGGACTGGAAGCAACACTCAGACCTGAAGGAGAACAACAAACATCAGGATCTCTTTGCAGGATTGATGAATAAAGAGAGGATTGAAGAATCTCTGACCTTAGCTGTCTGGGCTCACAGTCCAGTCCTGGGAGGAGCAATCGGGCTCCCTGCCTGACATCATCACTGTCCACCAATAAGCTGCGGCGATGTTCGGCGTGCACCACGGCAACCCTAATCCACTCCATGAGAGGAGGGAGGAGCAGGAACGGCCTGAACGGAGACCAATCATAAAGGCAGGAGGTCAAACACAACGTCCAGAGCTGGGATCATCAGAGGGCAACGCAGGCGCACCGTTCTCTGCTCAGAATCACAGCCGGGGGCTCCAGGTTGGGGTTCTCCAGGGATTCCATGTGCGGGTTGGACAGGAAGTAGTAAAGAGAGCGGAGGGCGGAGGAGGCCCATGAAACTGAGGGCTGGCGAACCGGACCGGCGCCGCCGACAGCAGGGCTGGAGGTTCGCAGACGCTGCATGTGGTGCATCGCTCGAGACACAAGGTCACCTGGAGGACAGAGACACTGATTAACTGGAGGTTCTGCAGCTTCTTCCCACTGATTGAATTAAAACAAACTGCTTTAAAAAAAAAAAGGATACAGTCTTAGCCCTTTATGTAAAAAAAAGAAAGAAAATTACATATAATTCTAAAGACTCAAATTTTAGTTCAATTATTATTAATAATAATAATAATATTTCAGGTGACAAGTAGTGACCAGCTGCTGTTCATCAAAGCATTGAAAAAGTCATCACCATGGCGACCAAAAGGAGGACATCTACTAATGTGTTACAAGAAAGAAAAAAACATGAGCAATAATTATAGAAAGAACTGCAGCTGAAAACAGGATCATAAAGGGCTTTTCCAGGAGCAGGTCCTACAGAGGAGCTGTGTGCAGCGCTGACATCTGAAAGCAAAGGCAATGTTTCATTTCATTTTCTCTGCTTCTTTCTTTATGCATGCTCCTGTCTCCTTGAACCCCAGTCGGCCGAGGCAGATGGCTGCTCACAGGACAGGTCACCAGTTGATCGCAGGGCAACACAGAGACACGCACACACTCACACCTAAGGAGAATTTAGAGAAGTTAATAAACTAACAGTCATGTTTTTGGAATATGGGAGGAAGCCTAAATCCTGTTAGGCAATGATTATTTTTGATTTCTCAGAGTTGCTGCTTTTGAAGAAGCTTCCTTGTTGTTGGACGTATTTTTATTTTTTTTTTACAAACCGTTTGGAGCTTAATCTAAGATGTTAATTATTTTCAAACTTGACAAAGATTAGATTAAACTCATTGTTCTCTGGTCCTTTAGAAACTTTACTTTGGATAGAGCTCATTGTTAGAGGGACTGAGGTTATCCTGAGACATCCTGCTATAGCCTTCAGCTGCTGGAGGACATACTGAACATCTTTCTCTACATCAGATACGACTATTGTCTCCTACTAAACACTGACTTATAGAGAAAATTTTTTATTTTTTTAGTAGAAAAGTCTTAAATATACAGCCGCCTCTATTCTCTGGTTGGATTCAATGAATGGCAGATTTTAAGACCTCAAACCCACTCCGGTTCTCCCAGTGATTGTTAATGAAGTACGGAGGCCTGCAGGGTGTGAAGGTGCCTCTGTGTTCTGGATACAAGCCACGCATTATTCAACCCAAGGTGTGAGGGGAGCAGGCAACCAACAAGGAGGAGTCCCAGGAGGCACTTGGAACACAGACTTACTGAGCTCTGTGATGCTGCCTACACAGGTGGCGAGCAGCGACTGCTCCAGTGTCCTCAGCTCGAGCTGGATGTAGGCGTCCTCCCTGCTCTCCGATGGTTTCTCAGGAACCTTTGTGTACGGACTGATGTGGGCCGGCAGACTCAGCTCCCCTGAACACACAAACACAAGCTAACATGAAGTTAACATTGGTCTCAGGCAAAAAACAATGTCTTCAACTGTTCCCTTCAAAGTAAAAGGATTTATTGCTGTATTTTTATTTGAAGTAGTTTCTAAAAGTAGATCTCCATGGTTTTTATTGAAGGTCTTTATTGTTTTTCTTTTGGACATTGGTGCTTGTCCTAATCAGCATTACATTGTTTTTGCGAAAATTGACGAGCACTTTTTTTCTTATTGTGAAACAAATCTAAAACCTTCAGAAAGTAAAGAAGATCAACCAGTTTTTTATTACCGTAAGTTTTTAGCCATCCAAAATAGGTGGATTTAGGAAAAAAAATAACTTATACAACCCTAAATACAATGTTTTCTGTTGTCAAAGATCTGAACATGATAAAAATCTGAAATCAAATGTGTTTGAGGAAAAATTAAATCAAAACAATGTTTTACTTATTTTCAGATTCAGTCTTCTAAACTTCATCGCTGCCGTAAAAATACAGGTGATCTGCTGGTTAGCCTGAAACAAAGTTCCTCTGCCCCCGAAAAGACTTTCCTGATATTGTTGTAATTTAAATCAATATTTAAACCTTTTTTTTTTTGGCCTCCAAACAGCCAAACTTGGCAACAGCCTCCTTAAGCTTTGATTAAACAAAAATAAAAGTTTAATGTATGATAAGCAAAGCAGCAAAAAAAAGAAACAGCAGCAGGGGAGTGGAGGCCTAGTGGTTAGGGCATTGCACTTAATCCAGAGGTTCTGAGTTCGAGTTCCACTCCCGCTGTCTGGCTCCCTGAGCTAAGACCCTTAACCCCACACTGCTCCCTGGGCGCCGCACGATGGCAGCCCACTTCTCCTCAAGGAGATGGGTTAAATGCAGAGAGTGAATTTCTTTGCGCTGTACTTGTGACAATTACAATAAAAAGCTGAAAAAAACATGGTTATGGCGGCATAATGCTGAGGGATTGAACCAGGTTATTTTTTTAACAAGAAGGCCTCGTGATTAGGGCATAGTCCTTGGAATGTTTAGGTTCTGAGTTTGAGCCCCAATTCCACAGACTGCCACTCTGGGTCCCTGAGCAAGACCCTTAACCCCACACTGCTCCCTGAGCGCCGCACAATGGCAGCCCACTGCTCCCCAAAGGGAAGGGTTAAATGCAGAGAGTAAATTTCTCCAATGTGAGATCAATCAAGTTCAATTATTATTATTATCAACGAGGGGGGAGGGAAACCAACATGTCATCAGGTGTCTTCTAGAAAGCTGACAGCTTTCAAATGTTTCAGGAGCTTCAACAGAAAAAGGAAAAGTTCTGGAATAATAGAACCAGCGTCTAGAAGATTGATTGAGAAAAACCAGACATCTCCTCATAACCTGAGATTTGGACAAACTTTGGCAACATGGAAGAGAAGAGGGTAAAGATGACTCCTACCAGCGGAAGGTGAATCTAAGCCCCCCCCACACCAAAACACACAGCTTGCCTTTCACTTTTCAGGCTTTTATAGATTCCTTCCAAACACGTCGGCTACGACTAGAGGCCCGCTGGACCAGAGATCTAGAGAGATTTATAAACACAGGCTGATCTGTGCTTCAATACCAAACTGCAGCTGCTGCTCCAAAATGTCCGTTTCACGTCTGTGATCAAAACTTTGAGTAACGATTATGTCGCAGTTGTCTCTTATTTTACTCAATGCGGGAAAACTTTGTCGCTGTTTGTCACTTCCTGTCTGAGTCCCGACATTCCCGTCAAATTGGTGCGTAGGTCTGACCAAACCGACCTCTGGAGCTGTTTCCCTTTAAGAATCTGGAGGAGCCTGGGTTTATATATTAATTGGAAACAAAATGGTTCACTTCTATGACTCTCTCCATGCTGCTCTGGAGTCAACCCCAGAAACTTCTGGATCTCTGAAAACCTCCATTACCCTAAACCCAGGCAGCCAGTTCACCCAAACACCCCAACCTCCAGCATAAACACACAGATAAGCCTCCATGAGCTTCGTTCTCTGCATGAATGGAGGATTTGGTGACTCCTGATGTTCCACTCAATGGAAACGGTGTCAGAGACGAAGGTCTTTACAATGACTCTGTCCTGAGAGCAAATTAAACACGTTCGCCCACTTTATAAATCAGAAAATTAAAACCTACACGGCTAAAATTACCTTTAAGAATTTTATTTTAAAAAAGAACAAATAAATCTGTCAAAACTAAAATAATCAGAATAAAATTATCAAAGGTTTTAGGTCACACGTCTCCAGCTCACCTGGATTTAGTGATGAGGTCACTATAAAAACTGTGGTGAAACTGAGGATCTATTTCAACCATTTGATCAAGAATGACATCATCAACACCCCTACTTTAAGGAAATCAAGTTTATCTCCAGACCTAAACCTTGACAAGGCTGCTGAACAGGTCTAAGGAAGCTTTGTGTGAAAGTCTACAGTAAAAGCATCACAAAAAAAGGAACGCAAAGATTTGAAGTCTTTTAATTAATGTTGCTGAATTTTACAGTTTTATAGTCTAATCTATAAGTCTAAAAGTCCAGTTTGGACAGTTTTCTGAAACAGATCTTGATATGAAAAAAATGTTAGATGAGCCTTTTTCAAATTTTATTTTCTGACACTTCCATTTATTAAGAAGTTTTGAAAAAAGAAAATAAGTAAGCTGCACATAAGAACAAATCAATCAAGTCAATGTTGTGTCATTGAGGGACCCTCTATCATATTTGGTAGAATAGTTTCAGATCGATTCTCCATTCTAATTAATCAATAGTGTTATTCCCCCTTTTTACATTTAATACACTTTTTTCATTTTACTTTCCATTTTGCCTCCTGTGTCCTCAGAACATAAGTGAACCTTTCCATGTTGAATATTTCCTCCACTATTTTCAGCCATTCCTCCTTTGTAGGAAGTTCAGCTGTGAGCCACTGCCTTGTTATCAAGCAGCAGCTTTATTAGGCATCTATCAGGGGCCAATGTGATTTAGTCCCCACATACAGTCCTAAACCTTTCTTCAGTATCTCATAACCTAAGAACTCCTTTAATAATTCCCTTTATCTGGCCCAATATACCTTCAGTTATGGCATTTCCACAATATGTTAGATGCCCAAACTAATCACTCTTCATCTCCTTAGCTCTACCTTTCTTATACCTTATCCAAAATACTTAGGTTATCCTGAGCTGTTTTCTGCATGTCGGCTGCTATAGACTTGGACTGCTGGAGGACATGGAAACCCCTTTTCGTCATTCCATCTCTTCTCCCATTCTGCAGCTTCATCTGGTCTGTTCCTGTTTGGCTGTGACTCCATCCTGGAGAGAAATATCAGCTGTGCTGCTGCCATCAACACCTTTGTTTCTAGATGTTGGAGCTTGGCCAGTTTTCCAGTGTAGTCCTGTTTCTCTGACTTTGACTAACTGGAGGTGCTCTCTTTCATCCTCTGACATGGGAGCTCACTCGAGCTTGTCTGCGTTTTGAATCTATGCTTCTTTTTCTATGTCTGCTTCTGTCTTCCTTAAACCCCAGTCTGCCTCAGCAGATGGCCGCTCACACTGAGCCTGGTTCTGCTGGAAGTTTCTTCCTGTTCAAAAGAAGTTTTCCTCTCCACTGTCGCTAGAAGCATGCTTACACTGCAAAAATGGTCTAGAAATAAGTAAAATATTACTTAAATAAAGTGTATTTAATCTTAATTTGAGATGGTAAATAGGATGATTTGCCAATGGAATTAGTATCTTTACTCTTAAAACCAGATTATTAGATCATATGGGCTTGAAATATGAAAATGCAGTTGTTTTTTCTCATTTTAAATGTAAATTGTCTTGTTCCATTGGCAAAGTGTCTCACTAATCTCCTAAATTCAAGAAAAATGCACTTATTTTGAGAAAAAATTACTTATTTAGATTTCAATTTTTTGAGGTGTAGTGTGAGGGATTGCTGAAGAGTCAATGAGTCGATGCAATCAGCTGGTTTTCCTTAGATAGAAAACTTTGAATCAATCTGACTGGATGATCTGGTTGAAGTGTAAAGTGCATTGAGATGACGTGTTGTGAATTGGAGCTATAGAAATAAACTGAGTTGCATGTGTATGGTCTGCTCCCTTCGGTCCACCCTGCTGTGTTTACAGACTTAAGCTGTAAAAGCAACCATTCATATAGAGAGGAGTCTGAACAAGACAAAGCACAAATCAGTGTTTTCTGATCCTTACCTGTGTAGTAAAACAAGGAACCGCACTTGTCCACACCTCTGCTCCTGGTCCAACACAGACCTCCTCATACACAGAGCTACCAGTGATTAAGTAATTTCCCTGCCGGTGTAGCGTAGTTGAATCTGCGTTGTGTCTTTTTGAGAAATAATAGCCGGACAACAGCTGATCCGATGATACTTTTAATGCTCCTGCATTCAAATAGAAATAGTATTTCAGAACAGGCTTTGTTGTCACAGTGCTCCACAGCTCCTTCTCCCACGGAATCTGAACAGAAAGAGCCCGACCGAGAGCGTGTGCGACTTGTGTAACATAATACATTTATCTTACAAAATTAAAATAATTGCAACAATAATTAATAACTAAGCCCAAACATGAGCATAATAATCCGAAACAGTACATGAATAAAAAGATAAAAATAAAATAAGATAACCAAAAATAATGAAACATCACATACCTGCATTCAAATAGAAATAGTATTTCAGAACAGGCTTTGTTGTCACAGTGCTCCACAGCTCCTGTTTAACCATGAACAATACTATTTTCAGCACATAGATGTAGCATTTTCATTAGTAATGTTTCATTAGCATAAACACATCAATTATTATCCTTAAAAACATTGATCAAACACAGAAAACAAAACTTCATACCTTCTCCCACGGAATCTGAACAGAAAGAGCGCGACCGAGAGCGTGGAAAAACCCTTAACAACTATAATGGTATCACCCGTTAACTTGTCTTTTTTTTTTAAATGCTAAACTAACACTCGAAACAATATTCTATGAACTCCATATGTTCAACAGTAAAGATGATAATTTGCATTTTCATTCACAAAACATTCAATTTTAATAAAAATAATAATTCTGAAACAGGAAGTTACCTGCTGTTCCGCAATGGATTTGCCGACTTTTCAAAATAAAAGCTGGAAGTTTCCTACCGGAATAGCTTCTCTTTTTACAATCTAGTGTAATAACATCACACTGCTACATTCACCCCCACTGTTTTACACTAGATTGCGGGCATGTTACCCAAATAACAAAGAAAAACAAAAACGAACCAAACAGAAAATAAACAAACAAACAAACAACCAAAAAAAAACTTACAAATCTGACCATAACAATACATGTAACCCAAGTATACCCTCCCATACAAGACCAAAATGGTCGACCAGCAAAGAGCTATTCAATGAAGAATTAGGAGAGACGAGGGGTAGCTAAGTCCCCACCTCACCGCAGAAGACATGCCATGTACACATCTATCTTAGAGTACACCCAAAATCACCCAAATGTGTCCAATACAATGGACAACCTAAATAAAATTATGGCCAAACCCCAGTGAAAGAAGTCCCAATGAAAAAAAAATAAATAAATAAATCACACATATACCGAAATAAATGACCCTTAAATGATCTATGACAAAATCTTAACTCGTTGTGTGGACATTGTCTGAATCAACCTGTTAACAGGCTTGATAAGTCTACCCAGTCTTGTCCGTATCCCTTCCCCTTGAACAACCGAAGGAATCCCTGAAGGTACAACTGTAACGACTGAGTCACATCTAGACACTTGTGAGCCACTAATGGCCTTGGCTAAACCTATAGTGTCACTTGGGTGTAAGCCCATGCTTACAGAGTCTACCAGCCGGTCACTACTGTTATCCTCACCGTGTGAGCTCTCCGACCCATGATCCACCCCGCTCCTCTGGTCCCCACAGACAGACAGGGTCCCTCCACCTTGAACACTACCACCATCCCCTCCAATCACTTCAGATTCACTAGCTACTGTCGCTCCACCTGTAGTCATCACCACACTAGACTCAGGAAGGGAGGAAACCCAGTGAGCCGTTCGAGCATCACTGTCCTGCTCACCTGGAACCACATCATCCGACAACCCGCCTTCTGAAACTGTGTTTGAAAAGGAAGCCTGAGACACAGAGTCATCCCATGATGGCAATGGCAAAAAGTTTACAGGCATGATCAGATTCCTATGAACTGTCCTAACTCGTCCCGTAACAGGATGGCGGATGACATAGGTGTTCAGTTCACTGTTCTTATGGACCACAATGTAAACTGTATCCTTCCAACGATCAGCCAATTTTCTTTTCCCTCGTTCCCCTTTGTTAGCCATCAAAACTCTGTCCCCCTTCTCCAAAGAATGTCCTTTAATCTTTCGGTTATACACCTCAGCTTGTCTCGATTGCTGCTTCTCAGCATGCCGCTGAGCCAAGATCATTGCTTTCCTGAGGTCCGTGCCCAATGACTGAACATATTTGTCCATGTCGGCAGTCTCTCCATCTAAGAGAACACTTCCAAACATCACATCAACGGGTAACCTAGGAGTTCGCCCGAACATTAAAAAGAACGGCGGAAAACCTGTTGTTTCGTGTACCGTGCAATTATAGGCAAAAGTCAGTATGTTCAGCATCTGAGGCCATTTGTCCTTTGCCCGAGGAGGCAAAGCACGGATCATGCTACCCAAAGTCCGGTTTAGACGTTCAGCCTGGCCATTTCCCGCAGGATGATACGGGGTTGTACGGCTCTTACGAACACCAGCCATCTGGAGTAGCTCGGCAATGAGGGAACTCTCGAAATTAGCCCCTCTGTCAGAGTGAATACAAGCTGGAAACCCGTATATGGAAAAGAAATTATTCCATAACACGCGAGCCACTGACTTGGCAGACTGATTTGGACATGGGTAAGCACATGCGAGCTTGGTAAAATGGTCTGTCACCACTAGAACGTCGACGGACTTGTTATTGACATCCTCTGCTGACCAGAAGTCAATACAAACCAATTCTAGTGGTGCTGATGTGACAACAGAAACAAGTGGAGCCCTGGCCTCAGGTTCGGGTGCTTTGCTCAAAACACATCTCTTGCAATGACTCACATATTCCTTGACATCGTGTTCCATCGAATCCCAGTAAAAACGTTGTCTGGCCAGCCAGAGTGTACGCTGCTGACCTTGATGGCCTGCATCATCATGCACCCCTTTCAACACCTGACCTCTCAACGCAACTGGTACCAGATATTGGAACACTTTCTTCTTGCTCACCACATGTTTAGAAATGCGGTACAACACACCCAGCCGGGTCGTGAGTTTACCCCACTGTCGCAATGTACGATTTGTCTCCCGTGATTCATGAACACGCTCACGGCGGGATGGTCGACGTCCCCTGTTTACATAAAAAGAAACCCGGCTGACCACAGGATCCTGACACTGCTTATCATACAACTCCTCATGAGTGAGGACAGGCAGTGGGCTCTGCCCCACTGGCAACAGTTCCTCCAACTGTTGGGTGTAGCAGGTTGCCCTCATTTTTGCACCTTCACTCCAACAACGGTGAGACTTGAATAAGGCTGACACCTCATCATGAGAAACTCTCCCACCGTTGTCCTCAAGGTCCAAACTGCCTGTGGCAGAGTCCTGAGTCAAAGGAGAGAGTTTCTGCTTCTCATCCACAGACTCTTCCCGAGAAAGGCGAAACATGTTCTGAACATCTTCCACCAGCAAACCTCTGGCCTCCCCTAACAAAGTGTCATATGGAGTCCTTGTCAACCGGTGCATCATCTTTTGCTGAGCAAATGGTTCCCTGCTCAATGCGTCTGCCACAACATTTCGCGGACCTGGAATGTATTGAATGTCAAAATCAAAGGGGGCCAGTTTGGCCACCCATCTCTGTTCGCAAGCGTCCAGCCTTGGCTTGGTAAGAATGTACTTCAGAGGATTGTTGTCAGTCCAAACAGTAAACTTATGTCCACGCAGCCGATGACTAAACTTATCATGGATAGCCCATTTCATGGCGAGGAACTCGAGCCTATGAGCCGGGTATTTGGACTGCGCATGATTCAAAGACTTACTTGCAAATGCAATGGGCCTGGCAATGGTTTGGCCACCTTGAACCTGTGACAACACAGCTCCTAATCCAGAAGATGACGCATCAACAGAGAGCAGGAAAGGCTTTGTAAAATCGGGGTGGGCAAGAAGAACCTGCTCGGTCAAAGCAGCTTTCAAAGTCTTAAATGCTTCGCTGCATTCCGGGGTCCAGTCAGCCGCGACAAGCTTACGCGATGAAGCTTGCTTCTTTCGGCCCTTTCCCCTCCGTGGCTTGGAAGCCCCAGTAGTCAGTTGGAATAATGGCTTGGCAATCACAGAGCAGTTCTCAATGTAATGCTGATAATACACCACCATTCCAAGAAAAGAACGAATTTTCCTAGAAGAAGGCGTGGTGCCATCAGGTTCCATAAGATCCGCTTCTGACACACCTACGATTGCCTGCACTTTATCTGGATCTGTTGCAATTCCGTCTCTTGTAACAATGTGACCCAAGAACTTGACTGACTTTCTCAAAAACTGACACTTGGATGGAGACAGCTTCAGGTTATGTTCTCTTAACCGCCGAAACACCATCTCCAGTCTCTGCAGGCTTTCCTCCTCAGTCTTGCCAAAAACCAGCAGATCGTCCAAGTAACAAAGAAGGCTTAAAAAGTTCTGGTCACCAAAAATCGTGAGCATCATTCGCATGAAAGTAGCAGGGCTGTTACACAGACCCTGTGGCATGCGGTTATACTCATGCAGTCCGAGAGGAGAGGAGAAAGCAGTGTATTTCTTATCATCCTCATGAAGAGGGACATTGTAATATCCCGAAGTCAAGTCCATTGAGCTAAAGAATGCGTTACCTCCTAACGCTGCAAGGATGTCAGCTTGATGCGGTAAAGGGTGTGCATCCTTGACTGTACGGGCGTTCAACCATCTGAAGTCCGTACACAGCCTCAAGTCACCATTTTTCTTCCAGCAAAGAACGAGCGGAGAAGCATACTCACTACTCGACTTCCTGATAATTTCACGCTCTTCCATGTCATCTAAAGTCTCTCTCAACTTTTGGTAGTGAGCAGGAGAAAGCCTACGATAAGGCAGACGAAAAGGGCGTTCATCGGTAAGTCTGATGCGATGGCAGAATTCAGCAGCCTTGCCGCAGTCCAAGTGATGTCTCGAAAACACATCTTCATACTGTACGACTAAATCAGTCAGCTTCTCTCTCCAATGATCGGAGACTTCACAGTCACCGACAGACAGATCCTGTAGCCCCAAATCAGCCAATTTGCCAGATCCACCTGTGGTATCAACACTGTAACTTGACTCAACTGTAAGGCTGCCATGGGAACTGCCCACTCTACCCACATTCTGGTGTATCCTCCCCTCCATACCACCATCAAAATCCTCCAAGGCAATGCATGGATACACATCAGCTACCTTAGCGTTCCGTCTCAACACAATCGGCGACATAGTAGGATTGATGATCTTCACAGGAAGCCACCCACCTCCCCAAAGTGGAGTCACTACTCTGCCGACCATCACACTACGGTGCACGCAGCGTGATGTGCTCGGTTCAACAACAACAGTACTCCCCACAGAGAGTTCAGTCTTAGGTGGAAGGCGGCCCCACACAACATGCTCCATCATAGGTTCAAGAGTCACGGCCTTCTTCAGTTTGACGGTCCCAACTTTTTCTGGGATTTCCTCTCCCCTCCACCTGTCAAGATTGGCCAAAAATCTGACAAACTGACTATTCTCATCCAAACAGGTGGAGTCAGGTTTACTCAGTATCCTCCAATAAGCCTCATCAGACTTAAACTGTTTTATGAGCGGTTTCATCACATTTGTGCCAACAATGAGCTCATCAGCCTGACCGTCGACCACCAAGACTGGGACAACATAATCAAACCCAAACAGCTTAAGTTTCAGTTCACATATGCCAATCGGAACGGTCTGCTTGCCACCACACCCAACAAGAACAATGTCATTGGGAGGGATTACATCTCCCATCACCACTCCTGCCTTACGTAGCTGAGGGATCATGTCTGCACGTACAGATGTAGCCATAGACCCACTATCTAACATCCCCCGCAGCGCAATCTTGTTGCCAACTAGCACCGTAGTGAAAAACAGGTCGTCACCGATAGGCAGTTTTGCCACATTTTGGAAAATGACAGTTTTATCATTAGTTACTGTGTTACAAGCCACCATGTATACAGTCTGAATGTCATCATCAAAATTGGGGGAAACACTACAGAGGCCCACACCATCCCCCGCTAAATGAGGGCCATCTAGTTTTCCTGAGGTGAATCAGTCTGTCGCTGACCAATCGGGTGTGTTTGAGGTTTTTTTTGAGTCTGAGTGCAGTGAACACTGATGTGCTCTGGAGAGAAGCATCGAAAGCATAATCTGTGCATCCTACAGTGTGATCTAGTGTCATGTTGCAAGTTGCCACAAACCTGACATTCTCGTGAGCGTCTAGAGATCTGCTTATTGGACCTGTAGTTTATAGCCTGTGTGTTACTGACCAGAGCAGTCTCCAGCAGACTCAAGACCCTGTCCATTGTGGTGTTTTCAAGGACTGCTTTGGAACACTCTTGCTCTGGAACACATTTAGAAGTGGGCAACACAGTTTGTTCATTGACAGCCACCTTCTCGTGTGAAAGCTCGGTAATCGCCACTTTCCGATTCCCACGGCTCCGACCAACCATATGGTCTCTCAGATACTCATCCAAGTGGTCTTGCACTTCACTAGCTGTCCAGTCGCGAGAAGGCTTGGTTTTAAAAACCAACGCCAGCTCTCTGTCCGGACAATGGCGAATAAACATGAGCACCAGATGGGAACTCAGGTCAGTCATTGATTCCCCCTTACTACCCAAGCACCTTTCAGCAACCTCTGCGGCTTTGTTAAGCCGTATCCAGTAATCAAGAGGTCCCTCGTTTGTGTATGGTGTGGTAGCATAGAAGTCAGCTAGAGGCAGATCTGAGTGGACGGTGTCACTAAAATGTTGCCTGAGGATGCTAAAGATAACAGAAACGTCAGTAGCTTTTGCATTACTACGCATCCAAACTTTAGTGATATCTCTTGCCCTCCCCATCAATCTGTTCATAACCACTTCAACCTGTTCAGCATTGGTGGAAGATTTCTGTCTAAGGTAGGCCTGCATGAGATCTTCCCACTCAAAAACAGAACATTTATCAGATTTGTCACCCCTGAAATAAGGTGGAACATCAACATCAGAGCGTAACACAAGATTAAGTTTTGATGCATCAATAACAGTAGTGTAACCTTGAAATGACTGAGAAGAGTTCCTGATGTGATCCGGAGTCGAGACGGTTGGAGACTCCGAAGCAGCATTCTGCATCAAGGACATTTTGATGGACTCTCCTATTTCTGACCCAATGGATCTGAGTAGATCAGTCAATTGAGCAGAGGCAGCTTCCCCATCAGGTGAAAACATGTGCGAGGGCGAAAGAGTCACTGGGCTCGAGCCTGGAGCAAAACTAAAAGTTTGATTTGTCAGGTCGTCAAACCCCTTTTCCCTCCCAGACCCAAAAGGTTTTGAGCCCAGAACCCCTGGATTTTCTGGAGTAGACTGCATAGCAGCAGCTAGCCGCAAAACCCCTCTGCCCCTACCCATGGATAATTCCCCATGACTAGGGATTGACAGTTCATTCACATTCTGACCCTCCATGGATAGACCTCACTGTTGCCAACGTCTCCAAGGCGCAGGTGGAACCAGACGACGTCGTTCAGCAGCACCGGTGGTCTGCTTCAGCTGACCAGACGACGGGTCACGGCACCAGTTTTGTAGCGTAGTTGAATCTGCGTTGTGTCTTTTTGAGAAATAATAGCCGGACAACAGCTGATCCGATGATACTTTTAATGCTCCTGCATTCAAATAGAAATAGTATTTCAGAACAGGCTTTGTTGTCACAGTGCTCCACAGCTCCTTCTCCCACGGAATCTGAACAGAAAGAGCCCGACCGAGAGCGTGTGCGACTTGTGTAACATAATACATTTATCTTACAAAATTAAAATAATTGCAACAATAATTAATAACTAAGCCCAAACATGAGCATAATAATCCGAAACAGTACATGAATAAAAAGATAAAAATAAAATAAGATAACCAAAAATAATGAAACATCACATACCTGCATTCAAATAGAAATAGTATTTCAGAACAGGCTTTGTTGTCACAGTGCTCCACAGCTCCTGTTTAACCATGAACAATACTATTTTCAGCACATAGATGTAGCATTTTCATTAGTAATGTTTCATTAGCATAAACACATCAATTATTATCCTTAAAAACATTGATCAAACACAGAAAACAAAACTTCATACCTTCTCCCACGGAATCTGAACAGAAAGAGCGCGACCGAGAGCGTGGAAAAACCCTTAACAACTATAATGGTATCACCCGTTAACTTGTCTTTTTTTTTTAAATGCTAAACTAACACTCGAAACAATATTCTATGAACTCCATATGTTCAACAGTAAAGATGATAATTTGCATTTTCATTCACAAAACATTCAATTTTAATAAAAATAATAATTCTGAAACAGGAAGTTACCTGCTGTTCCGCAATGGATTTGCCGACTTTTCAAAATAAAAGCTGGAAGTTTCCTACCGGAATAGCTTCTCTTTTTACAATCTAGTGTAATAACATCACACTGCTACACCGGTGTGAAGCTGCTCAACGAGCCCAGAGCCCGCATCCTCAGACATGCTGGGGGGGTGGAAGGGGCAAACAGAGGCTCAGTCACTGAGTCTGGAAACAACAGGCCTTTTCTGCTGTGTGGCATAAAGCCGGGAGTGTTTGGCTGCAACAACGGACCCAAACAGGTCGGGGTCACCTGAGAGCAACAGCTGGGTCCATCAGGACCAACCAGGTCTGGTTACGGTGGCAGGAGTCCAAAATAATCCAGTATCTGGCTCTGGTCCCACTGTCAGAGCAGCAATCGCTTAGAGATTATAATAATGTAAATCATCTTACTGTAGTGGAAAATTGTCTCTGTTCAAATCAAGGGAAATGTTGCTGCTATTTTTAAAGTATATCTATTATGAGAGGAGGTAATAATATTGTAAAGAGGTCTAGTTGGAGTTGCATCTTGAAATTGACTGAGAACTTAAGAAGGGAGCCAAAATTAGGGTTATGGTATTAAGATCTTCCACTTACACTCACCACCAAACATTAATACTCAGGGTTAGATGTGGAAACCCTTAGAAGTGTGATAAACTATTAGATAAAGAGCAAAAAGATGAAGGCAAAGTTCAAAGAGAAAGAATTGACTAAGACATTCTTAAGCCTAATACAGGAATGCATGATTTCCATAAGACTACCAGGCAGTCTGAGGTCCACCAGAACAACAAGCAAAAAGATGCACCTGTAAAACCACAGATTTAAATATCAGAAGAAGATAAAGATGCAAAATGAGGAGGTAATCTAGCTTTTTTAGAGATGGAATGATCTGGGGAAGAATAAACCAATCCCATCTTTTAAATGATCAAGGGTTAACAGGTAACAGCTTGTAGTAGGAGAGCTGGTTGGAGGTTTAAAACATGAACACTTATAGGAAAAAACTCACATGAATCCAGAAACACCTACAGGGACTCAGCATCCTGCTGCAACCTGACTCTTCACACGAGGAATTACAATTTGGGTCAAAGTGTAGATTTTTTTTACAGTGCATCAGAAGATTCACTAATATCTTAAAACAACCAGAACCTTTTGAATAAAAATATTATTCCGGGCTTCAGAAATCAACTCACTAAAAATCTATTCTTCATCAGAGGAAAATTACATTACAATTTTGGAACGGCCTCGTCAAAGTTCTGACATACATCTGACAGTAAATCCATGGGGTCATAAGAGGGAGAGTCTGGTTCAGAGATGACCTCATAACCTGAGACAGTCAACTTGTTCCTTTCAACAAATTCAGGAGATGACTTGAAATCAAAGAGTGCTTTAACAAAGGATTTATTCAGGAAATGATTTTTTTTTCTTTATATCATAAAACTAGTAAACAAAATACTAGAGTATTTGTCAGGTTAAAAGAGTTGATTTCAGTTTTTGTGGATCATTGTCACAGGATGCAGGAAAAACATAGTAGAATTATCTTTAGCTGCATGACTGCAAGGACAGTTGCACATTATGAAATAATATAGGAAGCTGCTATAGGCTTAAGCTGCTGGAGGACACAACGACCAATTTCAATTCAATTCCGTTAATTTCTATAGCGCAAATTCACAACACATGCCATCTCAATGCACTTTCCAGTTCAACCAGATCATCCAGTCAGATTGATTCAAAGTTTTCTATCTAAGGAAAACCAGTTAATCTCTCATTGACTCGAATGACCACATCCCTTCACTCTTCATTCTCTTACCTCTGTTCAGTTTAGAAATTCTTTGTTTTCTTTTTTCCCTCTAATAGTCCTCCATAAGACCTGTTTCTGTTTAGCTGCAACTAGAGGTGTCAAAAATGTTGATACTTGGAAAAGTATTTATACTAAACACTGTATCTAAATACTAATTTATAAATACTAATTTGGCATGGTATTGATATTAAAAGGTTTATCTTTGCTAATACTGATTTTAGATATCTGGATTATTTGTACACTAAAGGAATAATGACTCAGACAGCTTGTCATCTTTTCTTAGATTTGGAGTTATTTATTTTGCATTTATTGGCAAATGTATTTAACTATCATCTACAAATGTCGTGAAATTATATTCCATGCTGAAAATGAAAATGTTTTTTTATTTATTTAATGCAAATAAAAGCATATTTCATGCCTTTGATTATTTATCATTTTTTATTCTCAAAACATATTAAAAGATAAGGAAGTTTTGTGTCGAGATGCTAGAAGCTTACAGCTTGAAGGATCTCTGCAGACCTGTTAATGATAGAAGGCCGTTTATTGGAGTCCTCAAAGAGACGGACTGTTTCTGGGCTTCCTGTCTGCTGCTCGATCGGACTCAGGCTTCAACCCGTCAACCTCCCACAACACTCAACAGGAAAACGTGTTGCAATGAATGATGTTAGCCTCCGACCCTCACGGACGACACAAGGGAGCTCTGTATGGCTTCCAGACGGCCGGGCAGGAGGTTCACAGCTCAGGCGGAGCGTGTCCTCATCCTGCAGCCACAACATGCATCAGGTTTCCTCATTAAGGCGTCAATAAGCCCATTACTCCAACTACAACTAACCTGCTCCTAACTTTTTGTTGACACTGGTCTCCTAAAAAAATAATAAAACAGACATTTAATTGGCTATAAAACCTTTGCTATGAACACTTTGTCCATCCAGGCCTTTTCCTGCTCCGTCTGAATCACTCATTCACAAGAGAAGTGCTCTGTGGTGAAAGGCTGTCCAACCAAATCCATGCAGGAATTCATGGCCAATCTCAGGGGTCTGAGATGCACCAAGGAGAAGAAACCGACTGTTGCTCAGTGGGCCTAAGTTCTCTTTTCACATGAAAATAAAGCTTTTATTTATTTAAAAAATCAAGTTCCCAGAATCTGGGGGAAAAGCAGACGGTTCAATAATCAGATCTCAATGACGGCTTGGCTGCCATGTTATGGAGGTTACTATATTTCCAGTGGCATTGGGACAAACTCACCCGTAAAATAACTGGCCTTCATGCACAGTAACAGTGGCTCAGATGCTTTAACACTTTGTCCCGAGTGGGGTCACAAGGGGTGTTGGTGCTTATCTCCAGCAGTCAATGGGCGAGAGGCGGGGTCCACCCTGGACAGGTCGCCAGTCCATCGCAGGGCAACACAGAGACACACAACCATTCATCCACACCTAAGGACAATATTAGAGAAGCCATTTAACCTAACAGTCATGACTTTGGAGTGTGGAAGGAAGCCGGAGTACCCGGAGAGAACCCACGCATGCCCAGACTCCATGCAGAAAGAACATGGGCCAGGGATCGAACCCGGAACCTTCTTGCTGCAAGGCAGCAGTGCTACCCACTGATCCACTGAGCAGCCCACTTTTGGTTTTACCTGCTTAAAAATGTACTGCTCACACAATTTGCCGAGTTTAAAAAGCAAACCATCAATATACTGTTGCTTTTCTCTCTATCCAGATCAGTTCAGGACAGGAGACAATCTGACTTTACTTTGCTAAATTGGTTCTATTTTTATATTATTTTTCTTTATTTAATCTGCATTAACAGCAAACCTAATTTCAACCATTCTTCAACTGTGATCTAAATGCCCAGAGCCGCAATTATAGAGCTCACAAATACAAATACAGCAGCTTAGAAAAGTTTTCACAGCTGTAACTTTTCCACGTTATCTTTAAATCACAAGTATTTTTTATTACAATTTAATGCGAAAGACCCAAACAATGTGTTGTATAAATATATGTAATATAGACAGATAAAAAAAAAACCTGTAGAGGGCATTGTGCAAAGGTATTCAGCCGCTCCAAGTCAGACTTTTGTGGGTCAGCTGCAGTTTTTTTACGGTTTGTCTCTACCAGCTTTAGCATCTAATAACCATGATCAGCTCAGTCAGATTAGATGGACAGTGTTTGTGAGGAGCAGTTTTTAGACTGGGTTCAGGTCTAAACTTTAACTAAGCTATTCTAACACATGGATTTAAACCGTTCTGGCTCCATGTTTCAGGTCGTCCTGCTGGAAGGTGAACCTTCGATCTTTTCCGACATTTTTTTCCCCCTGGATTTACCTATAACCCTCCTCCCACTCCCCCCAGAGCATGATGCTGCCACCACTATATCTGACTGTGGGGATGCTGTGCGTTAGTTCTCCATCACACTATGTTGCAACTTCCTTCTCATGGTTACTGTGTCTCCAACTGGACTTCTTATTGCTTTCTTCTTGCCACTCTTCCATAAAATCCACATTTGGTCATACTGATAGTCACCATGGGTGTCTTGGCTGCAGCTCTGACCAGTTATCTCCTTGTCGGCCTCCTGGTTGGTTTGCAGTTGGTCCTTTCTCTTTCTATTTCCAGATGATGGGTTGATCAGCCTCCATTAGATGTTTTAAAGATTTTGAAATTATGATATTGGCCAATTCTAATTTGAACTTCTCTACAGCTTTATCCCTGGCCTCTGTGTTGCTGTTTGCTCCCAAATATTCACTGAACAGCCCTCTGAAGGCTGCAACAGAGCAGCTGGATTAGAACAGAGGGGGGTTTACACACAGATGAACTCTATTAGCAATCAGGCACTTTTCATTTATTTGCAAAAAGAAATAATATTTGATTTTTTTTTTTTTTTTAATCATGTATAACCGTCTTTCTATTTTACGATTATAAATAAGATGATTTTGTTATTTTCACAAAAGATTCCAACAAAACACATTTATGTTTCTGGTTGTAATGTGACAAAATGTGGAAAAGTTTAAGGGGTGTGAAAACTTTTGTAAGTCACTGTATACGACCAATTATCTGCTTGTTAAACCTTAATGAAACTGAGGATGAGGCACTTTTGCACAGTTCTAACACAATATTTATGCTAAGAGTTTAAACTGTCAGATATCAGTTAAATTATAAACAGAGTTTGAAGCAGGAAGAAAACAAAGTGGGAAGTTTCCTCTCAAAAGGAGCAAAACTGTGACTGAATATTTTCACAATAGTTTTTTTATTCTAGACAAAATTGGGATTTTTGTCATAAAAACAAATATTTAGATCCATTTTAATAAACTCCCCCATAAGGCTGTTCTCCAGGGGGAAGTGGTTGAAGTCTGACTGCTTAGCGGGGGACCGGATTCAGGAAGAGCATCCAGCGTAACCACTTTGCCGAGTCTGAGACCCCTGGAAATGGGGCCAGCCCACAGGAACCAAACAAAACCAGTCCATCTTAAATCCTCATTATAACGATTCTCTAACAACTGAGTCATTAAAGTTTTCTTTTATTTCTGAACTGAAACCAGAAAAAGAGTCTGAGTCCAACAGCGAGGTCAGTCTGCTTCCTGGTTATTAAACTAATGAACAGTTTCCTGTCTGGGGAGGCCGGGGTTCTCCAACCATCCTCTCTCTGTTGTTAACCCCCCCTGATCTGGAGGGTTCCACAGTGGGACTGAGACCAGAGGAGAAAATCACATGTATGAATTGGAAGCAGGAAACTTTCCAGCTGTGAATATTAACCAGCTGGTGAAGTTAAAACCAAAAGGAGCGTTTCAGTCAGACACCTTTTAATCACTGGTTTCAGTTTATAACTAGTTGAATTGTGTCAAAACAACATAAAGTAAATCCTCTTCTTCTACCTGAGCTGTGTGATACACACTCAGCTGTGCTTTAAAAAATATGAATATAAAAAAATCTAACGGTGGATGTCTGGGGGCCAGTGATTGGCCTCCATGTTCTGAATGCTGGCGTTCCATAAAGAATAAATGATGAACAGTTTAGTTTGTGCTTCAAGTCGTTGCCCATAGGAAGACGTTACTGGATATAACCTAACGGAATATCTTCAGAACGGCTCCAAATGACACTAAACATATATGGGCGATTAGAACATGATGGAATAAAGTACAATCAACAGCCCAATGTAAAAAAAAAAAAAAAAACGGCGTTCCCCTTTAAGGTTCATCCCAAACTGTAGAGTCATGACACATCACTGTGACCTCTGCTCTCAGGTGGGATGGCCTTCCCTCTCTAGGAGAAGGCAGCATCATTGGTAAACTTTTATTTACCAAACGCTTCTTAAATTGCTGCCCTCTGACATTTGTACCTTACTTACCCAGAACAGCTTCTTATTCCCTGAGATCCAAAGATCAGCTGTTGCTCACTGTTCCTTTTGCCGGACAGAGCAAAGGAAGAAAGCCTTTAGCTATGCAGATACTTGTGCTTGGAATTTTTTACAAAGAAACTGGAAATTGACTTTGGGTTTTTATCTTTAATAGTTGAAAGTGAAAGAATTTGAAGCAGCCAAAATGATCTGTAATTGTTTTACTTGATATGTTTGTTTGGTTTTGTTTATGTCATTTATTTTAATGTATCTACTTTGCTGCCTCTTGGCCAGGACTCCTATGAAAAAGAGGTTTTTAATCTCAATGGGATTTTATTCCTGGTTAAATTAAAAATAAAATGAAATTATACTAAGCAGGATGCAGACATCACTAGACTGGATCACTGCAATAAACTGTGACTCATAAAATGTGAAAATACTTTGAAGTTCTATTTGTTTGTGAAGCTTTAATGTTTGAGGCTGATAAGAAGATATAAAACACTCAGCTTCCCTCCGGAGCTTGTCGGACATTTTTCCTCTTTCTAAAGAGTCAGAACTCACCGTAAGCGTTCTTCCCACAGATCAGATGCTCATAGGGCTGCAGGAGGCCCCACAGCTCAGAGTCGCTGTTCACGGCTCCGTCCAGCAGCTCCACGGTCACCGCACTGCGCGTTGAGGCGTCCGCCAACCTGGCCACGCGCTGCGCACGTTTCGCAACTTCTTCTGCCAAACTTTCCACGAAAGCCGCGAGGTAAACTGCTGCGTACTCATGCACGCGCACCGAAACGCGCGTTTCCACCATCCACCTGAAGAAGCGGCCCACGGACAGGACGAGCCCGCAGCGCGCAGACTTACCCACGGTGTCCCCGGAGGTCATGCAGAGCAGAGAGACGGCTCTGACCGCGGAGGAGCCGCACCTGTCGGCCAGAGCCCAGCTGAGCACGAGCCGCACCGCGCTCTGCACCTCCAGGCGCGTGCACCGCCTATGGAGCTCACTGAGCCGCTGCGCCTCCCGGGACACCCGGAGCAAAGCCCTGCGCAGCAGGACGGACAGTCTGCTGACAGCCTCCGGGCTGAAACACTCACACCCGGAGGCTCTGTGGACCACATCCTGCAGCTCCGACTCCGTCCACGGATAGTCCTCCAGCTCGGGCAGGCAGGCGCATCTGGCCAGGGTGTCCGCCGCGTCCTCCGGCAGCGCGCTCACCGTGTCCCAGCTGGAGGTGGAGCCGCTGCGCGGCCACCATGAACCCCGGAGAGGAGCGCTGACCGACCGGCTGGACGGGCTGGCCTCCCCGGCTACATAACCTGAGTCCAGGCTCAGGTTCTCCAACGTTTTCACCACAGCAGAGTTGGACATGTTATGAGATCCGGACAAGAAGAGACCGAAACGAACTGGCCTCAGGTCAGGATGGAAACGAGCTTTTTAGGCACATCTGACCAATCACACCTGAGGGCAGTGCTGCTCTACAGCGCCCCCGTGTGGCACCAATAAGCACCTCAACTGCCTCCAGCTGTATGGTCAAAAAACAAACACAACTCAGTGTTTAATACAGAAGGTACGGAAGAGGATTAGGGCCACTGGAAAAAACAAAAAAAGTTAACTGATTTTTACATTTTATTTCAGTTTAGTATGGGAAAAAGTCAGAATTCGGAATTTTTTCTCAGAAATCTGACTTTAATCTCAGAATACTGACTTTTTTCCCCATACTAAACTGATATAAAATTTAAAAATCATTTAACTTCTTTTTTTCAGCAGGAAGAGGATTAGGTTCACTAAAAAAATGTTAAAAGTTAACTGGTTTTTACATCTTATTTCAGTATAATATGAGAATTTACAGCCATGTCTGCTTTAGAGACTAAACTATCTCTTTTGTTTTAATCACCTTCTGCTCCTCGATTAATGAAAGAGCATCACCGGAGGCCCCTCGGGGACGTGAAAAGTTGCCTCATTCAGTCATTTCCCACCAATGTGTTCCTGTTCCTCCCAAACAACTCACATCTTTGTCAGTGAAGCTGAGTGCTCCACATCTCTTCCTTCATGGTGCCCATCTACATTGAGATCAGAAGTTCTGAGATTAAAGTCAGAAGTCTGACTTTTTTCCCATATTAAACTAAAATAATATTCAAAAATCAGTACATTTTTTTTTTCAGTGGCCCTAATCCTCTTCCATAGATTAAAGATAAATTTAAGTACGGCTGAAACAATTAATCTGATTAATTGATTATTGAAATAATCGTTAATTAATTTAGTAATGATTAATCATTGCCTGGAGTTTAGAGACCCTGAAACATGCCTTCAGCTGACAGAGCGACCCACTTAGAGCAAGAATTATATCTCTGGACTTAGTGCAGGAGGTGAGAAACAAAAGGATCCTAACTAAAGTAACATCTCGTTGGATAATGTCTCGCACTCCATGCATGAATTTTTGCACATTTGCTGTCTTTGTCAATTAAATAACATTCTGCTGTTAATTTTTGCTCATCCCTGGTGTTTCTGCTATTTTTTCCACATATCCATTACAGTAAAAATGTCCACAGCTGTATATTGATTATTTATTCTCCACAGTATTTATATTGTAAAAAATACTGTACGGTATAGTACTTATAGTACTCTGCCACATATTCTGTTATTTCTATGCACTTTTTAAGGTCCAAAATTATGTGACTTTTGCTGTAATGATTTTGCTGCTTTTAACACAAGAATTTACCTATTGTGGGAAAATAAAAGGATTTTCTATTCTGTCACACGAAGCCTTGCTCGTTTTTGGCGAAAGGTAAGTTGCTTCAGGAAATCTTATAAATGAACAACATTGAGTTTCTATCCATCAAAGAGGGATGTTTGGGTTTCCATCTCTGTGACCCACTTTAGGACGGGTAGAAAATTATTAAATAGATGCTTTCGGTAGCTCCTCCATCTAAAGCCTTTCAATCAGTTTCCAGATTGATTTTAGGATCTTTTCTTTTGAGGTTTGAAGTCAACTGTCCCAGATAACGGATCTAAGAACTCCAGCCAAACCAGTCTGTTTCTATTAACTGTGCCAAAATTGAAGGAAACAGATGATTGGACTTTTTTGAATTGCACCAAGATCGAGAGTCATGCTGCCTTTACTGTGAACGGCAATAAATGGTTGACCATAAAAGAAAAACACAAAGCAGATACAAGCTGTATTGTTGCAGAATCAAATCCATCAACTGTTCCTGCTTCTGTTCGACACTAAAGACCAAGAACATGTTCTACTGACGTCTTAGCACTTAAATAGTAAAATATAAACATATTCATATCATAGAAACTGATGGCATCAAAGTTAAAACCCTATTATTATTATTTTGTAAGTTAAAAACCCCTCTAGAACATTTCTACTTACTGTAGCTAATCTACAACTAGAGACGTTCTTTACCTAAAGTAACCACTAGATGTCACTGTTTCCTTCTTTCTAATGACAGGGAGTTAACAACTTTAACCCACTTATGTTTATCTACTGTCAGATTCTAAGAAAAAATAACTTATCATCTCAAAATCTTTTCAACATTATGCAACAAATAAAACAAAATAAAGAGGAAATAAAGAGCAAATTTGCTTTGATCCATAAATAACTGAGCTAAAAGTCCCTTTCTTAGTGTTAGCTCCATGCCTACAATCAGGAGTGAGCCAGCTCACTGTGACAGAGCTTCAGTCCAACAGAACTGGCGCCACAGAAGAACTGAAGCCGATCCAAATAAGGCATCCAGATGTTATTATACACAAAAACCCAAACTGGAACTGGGGCAGTAAACAGTTTATAAAGGCAGACTGAGCAGGTTCACATCTACGTTTGAAATCCAGAGACGTGTTTTAAAGGGAGATGTGTTTCATTCCAGGGAGAAGTCCTAACAGGAGCCCGGTGTTCTGGCTGAAGCAGCAGAACATGAACATGCAGGACCAGCAGAGCTGCAGGTGGAGCCTGGTCTGCTGGGAGACTGGGTCCAGACTCATCAAGCATCTCTGACTGGAGAAGGAAAGTCCTTCATCCAGAACCTGAAACTTTTGTTTCTACAGGGTGGGTTTTCCTTCCACAGGAAAAAAACCACACTGCTAATTTTTTTTTCAGGAAAAAAACCAAAAAACCGCAGAGAAGGATTCTTATTCCCAGAAAAAGAAAAAAAAAAAAAAAAAAGGAAAACGCCCGGCTTTGTCAAACGCTTTGAATTTTTGGAGCTTCTGGGAAGACCCCCCAACCTTCCGAGGTTTATCCAGAACTGCTTTGGCATCCATGTCACCAGGGGGTGTGGGTGGATAACCCAGTGTATGCGTCCAGTTTACATTCCTGCAGCTGCTGTTGTTCTCTCCTCTTGGGAGGTTCAAGATGAAGATTATTTTGGGAGGAAGGGTCATTCCTCACTAATGCATACTCTTTTTAGGGAAGGGGCTGTCTATCGAGCAGCAAAACAGCACCCTCACCATGATGCTAGTAGCCACCCCACTGTGCTTCACGCCATGGTTTAATAGAAGGTCAATAAGGCTAAAAAAAAAAAAAAAAAAATTAAAACAAATATGAAACGTTCCAATTTTGAACGTTCAAAACACACAAAAAGTTGTTTGGAGGGTTCGGGTTTTTTAAAATGAATAGGTTTTCTCTGGAAAAAAAAAAAAAAAGAGGAGGGTGAATCCTGCTCAGCTTAATCGGACACTCTAAAATCACTCAGCAAGCAGAAACACTTGATAAATCTGGACGCTGCTGCTCTGTGCAGAGCTTCAAACCAACCTGCTGCAGGCGGAATAATAAAAAAATAAAAAATAAAATAAGGGCCTATAGCGCTTCCATGACATATGTTGTTGTAGGCTCGGGGGGGGGGGGGAGAGGCTAGGGGGGGGGGGGGGGGGGCTGATATGGGTGGGGGCTGGTGGGGGGGGTGCGGGGGGGGGGGGGGGCGGTGGTAGGGAAGGGAGGGGGGTCAGTGTGGGCGGAAGCGGGGTGGGGAGATGGGCTGGGGTGGGGGTATGGGGGGCGGCGGGGTCGGGGTCGGGTGGGTGGTCTGAACGGGTGCTAATGTAGACGGTCTCCTTGGGAGGAGAGGGGGCGTTGATTGACGGGGTGGCGTGTGCATTCTTTTCTTTCTTGGTTTGTCTGTATGGTGTAGTTTTGTTTTTGTTTTTTGTTTTCTTGGTTCTTGTTTTTGTTTTTTTTTTGCTTCAGTTCTAAAACCTTCCAAGATACCTTCAGACTGTTTGAAGTTCTTATTGCTGAACCCAGAAACTGACCCAAACTGAGAGGCTTCAAACATTCAAACCAAGCCTGGTCTCTGATCCAGAAGCTGCAGCTCAGGAGCCGCTGGGTGGCGGCTTGCTCCGCTCTGGTCTCTGTCGCTGCTCCTGGTGGAGGACAGAGTCCAGTCCTGGTCCAGTGGGTCGGTACCCTCTGATTGCAGAACATGGGTCTTGTCTCAGACTGAGCGAGAACCAAATAAGCAGCGGCCGCGGCACCCAGATCAGGGTTGGAAGTAGCCTGGATCCCTCTGGGCTGAGGCGGGTCTCAGGCAGTGGTGGATGGAGAGGTTTTCTGGGCTCACTGGGGGCTGGTAAGGCGGTGGCCCCATCAGCGGGGAGTCATCAGGAGTGAGGGGCCCCTGGCTGTGGATGATGATGGGATCAGGAGAGGGCAGCGGGGCCCCCAGCTGCTCCACAGCTTCCAGGTCCCTGGGGTCCTTGGAGGGGCTCTGGTCTGGAGAGATAGAGAAGAGAAGGAGAGAGGATATGGAGTCGGGCTGTGTGGAGATTTGTGTGGAGAGCTCCTCAGGCCAGTGGCTCTTGGCTTTCGGCTGAGCGTGAACAGGCGTAACGGTCGGCTGTTTGTCATATGACCGATTGGCGAGGGGCGTTAGTAGGGTGGGAGGACGCAGAGGGTTGAGGGGCACTAGTCGGGCCTTCCACAATTTGCAGAGGGGTTGGGTGGCCCCGTCTGGCTTAAGTTGGGGGAACCGGGTGACATGTCACAAGGGCCGCGTGTTGCTCGGACGGCATCGGCGTTGTCGGGCTCTTGTAACCGGTGTAAAGATACCGTAGCGGAGCGTGCGCGAGCGGGTGTTGGTCCGGAGGACATGCCTTGGGAGGCACTGGGAGAGGTCGGGCGTTGGACCGGGCCAGCCAGGGAACTGGCACGGTTAGGCTACCTCGGCACAGAGGCTCCCTGGGTAGGCAGATACCCCCTCTAGGTACAGCTTCCCTGCAAAGACAGAAAACAAAAACGAGAAAAACAAGATGATGGAGAAGATCTTCTGGAGGAACGGAGCCTCCAAAAACCTTTCATGGAAAGGTGGTTGTGTTGTGGCTTGGGGTACCTGGAGAGGGAGGATTAATAGGTTTCCAGCCTCATTCCTACCTCAGCTCACATCATGGCGAGGGAGGCTGCAGCAAGCTGCTGGATGTGATATCAGATAGTCACTGAGGAAGACAGCAGCAGGTCCCCTGGTGAGCGATCGCTCCTGGAGGAACCCCCCCTCCCTAAGCCTCCTCCAGGAGAATCCTGAGCAGTCGCTCTGCAGGGGGACTAGGGGGCGGGGGGATGTGTCTGGGTGGGGGGGAGAAGGGGGTGGGTGTGGGAGGTGTGGAGGAGTGTGGCTGGGCGGAGGCGGGGGGGGGGTGGGGGGGGGGGGGCAGAACGGGAGTGGGGGGTGGAGGATGGGTGGGGGGGGGGGGTGGGTAAGGCTGTGGGGTCGGGGGGCGGGGGGGAGGTTGGTGTGCTGAGAAGAGGGTACTGTTAATTCATGAAGGGCTGCATGAATGAAGGGATGGTGATGAATGACTGAATGCATCGAATCATGAATGAATGAATGAATGGATGAAGCAGGGGATGGGATGATGAATGGAATTGAATGAATGACATTAATGACTGAATGACCTGAATGAAACTGAAAGGTATGGGTCGACATGAATGCATGACTGCACTTAATGAATGAAGGGATGGGTGATGAATGAATGATGAATGAATGAATGGTTGGCTGAATGCAATGAATGAATGAATGAATGTTGAATGAAGGAATGATGTTTGAATGAATGAATGAATGACACTCGAATGACTGAAGGGATGGTGATGAATGAATGAATGAAATGAAGTGAAGGTGATAGAATGGAATGAATGAATGAATGACATGTAAATGAATGAATGAAGGGCATGGTGATGCAATGAATTGAATGAATCGAATGAAGAATGAGGAGGGATGGTGAATGAATGAATGACATGAATGAATGAATGAATGAAGCGGATGGTGATGACTGAATGATGAATTAAGGAAGGGGATGGTGATGAATGAATTAATGAGACATGAATGAATGAAGGGAATTGGTGATGGAAGAATGAATGAAGTGAATGAATGATGGGTATGGTGATGAAATGGAATGAATGAATGAATGAATGATAAGGGGATGGGTTGATTGAATGACTGAAAGATGGAATGAATGAAGGGGATGGTGGATGAATGATGAATGAATGAAGGGGGGGGATGGTGATGAATGAATGAATTGTATGAATGGAAGGGATGGTGATGAATGAATGAATGAATGAATGGAATGAAGCGGATGGTGATGGACTGAATGCGAATGAATAGAATGAATGAATGAAGGGATGGTGATGAATGAATGAATGATGAATAGAAGGGTACTGGTGATGAATGAATCGAATATGAATGAATGAAATAAGGGATGGTGATGACATGAATGAATAGAATGAATGCAATGAAGGGTATGGTGATGGCAATGAATGAATGAATGGAATGAATGAAGGGATGGGTGATGCATGATGAATGAATGCAAGGGATGGTGATGAATGAATGAAATGAATGGAATGAATGAAGGGGATGGGTGATGAATGAATGAATGAATGAATGAATGGAAGGGATGGTCGATTGACTGAATGAGATGAATGAATGAAGGGATGGGTGATGAATGAATGAATGATGATGAATGAATGAAGGGATGGGCTGATGAATGGATGAATGATGAATGAATGAATGAATGGACATGAAAGAAGGGATGGTGATGGAATTTGAAATGAATGAATGAATGAAGGGATGGGGTGATGAATGAATAGAATGAATGAATGAATGAAGAATGGAATGACTGATTTGAAAGGGATGGGATGATGAATGAATGGAATGTATGGAATGAAGGGATTGGGCCCGTAGATGAATGAATGTGTAATGAATATGATGGAAGGAAGGGATGGTGATGAATGATGAAATGAAATCGAATGATGAATGAATGAAGTGGAATGAATGAATGAATGAATGATGAATGAATGAATGAAATGGAAGGGATGGTGATGATGAATGAAAATGGAAGCTGATGATGAATGACATGAATGAATGCATGGGATGGGTGATGAATGAATGAATGATGCATTTAAGGATAATACTGGAATGAATGAATGTGAATGAATGAATGAGAGTATGACATGAGGAATGAATGAGATGAATGAATGAATGAATGCATGAATGAAGGGATGGTGATGAATGAATGAATGAATGAATGAATGAATGAAGGGAGTGGGTGCTGAATGAATGAATGAATGAATGACGAGGATGGTGATGAATGAATGAATGCAATGAAATGAATGAAGGGATGGTGATGACTGAATGACATGAAATGAATGAAAAGGGTGGAAGGGGATGGTGATGAATGTCGAATGAATGAGGGATGGGTGATGAATGAATAATGGGAATGCATGAATGACAGGACTGAGGTGATGACTGTATGAATGAATGGCATGAATGAATGAAGGGATGGTGATGAATGAATGAATGGAATGGGAATGAATGACGCGGGCGATGGTGTGAATGACTGATGAATGAATGAATGAAGGGATTTTGTGATGATGAACTGAATAGGGAAGAATGAATGAATGAATGACAAAGGGATGGTGATGAAATAGGAATGAATTGTATGAATGAATGAAGGGGATGGTGATGAATGAATGAACTGAATTGCAATGAATGGGATGGTGATGAAGAATGAATGAATGAAGGGATTGGTGATGAATGAATAAATGAATGAATGAATGAAAGAATGAAGGATGAATTGATGGAATGTGAATGAATGAATTTGATGAATGATGAATGCAGGGATGGTGATAGAACTGAATTGAATGTAATGAATGAATGATGAAGGGATGGGGTGAATGAATGAATGAAATGAATGAATGAAGGGATGGTGATGAAATGACATGAATGAATGAATGAAGGGAGCGTGGAAATGCAATGAATGAATTGAATGAATGCAAGGGATGGTGATGAAATTGAATGAATGAATGAATGAAGAATGGAAGGCGCATGGTGCATGAATGGACTGAATGAAGAATGAATAGAATGAAGGGCGGGGTGATGAACTGAATGAAATGAATGAATGAATGAAGGGATGGTGTCGAATCGAATGAATGAATGAATGATGTAAATTTGAATGCATGAATGAAGGGATGGTGATGAAAATGAATGAATGACTGAATGCAATGATGAATGACATGAATGAACGGATGATGAATGAATGAAGGATGAATGAATGAATGAAGATGATGAATGAATTGAATGAACGGATTGACTGAAATGGAAGGGATGGGTGATGACCTGAATGAATCGAATGAAGGGATGGTGTGAATGAATGAATGGATATGAAAGGGATGGTGATGAATGAATGCATGAATGATGAAGGGGATGGTGATGAATGAAATGAATGAATGAATGCAATAGAAGGGATGGTTGATGCAATGAGTGGAATGAATGAATTGGAATGAATGAAGGGATGGTGGATGAATCGAATGGAATGAATGAATGAATGAATGCAAGGGGATGCGTGATGAATGAATTTGAATGATGAATTGAATGAATGAAAGAATGAATGATTATGAATGAGGGATGGTGAATCGAATGAGAATGAATGAATGAAATGACTGAATGATGAAGGGATGGTGGATGCATGAATAGAAGTGAACTTGAATCGAATGGCGGGGATGGTGCACTGAATTGATATGAATAATGATGAAGGGACTGGGTGATGAATGATCTGAATGCTGAAGGATGGTGATGAATGAAGAATGAACTGAATGAATGTAGGGATGGATGATGAATGAATGAATGAAATATGAAGGGATGGTAGATGAATGGTGGAATGAATGAAGAATGAATGAAGGGATGGTTGATGAATGAATGAATGATGAATGACGGGATGGGGCTGATGAATGGATGATGAATGCAATGAATGAAAGGGGATGGTGATGAAATGAATGAATGAATGAATGGAATGAATGAATTGACCATGATAGGGATGGTGTGATGAATGAATGAATGTATGATTGAATGAATTGAATGAATGAGGGATGGTGATGAATAGATGGAATGAATGGAATGAATTGAATGATGACATCGAAATGATGAATGAATGCATTGGGATGGTGATGAATGAATGCAGATGAAATGGCATGATGAAAGAATGGGGGGTGGGGGGGGGGAAAATTTTTGCAATAGAAGAATGAATGGTGAATGAAGGATGAATGAAAATGAATGAATGAATGAAGGATGTATGAAGGATGCTATGAATGATGAGATGGAATGGAATCGAATGATGAATGAATTGAATGAAGGATGAATGAATGAAATGAATTGAATGAAGGGATGGGTGACTGAAATGAATGACTGAAGGGATGGTGATGAATGAACTGAATGAGGAATGAACTGAAGGAATGAATGAATGAAGGGATGGTGATGAATGTGTGAATGAATGAATGAACTGGAACTGAGGGGATGGGTGATGAATGAATGAATGACTAAATGAAATGAGGGATGTGTGATGAATGACTGACTGAAATGATGGACAGGGATGGTGAAGGAATGAATGAATGAATGACTGAAAATGAATGAAGGGAAATTGTGATGAATGAATGCAACTGGAACACTGAAATGAAAGAAGGGATGGTAATGAATGAGATGTGAATGATATGAATGAGAGAAGAGGCTGGCTGATGAATGGTATGAATGAATGAATGAATGAAGTGATGAATGAAAGAATGAAGGGAATGTATGACATTGAATGAATGAATGATGAATGAATGAAATGAAGGATTGAATGCATGAAGGGATGGTGATTGAATGAATGAATGAATGAATGACTGAATGAAGGGATAGTTGATGAATGAATGAATGAATAGAAATGCAGGGATGGTGATGAATGAATGAATTGAATGAATGAAAGAAGGGATGGTCGATGATTGAATGATGAATGATGAATGAATGAATGAATTGAGTGAATGAATGAAAGGGATGGGTGATGAATGTGAATGAATGAATGAAGGGTTGGTGATGAATGACATGAATGAATGAATGAAGGGGTGGTGATGAATGACATTATGAATGAATGAATGACTGAAAGGGATGGTGATGAATGAATGAATGAATGAATGGACGAGGATGGTTGATGAATGAATGAATGAATGAATGAAGGGGATGGTGATGAACTGAGTGGAATGAATGAATGAATGGAGAGGGGGATGGTGATTAATGAATGAATGAATGAATGAATGTAGGGAATGAATGAAGGGATGGTGATGAATGAATAATGAAGGAAGGGGCTGGTGATGAAATTGAATGAAATGATGAATGAATCGGGAGAATGAATGAATGATGAATGATATGAATGAATGAATAGAAGGATGCAATGAATGAATGAATGAATGATGAATGAATTTGAATGAAGGGATCGAATGAATATTGAGAAATGGAATGAATGAATGAAATGAATTGAAAGGGATGGTGATGACATGAGGTGAATGAATGAATGAATGAATGAAGGGATGGTGGATGAATGAATGAATGAATGAAAATGTAGGGATGGTGATGATGAATGAATCGATGAATGTGAAATGGTGATGATGAATGCTAGGGATGGGTGCATGAAAATTTGAATGAAGGCTGTCATGCAGGATGACTGAAAATTAGGAATGGATGAGGATGAATGATATGGAATGATTGAATGATGAATGGATGCAGAATGAAATGTGACACTGAATTGATGAATGAATGGAATGAAGGGGATGGTGAATGCATGAATGAATGGATGATGAATTGAGGAAGGGATGGTGCTGAATGAATGAATGAATGTATGAAGGGATGGTGATGATATGAATTGAATGAAATGAATGAATGAAGGGATGGTGATGAATAGAATGAATGAATGGAATGCAGGGATGGTGAACTGAATGAATGAATGAAGAAGGGATGGTGATGACACTGAATGAATGCAAAGAATGAATGGAAGTGTATGGTGATGCATGAAATGAATCGTAATGAATGATATGAAGGATGGTGACTTGAATGACTCGACTGAATGACATTGAATGAATGAATGAATGAAGGGATGGGTGATGAAATGAATGGAATGATGAATGAATGAATGCATGAATGATGAATGGATGAAATGGAATCGAAGGGAGGGTGATGAAACTGAATGAATGATGATGAATGAATGAATGAATGACTGATGGGATTGTGATGAATGAATGGAATGATGATGACATGATGATTGAAATGAATGAATGATAGGAATGGATGCAATGAAGGGATGAATGCATGAATGAATGCTGAATGAAACGAAGGACTGATGGAATGAACAGAAATGAATGAAGGTGCATTGAGATGAATGAAGGGATGAGTGATGAATGAATGGGAATGAATGAATGAAGGGATGAGTGATGAATGAATGAATGAAGTGGATGGTGATGAACTGAATGAATGAAATGAATGACGAGGATGTGAGATGAATGACATGACTGACATGACATGAAGGGATGGTGATGGAATGATGAAATGAATGAATTGAAGGGATGGTGATGAATGAATGGAATGAATGAAGAGGGCTGGTGATGAATGAAATGACATGATGATGAAAGGGATGGTGATTGAACTGAGTGAATGAATTGAATGATGAATGGACGGGATGGGTGATGAATGGAATGAATGATGAATGAATGAATGAATGAAGGGATGAGTGATGAAAATGAGTGAATGATATGAAAGAATGAGAATGAAGGGATGGTGATGAATGAATCTGAATGAAAGGTGAATGATTCAAGGGATGGTGCTGATGGATCGACTGAATGAATGAATGAATGAAGGGATGGTGATGCCTGAATGAATGAATGAATGAATGAAGGGATGGCGGATGAATGAATGAACTGAATGCATGAATGAATGTGGGATGGTGATGAATTGAATGAATGATGAATGAAGGATGCATGACTGAATAAACATGACATGAATGAATGAAGCGATGAATGAATGACTGAATGATGAATGAATGGCATGCTGAATGAATGAATGCAGAATGCAATGAATGAATGAATGCAATATGAATGACATGCAGGGACTGGTGGATGAATGAATGAATGATGAATGAATGAAGGGATGGTGATGAATGAAATGATGAATGAATGAATGATGAACGGGATGGTGATGAACTGACTGAAGGCACATGAATGGAAATGAATGACATGAGTGAATGGTGGATGGAATGAATGAAATGACGTGAAGAATGAATGAAGGGCTGGTGATGCATGTATGCCTGAATGAATGACTGAATGGGCAGGGATGGTGCATGACGAATGGAGCTGCCAGACTGGGGAAGGGATTGTATCTGCCATCCATCCTTCCATCACATGCCTTTCATATCATCCATCCATCCATGACAATCCATTCCTTGCATTATCAGACATCCTTCCTTCCATTACCATCCATCTACCCCTTCATTTGCTCATTTTATCTGCCATCCTTCCTGCCATACTTTTAATTATCAGCCCTTCCTTCCAACCATTCTTCCTTCCACATCATTTCATTAGCAGCCTTCCATCACTTCCATCCATCCTTCCGTCTTACACATCACTTCCATCCATCCATCCATCCATCCATCCATCATCCTCATTCATCCATCCATCATTCCATCCATCTATCCATCCATCATTCATTATAATCCCATTCCATCTATCCTTCCATCAATCCATCCGTCATCCATCCCGTCATCAATCTCCAATCCAATCCATCCTCCTTTAATTATCAGCATCCATCCCATCCATTCATTATAGCATCTCCATCCATCCATTCCATCCTTTCGATTATCAGCATTTCATGCACCATCCATCCACCTTTCAAGATCAGCCATCCATCATCCATCCATCCATCCAATCCATCCTTTCTTATCAGCCATCCCCATCATCCTTCCATTCATCCATCAATTCATCCATCCATCCATCCTTTCATTATCAGCCATCCATCCATCCATCCATCACAGCCATCCACCAGTCCATCCATCCATCCAATCCTGTTCATTGTTTTTCCTTCCACTTCCGTCATCCATCCTTCACTGCCATTCATCTTTCCCATCCCATCTCATCCGTCATTCCTTCTCCCTTTCATTATCAGCCATCCATCCATCCATCCATCCATCCATCCATCCATCCATCCTTTCATTATCAGCCATCCATCCATCCATCCATCCATCCATCCTTTCATTATCAGCCATCCATCCATCCATCCATCCATCCATCCATCCTTTCATTATCATCCATCCATCCATCCATCCATCCATCCATCATCCATCCATCCATCCATCCATCCATCATCCATCCATCCATCATCCATCCATCCTTCCATCCATCCATCATCCATCCATCCATCCTTCCATCATCCATCCATCCATCATCCATCCATCCTTCCATCCATCCATCATCCATCCATCCATCCATCCATCCTTCCATCCATCCATCATCCATCCATCCATCCATCCATCCATCCTTCCATCCATCCATCATCCATCCTTCCATCCATCCATCCATCATCCATCCTTCCATCCATCCATCCATCCATCCATCCATCCATCCATCATCCATCCATCCATCCATCCATCCATCATCCATCCATCCATCCATCCATCCATCATCCATCCTCCATCCATACATCCATCCATCCATCCATCTGCTTTACTCTTGTTTATCTTCAGGATGGTGTAGGACATGGCAGTGAGGAGTCTCTCTCCCTCCAGGATGAAAATGTCCCAGAGCCGTAGGGTCAGTGTGAACGGCGTCTGCAGATAACAAACAGCAGGTCACTACGTCTCAGCAGGGCTCCCCGTTTCATCCAGAGGTTCACACTAACACTACTGCTGCTGGTCAGAATCAGGAAGTTTATGTGGCTCTTCTCCAAACCTCAGAGGATTCTCTGAGCCACTCAGCAGGAGGAAGAAGTGCTGACAGAGGCTGGAAGCTGCCAGATCGCCACCACAGGACTGCGGGCACACAGCCTAATAACAGTGGAGCCTGACAGCTCCTGACGCAAGGTTCAGGTTTCACCAGGATCCATCCTGCTCAAACCATCCAAATTCACCAGCAGGCCACTGGTTCCTATAGGGGGCGCTGTTCTATCCTTTTAACTTTTACTGAAACCAAAACCATGCTGATGATGTGTCTGCAGATTCTACTGTTTTATTAGGATCTAAAGTCCTCTGCTAATAACAGGGTCTCAATATGGAGCAACCATCAACATTTAACAGTTTAAAACTTTTATAAAACAACTGTTGAATAAAAAAGAGTTAAAAGAGCCACTGAGATCACACGAAAACTTTCAGCCTTTGTCAAATTAAGATCTAAGTTAACATCTAAGATCCACTGAACAAAGAGCTCTTTGTTATGCAAGCTGCAAAACAATTCATGTTTTCAAGATGAGCTCTGTGATCTGGTCCTAACAGGCCACCGTAGGAGGAGACAGAGATCAGCTCGCTCACCCTGTCGATGAAACACTGCATGAACCATTTGGTGCAGTAGATCCCCGCCGACATCTGCTCCCTGTCCTGCAGAGAGACAAACACCAGCTATCAAACATCATCATCATCATCGTGGCGCCTCCACGGGGATCTCACCATGTGTTTCTTCAGCTTGGGGAGGAGTTTGGAAAGGATCTGATCGTGGTGAGCCTGGAATCTGTGAAGTTTGGGGAACCCAGGAACAAAAAACCCTGAAATGAAGGGAGAACAGGATGAAGAGCTTAAATAGCATTTAAATGGATGAAAACCCATCGTTCTTTGTTCAGAACCAAGAATGATGAGATCCATGGATCAGTTTTCCAAATTAGAATCGTTTGTTTTTCCAAACTAGTGGTTGTGAACCTTCAGGATTTCCAGAGAATATCAAAGATCCAGAACAAACGGAGCCCCAAAAATGAGCTTTCAGTCTTTAAATGGAAGGAACGTCGTTTAGAGGAGCTTCTCTGTGACCATGAGCTGCCTGAGTCTTTGGAAATGAAACACAAAGATCCTTCAATTCAATTTAATTCAGTTTATTTCTATAGCGCCAATTCACATCATGTCATCTCAAGGCACTTTACAGTTCAACCAGATCATACAATCAAATTGATTCAAAGTTTTCTATCTAAGGAAAACCAGTTGATTGCATCGACTCATTGACTCAAATACAATCCCTCACACTAAGCATGCTTGTAGCGACAGTGGAGAGGAAAAACTCAGGAAGAAACCTCCAGCAGAACCAGGCGATCCTTCCATCCTTCAACTCTATGAACATGTTCATTCCTTCTGATCCGCCTGGTTGATAATCATCTGTTCCCAACTGAAGCGCAGCCGTTGAGATTTACCCGAAGTTTGTCAATAAGCCACATGTCCATTTTGGTTATTTTTCCCAGCATTCGAGCAAAATAAATGACGATCCCATATCCGCATTTTAATAGACTCAGCGTGTTTTTTGACCAAACATGATGAGAGAAAATTTAAGATAAGATAATTGAACTTTATTGAAAGATAACTGGAGGAATTTCCCTCTGCATTTAACCCCTCCCCTTGTGGAGCAGTGGGCTGCCATCATGGGGCGCCCGGTGAGCAGTGTGGGGTTAAGGGTCTTTGTTCAGCCAGCCAAAGTGGCAGTCTGTGGGAGTGGGTTTTGAACCCAGAACCTCAGGAATCCAAGCTCTATGCCCCAAGCACCAGCAAGCCACTCCCCAATTATCCGGGGATGAAACATAGGTTTGGCATTTTGCTGCTTTGTTGCCGTTAAACCTGCACCATTAAAACAGAAAGTAACTATGTGAAGAAAAGTAAGAATTAAAAAATCTTCCATTTATTTCTGCCTCATTTCATGAAACTGCTGCGAGGCTCTGTCTCCATAAAAAGCATCTGGCTGCACAGTATTTCAGAGAAAAGAAAACGTCCTACATCATTGATCGTTGCTAATAATGCTGGACAGGAGCACATCTTCCATAGATACACTGTTAAAACGATATAGAAATAAGTAAAAATGTCTGTTATTAAGTGTATTTACCCTTGATTTGAGCAGGTAAATGAGATAGCTTGCCAACGGAATCAGTACTTTTAGTCTTAAAATAAGATAATTAGATAATATTCACTTGAAATAAGACAATGCAATTGTGTTTTCTTATTTTAAATCTAAATTATCTTTTTCCATTGGCAAGGTGTCTCATTTATCTCCTCAATTCAAGAACAAATGCACTTATTTTAAGAAAAAATGACCTATCAAGGTTTTGATTTTTTGCAGTGTAATGTCACCATTTTTCAGCTATAATCTTCATTTGGTTGCTTTTAATTCTCTAGATGTCTTGACTTCTAAACTGAAAATGTTTATAACTGCTATGAGCTGCCAGCCTCAAGTGAAATCACTTCTCACCGTGCATGCCGTGCCTTTCGTCAGTCAGCAGCTGCGACAGGGCCCAGAAGGCGTCTTCCTCGTTCATGTACATCAGCAGCAGGGCGGCGATCTGACTCATGCCCTGGCAGTAGCTCACCTCCTGCAGGCGACAGAAAACACAGACATAAAGAGACCCAAACAAACCTTGACATCATGACTTTTGGGATCAATCTGTCTGCAGCTGCTAATAAAAACAGGAAAACATTAGAAAACATCCTTCTTTTTAACGTCATGTTTCCTACAGGCAGCGATGTTAAAAGACTAAAAACAGATCGGAGAAGCAGAGGATGGTGCTGTTCACCAGAGCTGCAAACATTTCCCATCTAAGATGGATTATTATGGGATAATCTGGAGGGAAGGAGGCTACTTACCGTGTTGTAAACTGAATATGCAGAGAGGACATGGAAGAGAGACTGCTGCCTGAGGGGGAAAGAAGAGAGAAACATCTCAGCGCTGAAAGGCAAAAACAATCCAGAAAACAATGATGGTTATTAATTCATCACAGCTAAAAGAGTCTGTCTCAGTCTTTCATAAGATTTAAATCCCTCTACTCTACTAGATTGTTTTCTGATCAGAATTAGAGATTTAAAATATGCATAGACACGTCATATGCTATTTTTTAAGTGTATCCATCAGTAATAATGTTGATGTGAAAGATTAGCACGCTCTGCTGCTGGTTACTTATCTTTTGACTTTATGATTTGTATTTTAATAAATAAAGATTGAGTGGAGGAACCAATACTGCTCGTGAGTATGGGGGTAAACAAGGCAGCATCGGGCTAACCCAGTTAGCATCGTCTAACGAAGTTGTATAAGTAATGAAATAAAACCGATACAAGCAACAGAAATGCTATTCTTAGTCTCTATTGAGTTCTAACATTATAGATGGACTGATTAAAATAAACAGAAATAACAGAAAACTACTCAGGATCAGATTTAGTTCAGATTTTAATGTGTTTAATTTGTGTTTATTTAAAAAGAAAAAGATTTTGTCCAACATCAGTCGGTTTTCAGCCAAAGCGAGCTGCAGCTTCATAGTGAGGCATTGCAGGACGGCTGCGCTCCACTAGTCGCCACGTCTCTTTAAATCTGCTGATTGTGCTTTTGCTGGTTTTCTATTTTACTGCAAAAAATATAAATCTTAGTCTCTTTTTTTTTAAATGAGTGCATTTTTGTCTTGAATTAAGCAGCTAAGCTTGACTCTTTACCAGTGGAACAAGACGATTTACATTTAAAATACAGAAAAAAACAACAGCCGTCTCTCATTCTAAGTGAATAATATCTAATTATGTTATTTTATGGGTAAAAATGCTCATTTTATTGACAAGTCATTTGATTTCCCTGCTCAATTAAAGGGTAAAGACTCTAATTTTAAGACATTTTCTACTTATTTTGAACACATTTTTGCAGCGTAGGCTCAAAAAATCTAAACTTAATGAGGACAAACACTTGGTTTATGTAACATTATTTTATGAGGATCAGGTGGTTTGTGGCAATTTTCTGTACAGGCTTATAATGTGACTGTGCATCTTAAAGTTTGTTACACAACTAAATGTGGAAAAGGCACTTTAAGTCGTCTCATCAATCAACCCATTAAACTGTTCCAGAGCTGGACGGTAACTAGTACGAATACTAATACTGTACGTTTAGTGCCGACTATTTTCTACAGTTTATAGCTGATCAGTGGGAGAGAAAATATGTTTCTTTCCGCCAGTATTTGTTTTATAACAATGATTTTTGTTATTTCATCTCAGTTTTATTTCATCATATAGTTTAGCTTTTTTTTCCACAGACAGCATCATTTTAACTAATTAAAGGTATTGTGGAGGATTTTCGTGAATATTTCCACTTTAAAAAAAAAATGCTCGAGCACAATCCCGTACTGGCTCCCCAGAGGGAACGGCTGTTAAACGCGTGTGATTTTCATTCACAAGCACATTTCTCCTCATGCACACGTTGTTGTTGTTTAAAGCAGACCACTGTGACAGCAAATCCCATAATGCTTTGCAAAGAGAGATCTGGGATATATCTTCCTCTTCTGAGGCCTTTCTCTTCTTCTCATACACTTCGTAGACATTTTTTCTCTTACAACCCTCGGCCATTTTCAAAGAACTGTGGTGAGAAAGGTGAGGTTCAATGAAACCGTAGTTCACCTCAGATATACGACTGAAAGTGCGCATGTGCAGAAAGAGACGGGCTGAGCACATAGGACGGCCTTACATAAACCTATCACCAGAATGAATGACAATTAGGAGGACCACTTATTTTGATGATCCACCCGAACATAAAAGATCGTCCTCTATTCCTTTAAATCAGAAAGAAAATCCCCTAATTAGTTCTTTAGAAGCTCTTTTATCAAATCCTAATTTTTCTCTCATGAAGCAGTTCTCTGTACGTCTATTGGAGTTAATATATATTGAGGAAATGCTCGTTTCCCCCGTTTGGCTGCTCTGTCTCTGCCTCCTTAAATAAATACCAATGTAACTCATCGCATCTTATTGAACTGCATCTATGTCACTTTTGGAGCTGAGTTGCCTTTAAGCCAATGTTGGCAGAGCAGTGCTAAAGCACAGGGGCCACCACAGGGGCCCTGGAGCTGATTCAAATCAGCAATAAATAAATGTCAAGAAGAAAAGCAGCTGAAACTGGTGTTTTGGGCCATGATGAGTTTCATTCATTCATGAAAGGAATCCTTCCTTATCCTGTCTAAAGGAGGAGACCCCAGGGGGCCCAACATAGCGACCTACTTGACCCCGAAGCGGTCCATGAACATGATGTGGTTTCTAAAGGTCCTGTTGATGTCCAGGTCGATCTGTTTGATCTCTGAGGAGCACAGCCGGGCCTGTTCCTTCATTTTCTATGAAGCAAAACAAACTCTGTTAAAAGCAGAAAAAAGGACAAAGCATAAAGAAAGATGTGATTCAAACCTCATATTTTCCCTCATTTTCCCGTTTGGTTCGCTCCACGTCCAGCATCAGCGTCCAGGCCCGGCCTCTGAGCTGCAGGGGGATGCCTTTATACACCCGTTTGACCATCTGAAAGCAGAGGGGGGGGGAGTGAATCGCCGCCAGGCGCTCCACTCTCACAGGAACAAAGCTGTCGCCTCAGAAACAGATTCAGATTCAGTCTGTCACACACTGTCACACTGGAGAATCCCACCTCGCATTATTTCAGATAATTAGGAGCCAGTATTTCTGGAGTATTTGGAGGCTTCCTCCTCTCTTAAGAGTTTTTTTTTTTGTGACAGAAGGGCGATCATAAGACTTCCTGCATCTCTCAGCTTATTTCAGGGACATAAGTTTAAAAACAATGTAGAAAAAAGTAATAATGTCTTAAACAAAGGGAATTTACTCCTGATTTAAGCAGGTAAATTAGATGATCTTCCAATGAGATGAGTATTTTACTCTTAAAATAATATATGAGGACTTCCGGGAAGGCAATGGAGGAGACGGACGCATAATTTTGCTGCTCCACCAGACCCACAATAAATAGCAGACAAAGTAATGAAAAGTGATAAATGAGTACTAAAATAAAAGGAAAGGGCTCAAGAGGACGGAGTTCTAGTCAAAATACGGAGAAGAAAGACATGAAGGCTGGTAGAAAAGACGACGTTATGGCAGGCTCCAAGCAGCTAACGTTAGCTGAAGCTACACCGTTGAAAGCTACAGGAGAAGCTAGCGGGGAAACAGCGATGCTAACGGAGTTACGAAAACTACGGCAGGAAAACACAGACTCATTTCGGGACCTGAAAAGCTCTCTACATCGAGTAGAATCATCCGTGGAGGACTTAAAGAAACGAATGGAGGGGCTGGACAGAAGATTGACTCAAGCGGAGGACAGAGTAAGTGCAACGGAAGACCGAAGCATACGGCAGGAGAAGGCGCTGGGATACTTGCTAGAGAGGGAAGCTATCCTCACCACTAAATGTAACGACATGGAAAACAGACTTCGCCGTAATAACATCAGGCTGTATGGCATCCCAGAGGGAGCGGAAAAAGAAGATATGGTGAACTTTGTCACAGACTTTCTGAGCACTTCTCTAGAGTTTCAGGAAGAAGTTGTAATTAAACTAGAAAGAGCACACGGAGCGTCAGGCCCCAAAACCTAAAGCCGCGGCGCCCCCAAGATCCATTATAGCCCGATTTCTGGACTTTGATGTAAAACAAAAAGTGCTATTACAAGCTTGGAAGCAAAGAAACATAAAGTACCAAGAGCACACAATTTACTTCGACCATGACTACTCACCTGACCTGCAGAAGAAAAGGAAAAAGGTCAGAGAGGTAATAAAGAAGCTTAAAGAAAAGAACATTAAAGCCCAGTCACCATACCCAGCTAAGCTTAAGCTCTTCATGAATGGGGGTACAAAACTCTTTCCCTCACTTCTAGCTGCACACTCTACACTGAAAGATCTTGGCATTGAAACATCCCTGGAGGACAGAGAGATATTGGTAGAGGAGTTGACAAGGGACAGATGGACAACCCAGGGAAAGAAGGGGAAGAGCCAACAGCTGAACCCTGTTGAGATCAGAGCCAATCTCCATGGTGACAACAGAGAGGAGAGAGCCAATGGTCGGAGTAAGGTCCTCATGTCTACTCTAGAACTGGTTGGAAGGTAAATAAAGACAAAATCTTTTGACGAAGAACATGGAAGACAATGGACAATAATTGTAGAATAAAAGAAAGACGAGTGGATTTGCAGGGGAATGTAATTTATCACAAAATATTGACTTAGATATATAGATTTAGGCTATAACATAATCGTTGGTAAATAAGCTACAAAACAGTGGGGAAGGGAGAAGGAGGGAAATTGGATGAAGCAAACTTTACAACCATGGCGGTGTGAGGACACTTCGGGGACGTCCTGGAGGACCATCGCCCAGGCACTTCATGCACAACACCCAGAGAGCTTTGTCTCTCTGCCTAAAGAAGATCAGGGGTGGGGGCCCCCTGACTTTGTTTGTATGGTTATGTTTATGTTCACTCCAGTTCAGGGGCAAACCACTGGGGAATTGGAAGTTCACAGTTGTTTTTCATGTTCAGGAAAACTGTTTTGTTTCTTTAATGTTCTGTGTCTCTCAGCAAACAATGTTTTCTATGTTGCTATGGCTTTTGACATTACACTGATGATAGTTATTAAGCACAGTTACAGGGAAGAGACAATAGTCAATTAGGTATGTTTATAGGGAAGGAAAAAGAAGAGGAAGAGAAGAAAAAAAAAGGGAAAGAAAGGGAAAAAAAAAGACCTTAAGCAATAAAAATGGATACATTAACAGTTATCACGTATAATATAAATGGAGTAAACAATCCAATAAAGAGAAATACAATTTTGACCCAGTTAAACAGGCTGAAATGTTCAATTGCAATGCTTCAGGAGACCCACCTTAATGAGACGGAACATAAAAAACTTAGAAGGGCGTGGGTAGGTCAGGTTTACAGCGCTTCATGCGAGGGGGGTAGGCGGAGAGGAGTCGCCATCTTATGCCATAAGTCACTAGGCTTCGTTGTAGAGAACACGTATGAAGACAAAAAGGGACGCTACATTTTGGCTGTAGGTACAATTAGAGGAGTGAGAATATCCCTCCTAAACATTTATGCGCCTAATGAAGATGATCCTAGCTTCTTCAAGGAAATTTCAGCTCTTTTGTCAGCAAAAGCTGATGGATTTATACTAACTGGAGGGGATTTTAATTGTGTGATGAACCACAAATTGGATAAATACCCACATGAACAGAGACCAGTGCCCCCGAAGGCAAAAATTCTGCCTAGTTTGATTAAAGAACTGGGGCTAGTGGATATATGGCGTCAAAGCCACCCCAAGGGGCGTGATTACACCTTTTATTCAAAGGTCCATGGAAGCTACTCCAGAATAGATCTCTTTTTTGTCTCAAAGAGGGATGCACATAAAGTTACAAATTGCCATTTTGAACCAATAACAATATCAGATCACAGTCCAGTAGTGATGACAATAAATTTAGAGAATAATACACAACCTAAACAGTGGAGAATGAATGTTTCACTTCTAAATGATCCAGAAATAGTTCAAAGAATTAAAAGAGACTGGACTGAGTATATGGAACACAACGACGATGGGGAAGTATCAGTGTCAACTCTTTGGGAAGCTGGAAAAGCTGTGCTGAGGGGTAGGTTGATTTCCTTATCATCCCAAATAAAAAGAGAACGCGATAAAAAAAGAGTGGAGTTAGAAAATCGTATACGACAATTGGAGGAGGAACATAAAAAGACTGATGAAACTACTTTAAAATCTCTTGGCGAACACAGACAATCACTGGATGTTTTGTTGACGCACAAAGCAGAGGGGGCATTACGGTTTGCTAATCAAAGTATTATGAATCAGGAAATAGGGCCAGTAGGTTACTAGCATTTCAGCTGCGCAAGAAACAGGCAGATCGAACAGTGGAAAAGATAATGAATCCTCTCACAAAGAAAATTCTGTCTCAGCCTAAAGACATTGCAGAAGCTTTTTCAGCTTACTATGAGACACTTTATGACTCAGAGGAAATAGACAGTAAAATAGACAAGATTAAGAATTTGATGGGTGAAATTCAGTTACCAAAATTAACTGAAAATGATGCCAAAGAGATGAGAGATCCAATCACAAAACAAGAAATTGAGGTGGTCATAAAAAATTTAAAGAACAACAAAGTGCCAGGAGTCGATGGATTCCCGGCGGAATTTTATAAGCATTTTAAAACTGAGGTCACCCCCTTATTACAAAGAGTATTTAATTATGCCCTCACGAATACGGACCCCCCAAAGCATTGGTCAGAAGCAATAATATCCATAATTCCCAAAGAGGGCAAGGACCCCATAAACTGCTCGTCCTACAGGCCAATAAGTTTGCTCTGCTGTGATTTAAAAATTTTAACTACAATACTGGCAAACCGAGTTCAAAAATGTATCCACACAATAATTAAGCCGGATCAAACAGGGTTTATAACGGGACGTTTAGGGATAAATAATATTAGGAGAACCTTGAATGTGATCTCTGTGGCGAGACAGAAACAGGATCCTTCAATGCTTCTCAGCCTTGATGCTGAGAAGCATTTGATAGGGTGGACTGGCAGTACCTGAAACACACACTGGCAAAAATGGGATTTCATAGAGACTTTATCAATTGGATTAGTGTGCTATATTCTGGACCCACATCTATAGTACGGGTGAATGGATACTCCTCAAAGAAATTTGGTTTAAAAAGAGGAACTAGGCAGGGATGTCCTCTTTCACCTCTACTATTTGCTATCAGCATTGAGCCCCTGGCAGAAAGAATACGGACAGACCCTAGAATTCATGGAGTAACAGCAGGTGGAGTCACCCATAAAATCTCACTATATGCTGATGACATTATTTTGTATATCTCTAATCCTCTGTGCTCAATCCCTGGACTTATGACTAGTTTAAAAGACTCCGGCTATAAAGTTAATGAAACCAAGTCAGAAGCTATGATGTTAGTGGGAAAATGGCCTACAGATTTAGATAAAGAGGTCACCTTCAATTGGTCCAAGAGGGGATTCAAGTATTTGGGTGTGACGATTACACCACAAACCTCACTACTATTTAATGGAAATTTTAGTAGCTTAATCACACAAATAAAATCAGACCTGTCTAGATGGGAGATTCTCCCTCTGTCCTTTTTGGGCAGAATAGAAACAGTGAGAATGAATATACTCCCACGATTAATGTATCTATTTCAGGCACTTCCTATTTGGATACCTGCCTCCACTTTTAAAATTTTAGATAAAATTATTAATAACTTTATTTGGCAAAGGAGGAAAGCAAGAATCAGACAGAAGTTACTGTTAAGCCCAAGAAGAAAAGGTGGCCTTGGTTTGCCTAATTTGAAATTGTACTACTGGGCAGCACAACTTAGCGCGGTGGTCCAGTGGCTTGTGCAGGATGAGGAGACGAACTGGATTGGTCTGGAGAACAATGCTTGCCCACTGGTACCTCTTGATGCGATGCCATTTATGGAGGGAAAAAATTGGAAGGATTTAAAAATTGAAAATGAGTGGATTAACTGTACATACAGAGTCTGGTCTCTAGTGAGGAAGAAAATAGGAGCACCTTTAACTACATCACGCATGATAAAAATAGCCAAGATTACTGACTTTTTTCCAAACAAACTAGATACGGGTTATCAGAGATGGGCTCAGAAAGGATTAATAAGAATTAATCAGTTATTCAGTGGAGAAAATATTAAGACCTTTAAGCAATTACAGGACAAATATGGATTATGCTCAAAAGATTTCTATAAGTATTTACAATTAAGAGATTATCTTCTATCACATAAAGAATGGCCTAAATTGAAACAAAATACTTCACCTTTGGAAATATTTTTGATAAAATGTGTGGAGGAAAATAATAAGAGGAAGATCATATCTAATCTATATAAACATTTACAAATGCATTTCTCTGACAGCTCTATAGACATAAAACAAAAGTGGGAACTTGAAATGAATATTGTTATTGAAGATGAGGAGTGGGAGGAGATTTGTGAGAAAGGTTTTAAGATCACCCACAGTCCAAATTGGAAAGAATTTGACTGGAAATTAAAAATGAGATTCTTCAAAACACCTTTCAGTATTTCAAAATACGACAGAAATGCTACAAATATGTGCTGGAGGAATTGTAGTCAGATTGGGGATCACACTCACATTTTTTGGGACTGTCCAGTACTGATTCCATTCTGGCAGGGGGTTCAGATAGAAATTAAAAATATACTCAAGTTTACGTTACCACTGAACCCACTGCATTATATACTGGGTTTGACCCCAGGAGATGATATTGGGAAAAAGGAAGTCCAGTTACTACAGATCCTGCTACTAGTAGCAAGAAAAATTATAACTTTGTCTTGGCTCAAGCCTTTGCCTCCCACCCTTCAACAGTGGCAAGACAGATTGAAGAATGTGTATATCATGGAAAAGATAACAGCAAAACTTCATGTAAAAATTGACATTTTTTTGAGTGTTTGGACCCCAGCTATTTCCCACTTTGGATGGCCACTTTGATAAAGATGCTAAAACTGCTAATCCCCTTGACATGTCTCTCTCTTTTAATGAAAGACACTGGATATAAACATTTCTCTTTCATGTGAGCCGATGAGAACCTCTAAATGTCAATTGCCAAAATGGACTTAAGTGTTTGCTGAGACCCCCCCCCCGTTTTTTTTTTTTTTTTTTTTTCTCTATGTAAGTACATGCATAAATATACATATGTATATGTTCTGGATTTCTAATAATCTTAAATAAAGAATGTTCAGAAAAATAATAATAATATATGATAATATGCACTTAAAATAAGACAATACAATTGTTTTTTCTTATTTTAAATGTAAATTGTCTTATTCCATTGACAATTCCTCCTCATTTCAAGAACAAAATGCACTTATTTTAAGAAAAAATCACTTATTAGATTAAACTTCTTTGCAGTGAAAAGATCATGCATATAAAACCAACTTTCACTTCTTCTTTGTTTTTTTCTCATTTAGAAAACGTTTGGATGAGCAGGATCCCATGTTTTACTGCAATTTGATTCCACCTGTTTTTGGGTTTCAGATTGATTTGTTTAGTACTTTAATACTCATAATAAACACATTTTGCATTGAGGTGATAAAGTACGTTTGATTTGACTAGAATGCTTCTTAAACACTGTTTGGTTATTTTTCCAGAGGCTTCCAGTTGGGAATCAATTTTCAGTGCAGACAGGTTTGAGTGGCTTTTTAATTTGTGTGGCTTTATAATGACAAGCTGGGGCACCAGATGTGAACGTTGCCTCAGAAAACGAGTGTGATACTGTATGATTGCCTACTGAGGGTTTTAATAAAAGCCTTTTATTAAAGTGGGGGGGGTTGTGCTTTATTGTAGTGGTCACCTGATATATAAATAAAAAAGTCCAAATGCTGATGTCAATTTTAATCATTATCCCAGGGTGGCCTAGCTGGATGGAATCAGTGACCCGAATATTATCCGCACATCAGTAAATATGAGGCCGGTGCCTCTGCACATCAAAATGCTCTACACTCGCCGATGGAGTTGGACTTAAAGAAAAAAGGGTCGCTCACACCTCCAAATTGTGCCCACATTAGTCAACTGTGATGGTTGATAGAAGACCTGGGAAGGTTTTCAGGCTGCAGATAAAAACTGTAAAAACTCAAAGAGCTTTTTTTTTTCTTACAGGACTTTACTGTAACCATTGTGTAAAAAAGTGTTTACTTCTACTTCCATGCATGGATCTGCTCCTAGCTGCTAATCTTTGCTAAATGGTAAATGTCCTGTACTTATACTGTATAGCGCCTTTATTCAAGTCAGGAGACTTGACCAAAGCGCTTCAGTCATTCACACACACACTGATGGTGGCAAGCTACATTGTAGCCACAGCTGCCCTGCGGCTCACTGACAGAAGCAGGGCTGCCGTACACTGGCGCCACCCTCTGACCACCATCAGTAGACAATGCAGGTGAAGGGTCTTGCCCAAGGACACAATGAGACTGAAAGTCGGAGTCGGGGTTTGAACCGCCAATCCTTTGATTTCAGGGCAAACTCCTACATCCAACGCCACTGTCGCCCCAATCTAATCTAATCTTTCTACTGTTCCATTTGGCGACAAATTCACTTCAAGGGTTTAACCACCATCTAAAGGGCTGGAGGGAGAAATGTTGTGTCCTACTCTTGTTAAATATATTGCGATTAAAAATCAGTCCCTCTGCAATTTGAAAATTGCATTTTGTTAAATTTCAATAGTATTGCAAATGCAATCAATTGCTTAGCCTTAGTTGGCATTAAAACCAATTCATCTCAGGGGAAAGATGTTTGGCGCTGTGCAACGTTATCTTAGAAATAAACAACTTCTAACTACCAGCTCTCATGCTGATAATAAGCTTATTAAGACTCTGATGGTGACCTTACCTGCACAGACAGGTGGAAACTGAGGGTGTAGGTGCAGAAAACTTCCTGCGTATACCAAAACATTTGGGAGGACAATGAGGACAAAGGCCCTTTTAAACTTAAGAGGTTCAAAGTTGTTGCCCAAACAATAAGACCAGCAGCTTTGTTTTCTTTCCCTTTGGCTCATATCCTGGTCTGAATCGTCTAAAATGAAAACTCTGTTCTGAGTTTGGTCATTTTAGCTTCTGTAGAATCCAAGCAGTCCCTCACCTTGTCACTGTTCTTATATTTGTCCCATTTATTCACCATCTTCAGCCATTTCTCCGCTCTCTCGATCTCCAGCTGTTTCCACTGCGAAGAGGACAGAAGAAGGTGACTAAATAAAATCTGAATAATGTTGGATTTCTCAGCTTGGGATGTTTCCTGTCTTCACCTTCTCCTCTTGCACAGTTGGGGCCGGCAACTCATTCTCACTGGAGGAGAAAAACGAAAACAATCAGGTTAAACCTAACAGCGCCCCCATGTGATGCTGTGACTTACTGCATGAAGCCGAAGCGGTCGATGGCTTTATAGATGCTGTAATCAGCATCTTCCCACGGATCGATCTCCACGCTGCCCTGCCTGCCCTGGAAGCAGAAACAAACACCGGACATGATGCGTCATACTTTAAGTTTGAATTAATCTGATAAAATTCAGAACCATTCAAGCTGAAGATTTAGATGATCAAATGCTAAATTTTGGTTTTAGCTTATTTAAAAAAGAACAACATTGAGTGATTTTGTATTAATACATAAAAAGTAACAAAAATAATCTTAAGGGGTTGATTTTAAAATAAAATCGAATAAACAAAGAGTAGACAGTACTACTAAAATAAATTGGGAGCGTAGTATTAACTATTTAAGCCAAACTACCATCAGAATTTATTTTAAATTCAGAAAAAAAACAATTTCTGGTTGAAGTGTTGACATAACAGAGATCAGCCTGCAGGAGAGGCTTTATGCTCTGCTCTGCATTACAACACTGCTGTGTGGCTAGATGACAGCCAATCAGCCGCCTGCTCACACTGATGAAGAGGAGGAGGAGGAGGTGGTTGGCTTACGCTGGAACAGTGAACCCAAGAGGCCTGAGGAGTGATGTCAGCACCATGAAAGTGAAAGAACTAAAAATATTCCAACTCTGAGGATATGTGGAGCAGCAGAGGCAGGCGGAGCGGCTCTGATTCAGATCTGCTTCAAAAAACCCAATAAAACAACCGGACCTTCAACAGAACTGAGACATTTCTGAACAGATGGATTTTTAGATTAACAGTGTGGTTGTCTGGGGTGGATCTGAGCAGTCAGTATATTACCTGCTTTAGATGGAAAATATGGGGACCAGAACTGGGTCAGAATAAATTGATCAAATAAAAGAAACTACGGTAGGTGTTTAAGGTAGGTGTTGAAACTGCAGCGTTTCACCAGAACCCTCCGCAGGAAACAACCCTTGTTTCTAATAAGCCCAAAAGTGGCAAACTGGGACCCACAAACTCAGACTGGAAGGATATTTCTCCATCCTTATTCCCACCTGGAAAATATCTAAATTCCAGGCCTTTCCAGGTACCCTGGAAAAGGCGTTTGGAATGAGACAATGAGGGACAGTAGCAAACAAAGAGCATATTTAGCCAAATTAACCCAGAAGAAGCAGAAAACTGCAGATTGACAAGTTTTAACTCGTAAAAAAAACTTAGATCTGATCAAGGCTGCGTCTCAAACGTGCATTCAGGTTTATGGAGAAAGATCCAAAAAGTTTTGAATGAAGTATTGGACTTTTCTTCAAAATAAAGATCTCTCTAAATCTTTGTCGATACTCTCTAATATATCTTAAATCAGATAAATGCACTGTTACATAACAAAAGCACTTTGGCAGCCAAACATGGATCTTCCCACACATGTATTGTCTTCTACACATGCACAAACCTAAGCTCACAAACACATTTTAACTCCTGGGTCCATCCTGTCCAGTACCCCCAGTGCCTTTCACACCACCAGTCATTTACATTCAATGAACACTCCATTGAATGTAAATCCTTTATCCTTATTTGTCCCACAGTGGGAAAAATTCGCTCTCTGCATTTAATCAATCTCTTTGGGGAGCAGTGGGCTGCTACTGTTGGCGGCCGGGGCGCAGTGTGGGGTTAAGGGTCTTGCTCAGAGACCCACAGTGGCAATCTGTGGCAGTGTGTGGGGCTTGAACTCAGAACCTCTTGGACCCAAGCGCAATGCTCTAACCCAGGGGTCCCCAACCTTTTTTAAACTGAGAGCTACTTCATCGGTACCGTGTCACATGAAGGGGCTACCAATACTGACCTTTGAACTACAAGGGTCAGCGCTTACCAATAAACATATTTGCAATGCTTTATTGAATTTAAATATTCTCATTTTTAAATCTTAAGACGTGTCAGTGTGATTACAAAAGTAGAGCAACAGACTAAAATAACCTTTTAGAGGCAGCTCACTGAAAGGTTGTGCTAGTTTTAGAACAGGCTTGATGGCACTACATGTGGTCCTTGGGGGCTACCTGGTGCCCGTAGGGCACCATGTTGGTGACCCCTGCTCTAACCACTAGGACACCACAATGAAGATTCAACATGAAGATCAGCTGGAAGCTCCTCCTGGCTAAAGGAGACAGAAACTTACTGTAGCATATTTTAGGATGATGTCAGCTCGTTCCTCAGCTATCAGAGTCTCGATGTCTTTCTTCATGTCAATATCTGTAGAGAGAGAAGAGGGAGCACTTGGTCGGAGAAATGGTGATATAAAAAGAAAGGTGGGTGACTGCGTCTAGACCAACGGCATGGAATCGCTTTAGCACGCTTTGTGTGTAATGAATTCACAGATCACAGGCATAGTGAAATGAAAGCATCAGGTTTCTCTGCACTTGAATGAAGCAAAAATACTTATGGGACAGTATCCTATGGACAGATCGGACCAAAGTAGAGGTGTTTGAAAGCAATCTAGAGAACCAACTGGATCCTCATACCAATCACAAGGTAGAAGGATGATTATTTGGGGCTCTAGACACCTTAAAGGAGCCATCAGCGGAAATCAGACTTTTCTATGTCAGAATGTGTGTATTAGCCTTAAGGTAAAACCTTTCAAGCAGGCTTTTTTTAAACCAGAAAAGATCACAAGAGTGTGCTCTCAACAAAGTCTTCCTGGAATTATGTATCTGTAGAGGATGCTAACATTAGCCTACCTTCCTATCAACACTGTCCAATCAAAGCCTCTCCTGCAGGCAGTCGGTAAGTGTTGCTACTTGTGTAACTCTAACTATTGTGTAAGAGACCTGGAGGCTATTGTAAACATGGCGAACTGCTAATGTTGTTATCCACATAAACGTGCATACACACAATTGAAATTTCCGTTTGTACTCTTGTGAGAACAAAGGGGTATGAAAAAGGGTCCAGTTAAGCTTTATTGAATTGAATTTGAAGATAAAGTTACCAGGCTTTGACTCATTTTAACATTTAAGATGTTCAAACCTAGGACTGAACTATGCTGATGAAGGTTCTCAGTCATCCAGGTCCACCCAGACCCCTTCGCCTTTCCAATATGCAATATGGATTCAAAACAAAAACAAGCCTTTGTTGGGCTACTGTATAAAACCTTGAACTCAACGCTATTCCTGACATTTTGAATTAAAAAAGATTCCAGGATGGGAAGCGAAACGTCTTCAAACTCGGAAACCAAGTCCAGTGGATTGTTTAAATTTTTTTGGAATGACTAGGACTGAACTGTTCGGGTGCACTTCTCATTAATAGTGAAAAGGTCATGGGTTTGAGTCCTGGTCACTGGTCATGTTGTGTGGAGTTTTCTTATTCCCCATGTGCAGGCATTGGTTCTCTCTGGGCACTACAGCTTCCTCAAACAGCTAAAATATAGAATTGTAGATTAAACGGATATAATTTGTTGTGTGATGGACCGGCACCCTGTCTATGCTGTACACAACCTGTTTCCCAATTTTCAAACTGAAAAACATGTTAACAACTCTCCAACATGGGGTTGGTAGCATCAAGCTGTGGGCTTGTTTCCCTGCCAGCTGTTATTTTATGGAAGTCAAGAAATTAATGATGAATAAAACCCGAATCAGGAGCCGAAACTTGAACAATGATCTCAAACACTTGTCCAGAAAGGGTTTATCCAAAGAAATATCAGGTAAGAATAAAGTCAGAAGCTTGGTGATGCTCTTGAGGGCAGTTCTACAAGCTGAACCGTTTTTACTATGTCATTCTACAAGTTTTTGTTGTTAGCAGGGTCGATTTCCAGTCAGAAAGATTTTCCTGAAGCCTCCTGCTGGTGAGATATGCCCAGAAAACCAAAAGCTTGTTGATGGCTACTTAAAGTTAGCTTTGCCTCCAATTATTTGTGTATTAATAAATATGAGAATATAATCTTGTCCCGCTTCAACTGTTCAAGACCAACCCAAAACAGGTCATTCAATCACATTTCAGTAATATGGTTCTCAGCAGGACATAAAGGTGGCCTCAAAGCAAGAGCTGCCGAGTCCAAAGCCAAATAAACATGGCAGCACAGAGGGACATAAGCATAGCAGCTATTTTGATCTCTTCTGTCAGAATCAACAATTTCATTTTTTAAATATCAACAGCGAGAATGTAAAACCTAACTTGTCTCTTTTGAAGTCTGCCGCTATTTCATTGACCATGATTGGCTAAAACCAAACTCTGGTAGGCAGTAATGATTTTGCCAACCTCTAAAAATTGCCAATACGTTCAACCAAAATTACAACTGTATTTCGATTTTTCTTTCATACTAACCACGAGCATATTTGCATTTCAAGGTTTTAGTATTTTTAATGACCTTTAAAGCTTGTTTGTCCAGAGTCTACTTTGCAGGACTTTACTGTAAACTTTGAAAAAGTGCTTACTAGCAAGCATAGATATGGGATGCATGCTCATAGAAATAGCTGGAATGCTCTATTGCCTTTTTTTATGGTAGCAAAACCACTTGAAACATATTATTGAGGTAAGTTCTACCCTCCAGAGCTGCACGGTGGAACAGTGGGTAGCGCTGTTGCCTTGCAGCAAGATTGTTTGATTCCCGGCATAGGGTCTTTCTGCATGGAGTTTGCATGTTCTCCCTGTGCATGTGTGGGTTCTCTCTGTGGACTATGGCTTCCTCCCACAGTCTAAAGACATGACTGTTAGGTTTATTGGCTCTCTGTGTCTGTGTGCGTGCATGGTGGTGTGTCTTTGTGTGTCTCTCTTTTGCCCTGCAACAGACTGGCGAACTGTCCAGGGTGACCCCGCCTCTCACCCATAGACTGATGGAGATAGGCATCAGCCCACACAGCGACCCTGACAGGAATAAGTGGGTGAAGATGAATGGATGAAGTTCTACCCTCCTGTCCTCTAGCCTGGTCAGTCGGACTAATGCGCCCTATACACAGTGTATCATTCTGGAAAGACAGCAATTTTGCATTATGGGCCGAGGTGGGTACTAATTAGTTAGATTTACTTGAGTAAAGTTTTTTTTTTATTTACTTTTAGGACTAGTCTTACTATGCCGTACTCCTACTTGGGTAAAATCTCTGAGTATTCTGTCCTCTGGGAGTAATTTAACTACTGCAAGATGAGGTAAACATACAGTAAACTGTAGATATTAACAGTGGTAGTTTGTTAAAACAATTGGTACTGTAAAAGTATTTCTTATGCACTAATTTGTTATTTTATATTGATGACATTTATTGGTATTCTTTAGGCGTTTGAGCCTTTAAATTGCCAGAACTTCCAAATAAAGTCTGTTTGCCAGCATCATTTCTAAAGATTAAAAACCTCATGCTATTATTCAACAGTTACTCTGGACTCAAGTATCCTTTCAACCACATACTTTTGTACGTTTACTTGAGTAATTTCTTGGAAGACTGCATTTTACTTTTATTTGACTAAAAAAGTATGATACTCTTATTCGAGTACAACTTTCGGGTACTATACTCAACTCTGATTATGGGTAATTCTGGGGCAAGTGTAAACTCCTGCCTCCCGCATTGTGATTGGTCCGGTCTGTTTTAGAAGAGAGTCTGAGCTTTAACTGATAAACTTCTGTCAGGCCAGGCTACCTTTATGGCAAAAGATTTGATTGGAGCAGTCCCAGATTAATAATGTGTAGAACCAAACCTGAGTGGCGTATATTGTCAATCAGGCTTGCCCATTTAACTTAAATCCTCTTCAAGGTCCAACCCATTGATAGACATTTACCTGAATCCTATCACAGTTGTCATTTCATAACTTTGTGAATTAAAGACGACCAACAGCAACTCAACTGTTTGCACCCATACCATATTTTTAAAAACCATGAATGCTGTTGATTTGTTAGATTGTTTGACCCCAGAGGAGTCAAAATAAAGTGTTCTAATCCCAAAACAGCATGACATGAACATCCATGGTGACTGGTGATTATTTAGTTAATTATTCCATTAAACTTCAATAAAATGTTAATTTCTGGGAAAGCCAGATTTTTTTAGCTCCGATGCAAAAAGAAAACCACTGAAATTTCTTCCTATGATTTCTTTTCTCCTCTTGAAGCCCAACCAACTTTCTACAGTCAAAGTTTGTCACATAATGTTCTTCTCTGAGATGATGATGGTCAAAGGATCCCTCTGCACCAAAAGACCACAAGTATGAGCTCAGACGAACAGATACTTGAAATGCTATGGCTAAGTTATCTAAACCAGACAACAGAAACAGTTTTCCTTCCGTCAGCAAAGGCTTCACACTTTATAAATCTCCTGAGCATAGTTTAAAAGTGCATGAAGGCAGCAGCTCTGTTACTACTGAGGTCTGACTGTTGATAGTTAACAGAAGCTTTAAACATGAGTTGTCATCTGAAGCATATGGTGGCGACTGCTTGTGGTTTGGAGTAAATCACACACGAGTCCTGGCGGCAGTCCCAGTCTGAAGGGTGGAGGCCCAAACTGGGAGAGACTGGATGGCACTCCTTCTTTATCTGGCTGACTGAGAGACTTTTCACCAAAAACTGAACCAGGCCTGGAGCTCATTACAGAAACTACCTGGAAAAAGGAGATCAGAAGAACCCAACACTTTCGGGAAACTAATCCTGATGAAAGCTGTGGTTCCTTTGGACTTGACCCTCCATAAGACTAACCAAGCTATCTTTGTTGACTAAAGCCTTTTTCCCACTGAAAATCGTGGGTTAAGGCGGGTTTTTAAAACACGGGTCGAACCGCTAAAAATCAGCATTTGGCTTCCTTCCCATTGGTAATAAAAGCTGGGTCTAATCCCCCACTGGCAGCTTTGTGGCCTCAGTCCCCCCTGCAGCTGCGTGTCTGGTGACAAAATCATGCTGGTTTAGCTTTGATGATGTCACCAGTGTGACAGAACTCAGGAAAGTAAACAACTGAGAGCAACATGGGAGGAAGCCAGGGAAGAGTCAGTGTGCTTTATTGTTTTGCTCTGTTATCTGTCTGAATCTCTCTCACCAGAGCTTCTCCATGTTAATTGAATGTAAACAGAGTTGTTTCGGTTGTTAGATTAAAGTGACTGGCGCTGTGTGTTGACGTCCATACGTCAATGGTGTCTCGTAAATTAGCGTTTTGACCCAGCTCTGGTGTTCCCATAGCATGCTGATCAGCGCTGAGGCGAATTTAACGTGGGTCTCTTGCTGAGTCGTTTGACCGTGGTAGACATGCGTCAGTGAGCTGTTTCCACTGCCACTTGTTCCCGAGTTTAAACGGGTTTTTCGGACAGTGAGAAAGGAGTATAATACATACAAATCAAACCAACAGATCCACTGATACAGAAACCAAGGCTTCAGAGATTTGCTAAAAATTCCCTTTAACAACTCCCCTTTCAGGACATACTGTAGGCAGGTTTCGGTTATTACAGGCTAACAAAGAAACCAAACGACCCCCATTACAAAGGGGCGGACCTGTTTTTCAGTTCAATTTGCATGTTTTCTAAGCCAAAGCCTTGTTTTGGTCCACTCTATAAAGCCTCGAACTCAATGCTATTTCTGATATGTTGAATTGAAAAAGCTTCCCAGATGTGAAGCGAAACGTCTTCAAACTTGGAAACAAAGTCCAGTGGATTGTTTTTTAACTTTTTTGGAAATTAAGAGATTTGCTCTCTTTAGGCACGGCAGTATGCATTGGGCAGCCATTTTGTCAACATTTAGTAGAGCTACTTTTAGACCTAATTAAGTTGATCAAACATTTTGGTTTCTTTGACCAAACCCTTTAACATCAGTCCTCATGACAGAACCAGTTAACTGGGTCAAGTTTAGTGGCTGCTTTTCTCACACACTACTATTCAGCTTGGCTCACGATTTTTCTGAGGGGTTGAGATCAGGACTGCGATAACATAATACAAATATCCAAGGCTGGACTATCTCCTATCTTCTAGAATAGGGTTTAAAATCCTCCTTCTCACATATGAAGCCTTAAATGGCCAAGCTCCATCTGATATCAGAGATCTGATTGTTCCTTATGTTCCTAACAGAGCACTTCGCTCTCAATCTGCAGGTTTACTAGTGGTTCCTAGAATTTCTAAAAGTAGAATGGGAGGCAGGTCTTTTAGTTATCAGGCTCCTCTCCTGTGGAACCAACTACCAGTTTTAGTCCGTGAGGCAGACACCCTGTCTACTTTTAAGGCTAGGCTTAAAACTTTCCTTTTTGATAAAGCTTCTAGTTAGAGTGGCTCAGGTTATCCTGATCTATCTCTATAGTTCTGCTGCTATAGGCTTAGACTGCTGGAGGACATAGGGACCCCTTTTTCATCATTCTGCTTCATTCTAATTCAACTCTCTGATTATTTAAATCCATAACTTTATGCTCTCTCTCCTTTTTCTAGTCATAGCAGCTTCATCTCGTCTTCTACCAGTTGGTTTTCCTTAGAAAACGTTTTACTAATCTGACTTCATAATCTGATTGAATTGTCTATGCAAAGCGCCATAAGATGACATGAGTTATAAATTGGTTCTAAGTAATTAACTGAATTTAATTCCTGATATCTTGTGTGATTTATTTTTAGATTTTCCTTTCACAAAGGGAAGCAGCATTTAATTCAGACCACTAATTAACCTATCAAAGGCCTACAAGATCAAATAACTTAAAGTGAACTTTTTTTTTTTTTTATTAACAGTTATCTGTGTGTAAACATTTGAATTTGAAAAAAAACTAAGCCTGGTGATCCTAGCTGATCTATTTTTTGTCACATTTTAAATGTTTTACACTTTTTTATAGCAGGCCAGCTTGAGCTGTATCTGCAGCTGTGAAATGTTGTTTATAAATGAAAGAGGAATTATAAACGTTGTATAAACACACACACACACACACACACACACACACACACACACGCAAATAAAATCCATCCGGTTTTAGGATTTCATGAATATTATTTATAATTGTTTTCATTCTGGGTTTGTTTCTTAAACAGTTCTGATGATCTCAGGCTCTGCTGTCTCCATCTGAAAACATCCGGAACCGGTTTTAGATCCAGACCTTCAGAACCGAAACAGCCTCTAATTCTCTGATGTAAACAAACAAACGCGCAGCCTCAGTGAGGGGGGGGGTGATGGGAGACAGTGCACCAGTCTCGCGCTTGATGATGATGATGCTTATTAGTATATTCGTACTATAATCTCCTAATAAAAGCCATTTCCAATGATGAATAAAAGCTCCATCTCACCGGGCTCCTGTGAGGCGTGTCTCCGCTATCCGTGCAGCAGCACAGCCGCGGCTCTTCCTGACATCCTCCGGTGAAAGTGATCCTGTAGACGGGTTGAAAACAAAAGCCTCCCCCACATAGGTCACCCGTTACACGGATCAGCCGCACACACAGAGCGGAGGCTCCGGGTCCTGGTTCCCAGCACTGATCTGGCCACCGGCAACCGAACCACAGCAGAAGAGATCCGGGCTTTAAAGACACAGAACCTGGAAGAGTTCCGATTGAAACAAACAGCCTGATGGGGCGACAGGACCGGTGCTCTGCTGACATCTGCTGGACAGACGCTGCAAGTGCAGCTGGGTCGCTCATCCGATGGATTTAAAGCTGAAGCAATGATGGACGCTGGGGGGCCGTTAGTAATATTGTAAGGGCCCTTGTCTGAGGGGGGGGCCCAAAACAAGAAGAAAAGATTTGGCTATTATTTTATAATGGTTTATTATAAGCATTTCTTGCTTGAAAGAATAAAAATAAGAAAGCAAATAGATTATATGTTTCTCAAAATTATTTGACACTGTTGTTCTTTTTTAAAATACTTTTTGTTCAGCTGCTAGTTCCTTTTGGTTCAGAATCAGAAATACTTTAATAGTCCCAGAGGGAAATTACTTTTGTTACACGCTCCTGTTAGTTTTATATATATATATATATATATATATATATATATATATATATATATATATATATATATATATATATATATATATATATATATATACACTATATTGCCAAAAGTATTTGCTCACCAGCCTTGACTCACATATGAGCTTAAGTGACATCCCGTTCCTAATCCATAGGGTTCAATATGACGTCGGTCCACCCTTTGCAGCTAGAACAGCTTCAACTCTTCTGGGAAGGCTGTCCACAAGGTTTAGGAGTGTGTTTATGGGAATTTTTGACCATTCTTCCAGAAGCGCATTTGTGAGGTCGCACACTGATGTTGGACGAGAAGGCCTGGCTCTCAGTCTCCGCTCTAATTCATCCCAAAGGTGTTCTATCGGGTTGAGGTCAGGACTCTGTGCAGGCCAGTCAAGTTCATCCACACCAGACTCTGTCATCCATGTCTTTATGGACCTTGCTTTGTGCACTGGTGCACAGTCATGTTGGAAGAGGAAGGGGCCAGCTCCAAACTGTTCCCACAAAGTTGGGAGCATGGAATTGTCCAAAATGTCTTGGTATGCTGAAGCATTCAGAGTTCCTTTCACTGGAACTAAGGGGCCAAGCCCAGCTCCTGAAAAACAACCCCACACCATAATCCCCCCTCCACCAAACTTTACACTTGGCACAATGCAGTCAGACAAGTACCGTTCTCCTGGCAACCGCCAAACCCAGACCCGTCCATCAGATTGCCAGATGGAGAAGCGCGATTCGTCACTCCAGAGAACGCGTCTCCACTGCTCTAGAGTCCAGTGGCGGCGTGCTTTACACCACCGCATCCGACGCTTTGCATTGCACTTGGTGATGTATGGCTTGGATGCAGCTGCTCGACCATGGAAACCCATTCCATGAAGCTCTCTGCGCACTGTTCTTGAGCTAATCTGAAGGCCACATGAAGTTTGGAGGTCTGTAGTGATTGACTCTGCAGAAAGTTGGCGACCTCTTCGCACTATGCGCGTCAGCATCCGCTGACCCCGCTCCGTCAGTTTACGTGGCCTACCACTTCGTGGCTGAGTTGCTGTCGTTCCCAAACACTTCCATTTTCTTATAATACAGCTGACAGTTGACTGTGGAATATTTAGGAGCGAGGAAATTTCACGACTGGATTTGTTGCACAGGTGGCATCCTATCACAGTTCCACGCTGGAATTCACTGAGCTCCTGAGAGCGACCCATTCTTTCACAAATGTTTGTAAAAACAGTCTGCATGCCTAGGTGCTTGAATTTATACACCTGTGGCCATGGAAGTGATTGGAACACCTGATTCCAATAATTTGGATGGGTGAGCAAATACTTTTGGCAATATAGTGTATATATATCTATATATATCTATATATAGATATATGTATATATATATATATATATATATATATATATATATACATATCCAACTACACAAGATAATGAAGATAAAATAAAAAAGATAAAATATATACACATATAGCTCTTCTGTATATATATATATATATATATATATATATATATATATATATATATATATATATGTATATATATGTATATGTAAAACTAAATCCAAGTAAAGTGATGAAAGTGTTGCTGTTTTTTTCATTCATCGTAGCAGACAGCAGCCCTAACGACTGAATCTGGACGCCACTGTTTTAGAGATTTAATGACGACCCACTAATATGAGAAACTCAGCAGATATTATTAGTAGTTCATCATTTTATTAAGGCGTTAGTTGTTGCTATGTGACCAAGTTGTTCAGTAGGATGAGTCTCAAAGCAGAGTTATAGTTTCTTTGTGGTAATATATTCAACCTTAAACCTCTATTCCACAGTGAAAGAATGAGGGGAATCAAGAATCCTCCTGTTTTTGTTTTTTCTTTGGTTTGTTTTCAAATAAGAAATAATAATAAAATAGCTGACCTTATTTATTTTATTATTCTGGAAGGAATTGAGGTTGTAGCCCCTAAACTGTGCAATAAACTGATCCTGCAAACCCAAGTCATCACTCTTCCCCCTCCGTGCTTGCATGAGGCTGTGCATCGTGGTCTAATATCAGGTGCAGAACTGTTTAAAACAACATAAAAAAAAGTTTTATCTACATCAATCAGATGACCAAAAACTTTAAACTTCAACCTCGGGACAGCAGATTTTCAGATTTTGTCAATTTATTCAAAAACACTGGTTTCCCATCAACACACAGAAAGACACTAAGATTGTCTAAGCTGTAATTACAAAACAATAAAATCACAAAGAAACAGGCAGTTAAAACAACTTTAAGTTGAACAGGAACCCTTTAAACATCAGGTTAGACTCAAACATGAAGTCAGTCAAGATCCAAGTAATAAACATGGCGTCATGTTGATTTGGCTAAAAGACATTTAGAGGGTTAAAGATGTGTGGCACTTCATGGTAGAGTTTATAAATCTGTGCAAAATGTAGAATTTATGAGTCCAATAATCAGGAACCCATCAAATTCCCTTCATAACTCCAACATATTTAGAATAAAAAAAAAAAAAATCTGCTTCAGGCACTGAAAATCATCTTCATTATTAAATTTTTCTATTCCATTTTTGATAAGCAAACGCTGTTCTCTTCCTTTAGTTTTTTTCTGTTTAGTTGCTTTAGATCACAACCTTCCTTCTGGATTTTATAATAAAAAAACTTCTCATAAATCCAGGTAAATTAAACCAACTGGATCTGAGCAGGTCCTGCTGAGCTATCGGCTAGTTTATGGTTATAAAATAGCACCTGAGCCTCCAAATGTCCCTTAGAGCCCGAATAAATTGGCGTTAAGAGAACTAGAAAATGTAACAAAAAGCCGTGTATAAGAGGACTAAACAAATTAGCCCACCGGAGCAGTGGAGTGGAGGATGAAGGTTACCCTGAAGGAGCCAACATCCTCTTTACACTAAAGCACGGTGGTAGCAGTATCATAACTAGGGTTTACTTTAAAGCTCAGAGGAATTTGTCAAGCGCTTTGTTCTCTGAAGGTTTATTGTCACAGTGTTTATCAGAAAAAGCTAACTAGATCCAGCTTGCCTTAAAGTTGCTTCACTGCTCCAGAGCAAATCAGTTCAGCTGATCCCAAACCTTCATATGGGGTCAATATTTCTAGAGATTTCAGCTTTTTTCCATCCTCTCTGTCTCTGTTTTTATCTGCGCTGTAGGTAACCCTCCACTGGTATCCCTGTGATCTGACCTCAGAGGACGGACGGAGTGCAGAGAGAGAGAGAGAAAGCAGATTCCTACAGCTGCTTCACAGTGTTTCTTTGACCAGTGCCTGATTCACACGGCCGGTCCTTAAAACTGGTGCTTTTCAAAAGTTCACAAATCAAACAAGTCTGGTCCTTCGGCCACACAGCTACCTGCACAAACCAACACAAACCCTTTAACAAGAAAAAAAACCAGTAAATAATAGGGATGGAACGGTTTCTGAAAACCGTCCGAACCGTTCGGTTCGACTGTCTCAGTTCGGTTCGCGTGTGTTTCGTTCGGTTCATGCGCTGCTCCTTTTTCTCATAGGTGAAGGGTTTACACTCCAGAGCAGAAGGTGGCGGTACTGCGACCAAAGCCAGCCACCAGTAGTAAACAAGAAGAAGAAGAAGCGAAGCAGCGTAGCCGGGTGTAGCAGAAAAAAATCAGTTGTTGTGGAGAATTGTGTGGGTATGGCGAGTGGGAAAGAACAGGAGTTGGAAGACGCGCCAGCAGCACTTTATAGGTCTGCTGTATGGGACCACTTTGCATTTAGAGTGACCTACGATGACGGCGGGAAGAAAGCTGCGGATAAAAGTGCAACAGTGTGCAAGCATTGTGCAACACGTTTTGTTTATGCTAACAGCAACACGACCAACATGTCATGCTAACCCCGAAATCCCTCATCCTCCGTCAGCGCTCCGCCCCGCTGCGCTCCAGACCGGCTGCTCAAAGCAAAGCCTACAGCCTCCACTGTGGCTCCGTCCGCTCCGCTCTGAGTTCCTTGGAGATGGTAGAGGGCATGCGCCAGATGATTAAATTCAAAGCAGCAAAACATACGGAAATGATCCAGGGTTTCCGCGGATCATTAAAAATAATTACAATTCATACATTTTTTTTGGATTTTTTCATTAATTTCATTAATTTTTATGGGATTTCGGGGAAAGAATCAACATAAACCGAACCGAAAACCGTGACCACGAAACCGTGAACCGAACCGTGGATTTAGTGAATCGTTCCACCCCTAGTAAATAAACGAGGAAGAAGCAGTAGAGATAAACACTGTAGACTCATTTTAACAGAAACAAACACAGCAATAAAGAAGGTGATGGTTAAACTGGTGGAGACGATGAGCTGAACTGGTTAAAGCGGTGAGGTGTTGTGAGTTTTTCTGATTGGATAACCGTTGCATCCAACATGCTGCATCTTCATCTTTAAAAACAGTTCATAGTTCAGTCTGTTAAGGGCGGCTTCATTCCTCCACTTCATGTTCATTTTCATTAATCAGCAGTTTGTTAAATTATACAGTAAATGGACTGTTTTTTATGGGGTATTTCTCACTAACATTTCCAGCAAGCTTAATTTAGCAAAGAATATATTTCTTCTCATTCAGATTATACTTTACTTTAAGGCTGAGACAATTAGATTAATCTATTATTGAAATAATCAACTAATTTAGTAATTGATTAATTGTTAACTGGAGTATAGAGACTGTAAAGCGTTCCATTAGCTGACAGAGCAACCAACTTAGAGAAAAATTATACAAAGATTGTAATAAAATATATAAATTTTGTATTTAAGATGAAAAACTTTGACTGGAAAACATCCATCTTTCAATCTGCTCCAGAACTCCTCAAGTGGAAAAGTTTTAGCTTCACCTGTTTAATTTTTTAAGAAACCTTTGGCTATCTGATTATTAATCAATTAAATAATAAAATAATGGACAGATTAATCGATTAATCATTATATGCATCCCTACTGCCACCTACAGGTCAGGTATTGTTATTTTTTCAGGGTTTTTCCAATAACATTTCACTCTCATCTGGTTTTAATCAGTTTCCCTCAGAAGGAGCTGAAAACATTCATTCTTAAACAAAGAAGATTGTGAAGCTCTGATTGTTCTGCCTTCAGCAGGGAAGCAAACAAAACGTAGCAGCTGTGATCTCCTCAGGGCGCTCAGCTGAGGTCATAACGAGGACAATAAGAGGGGCTCTTCAAAAACAATCGCCTCGTGCAAAATAAAGAAACAAAAACTCTTTTTGGATCTGAGAGGGAAAACCTGGATATAGAGCAACCTTCACCTACTGGAAAGGAGCATATCTTTGCAGGTAGAAAACCAGCATAAATCTTTGGTCTGAAAGCATGATAATTGGTAGAAAGCTGCTGCTGTTTTAATTCACTGGTTTCCTTTATGGATTATTCTGGAAACGTCCCACTTTAAGCCGACAGCAGCTCTGTCACTTTCTCAAACATCTCAACCTGGAAATCACTTTTTTCCCTCCTTATAAAACCCAGACATATTTTTTCTTTGGTCTTTGTGCATGTTCGGTTAAATTTACCCAGAATGCATCCCAAAAACATCCCCCCAGGTTTCCCTCATTGTGAGATTCGGTCTGATTGTTCAAACTACCACCTGCTGCAGTGCAGACCAACACAATGCTGCTCTCTCACTGAGTTTTAAAACGCGGCGTGGCGTGCTCAGTTTATCCAGGCGTAGGTGTAAAGGCCATTCTTCCTCCAAAGCTCGCAGCGAGCCGACGAGTAGTTCTGCGTCACCTCCATGCGGTCGGACAGCAGAGCCATGGCTGCCGGGTACTCCGGCCACGCCGCCTCCATCTTTCCTGGAACACAACCAGAGAGAACGGTTTAAATGGCTGGAAATGGTTCAATTAGAATAACTGATTAATCCAATCAACTGTTGGTAGACGATGAGGTTCCCATCAGATCTACAGCTGACGTGTTAACAAAGTTCTACTAATTCATTGTTAAACATAAGGTTAAAGTTCAGTTTAGCCAGTTAAGAGTGACCTAGCGCACCTTCATAGTTCATTTTTTCAAAAATGAAAAAGTTCCCAAACCTATAAATGAACTACTTCAATTCATTTGGTAAATGAAGCCACAATCCTCATATTTCCCCTTTTTAAATGTGTGATCATAATATATAGAAGGAAATTGTAAAAAACAGGATCAGTCAAGGTATACTGGATGTGCAGTGAAGCCTTTATTTAGCCAAAATACACAGAACTTCAGAAACATTCAGGTTCTGCTGAAAAGATCTGGATCAAAATGATGTCTTCCATTCCTCATTCTGTAGCAGATATTTCCCATTATAACTGGGATGCTTTACCTCCATGTGTGGCTTTAAATTCGAAGTGGACATCGCTGACGTACGCACCTGTGTGTTAAGTCCCAGGGGGAACAGTTTGCAGTAAAACATGAGTTTTTATTTTGTCCCAGTCTTCCTTTGTTAGTTGATCAAACTCTGTCAGGCACTCTGATAAACTAGCATTGGAAATAGCAGCAGACTAGTGCTAGCAGTGGATATGCAGCTCTGTCAGGATGTTTACCGTAATAAATGCCGTAAAACGTTATCAACTGAACGCCAACGTGAGCTGTGTGTGTCGCTCATTATTCTCAGGTTGAACGTCGCTCTGGTTCACGTTCACTACTTCAAAACTGATCCGTTCAGTTCACTAAAAATAGGGAACTCCGTTTATTGAGCACGATCATATATAATCATAGATGGACGAAAAAATAAAGGGTTAGGTTAGACAAACAGACGGGCTGCTGCTCAATTACGTACATAACGGGCCGGATTAGATAATGCATAATTGAAAATATGATATTTGCGTATTTATCCAGGCAATAAAAGGCATTACAATCATTTTAGATAATTTTGCTTTAATAAGTAAAATAAAAAAATGTCTAAAAAGTATAAATAAATGAAAAACTTATAAAAGACATCAACATGGGAGATTTTAAACTTTCTAACGCCTCAGGGCAGTTCTTCCATTTAAGGCCGTTTTAAAATAGAACTAAGTGAACACAGCAATAGGAAGTAGCTCTACCTGTCTTGGCGAAGGCGACCAGGTGGTTTTTGAGGAGAGTCTGGAAGCTCCGGTCCTTTTCCGACAGAGGTTTGGGCAGAATGGAGTCCAATCCTCCAAAGAAGGCAAGAGCATCCAGAGAATGGAAGGAGAAGCGGCTGGAGAACGGCAGCAGGTCGCTGGACGTGTTGGCAGGTCCGGATGGGGTGTGCGTCACCACGTAGCGATAAACGGGACTGCTGAGAGCCGCTAGCAAACAGAAACAGAGGAAAGGTTTGCTGAGTTTAATCTTAACAACAGAGTATTCACAGCAACAGCTCCAAACACGGCTCATTAGCGCCCCCTACACATGGAAGAAAAGATTCAGACCTGGCCATGGCTCCTCCTAACCCATATGAAGGAAAGCAAACTCAGCTGCATCCTAACGCTTCTGTTTATTTGTGTGGGAATCTTTCACCATCTCATGATTCAAACCAATAAAAACTATTTTTCATTCAAAACTATTTTCGATTTTGCATAGAAACTTCTGAGCCATTACCTGATCATGATGTTTTCCATCTGCCTTGCGAGACAGAGCAACAAATCTTCACATTCTTTATTACGTATTTAACATCATCTATTCTAAGATGGAGTTTTTGCAACTTACAAAAAAAACAAAAAACAATGTGAATAACAAAAATAAAAGCTAAACACTCTGATACAGATACAGATAAAATCTGGCCCTGAATTGCTAATCTACTTAGCTAGCTATTAAATATTTTGGACCAAAAATAAAAGGTTCTGTATAATAGAAATGGTTAGATTTTATAAAATCTTCATAGAGTTGTGGCACAGCCTTCTCACTGAAAGCTGTCCCACTGTCTGCAACATGCAGGTCATCCTCTTGTTCTCCACCAAACTATATGGCCTTAGATCTTTGGCTAGCAGAGAGCTTCGTAAACCCTGCGGTGTGCGTCGGTCTGCAGCTGCTGGTGTAGGTCAGTGTTTCCTAACCCGGCCATAAGTGACCCCCCCCAGTCAAAAGTATAGATGACTGCCAAAAAGTTGAACTCTTTATAAAATAAAAACTGTTATATTTAACCTTTCTAAGTTGAGGATTTTATTCTTTGGCATGTTATTCTAATAAAAAAATAATAACAACATATTTCCCGAAGGTTAGTAAGGAATCAATATAAATAAAAAATAAAATCATCATATAAATCTGCCTTTATAAAACCGCAGCTCCTGTGAGTAACTCCCCTAAAATCACATCTAAACTTGAGGAATTGGGAACAAAATACTAAAGAGAAATTATAGTCACACTTCCTCCATCTGCTTTCCTTTTTTTCAACATTCATGACACCTTAGCTTCTTCGACGAGCTCAGAAAAACAGTCTGTTCCTCTGCTTGGTTATGAGTGGAGCAAAGCTGAAGGTGAACTCAAACATAAGAAAAACATACCTTTTGGTTGTAAAGAGATTGTTTTATCTTTTTATTTTTTTTGTCTGGTCCTCACAAAGTAGAACAGATACCAGCCCTATTTATTTTATTAGCTGAGAAATACTATTTTTTCATGTACCCCTGGCAATGCACCCGCAGACCACTAGGGGTCAGAGTACCCCGTATTGGGAAACCACTTGTGTAGGTAATAGATCTTAGCCTGACGTAGTCCTACTAAATTCTAGTCAGAATGAGTCTGATGCTGCTCCATAGAGCTGTGATTATGGGGCGTGTTTCCAACGAACCAGGAAAAAAAATGCCTCTGCACTCAATTGGATAGACCTACAACCAATAAGAGCAACGGAGTGCGTGACGTATGTTAAGCGAGGCATAGTTGTTGTCAACAAAAATCAAAGCGTGCAGTTGCACGCCAAGAATAAGAAGATGAGCCTTGATCGCGTTTCTCTGTTCCTCTTTTAAAATTAATTTGCTGTCGATATCTTCTAGAACAGACCTAATAGCAGAATCTACTCACCTCAACTCTCCAGCGGCAGCCATTGTTGTTGTCACCCATGCGAGCTTTGGTTACATGGTTGATTACGTTACTGTTGATCATCTGTCCATCATCGTATAAAGCCCGCCCTGACAATTTGATTGGCCCGCCAGAGAGTGGGCAAGCATACTCGCGCTACTATGGAGCAATGCCAGACCGAACTTCCCGACCGCAAACCTTGTGGGCGGGACTAAGTTCGGAATGGCACCCAGGCTAAATAGATCTGGTCGGGGCCCCACCCTTGCTGATGATGTCACGATTTGACAAAGTCGTTTAGAAAAAAACAGACAGCGCTCTTTAGTGGCGGCAGGCTTTTGACCTGCAGAGCATTTATAGCTGCTATGTCCAGGATAGGGGTGTAAATCACATCCATCATGGCGATTCAATTCAGTATCAGTTTCCTGACCCAACGATTCGATTATTTTCGATACTCAAGAATACACCACAATACGATTCGATTAGATTAATCGGTTAATTTTATTTTATTTTTTTTTACACCTTACAGGCTAAACAAAGTTTCAAGTTTGAAATAAATCAATGAAACCTGTAATATCGTTATGCTTTTTTTTTTTTTTTAGAAACAACAGCAAATAACAGAAATAGAAAAGTTGCATAAAAAAATACTGCAAAAATACGCACATAATCAGTGCAATGAGTGCAATTCAATACCTCAGCTCCAGACGTCCCGCCCCCTCCACAGACGCTCCGCTGCTCCTCTCCCTAATTGTAGCTGACCGCAGACAGCGCCGCAGACAGGAGGCCGGCTTGTTTTGTTTTTATCACCGAAATTGCGGAAAACAACTCGTGAAGTTTGACCCGCTAGAAGATCGAGGTGCGCGAGAACGCTGGGAGCCTTTTTCCACCTGGATCTCCGCTCTTTTTGGCCCTCATGTCCCTCTGTCGTCGGACTAAACTCGCCCCCACTTCCTCGCCGCCTCGGCCGTATCTAGACCCACAGCGTGTAGCACAGACCACGCTTCAATACTGAGCATAATTAAAAAATGTCTGCATCAAGCTCACTGCGACACACTGCTGTAAGAGTATAACCAGGAAGCGAAGTAGGAGGGCAAAATAGGTTTAGCGCCACCGCAGCACGGGAGGAGAATTACACCCGGGAGCAAATGGATAAAAATAGACTGGAGGGAAAAAAAATCATGAATCGATTGTCTTGCGGACGTGTCGATGCATTGGATCGTCGGCTGTTGGATCGATGCATCGAAACAAAACGATTATTATTTACACCCCTAGTCCAGGAGATCGTAAAATACAGCTGCAGGCTTTCGTGTTGGAGCTTTTACAGAAAACTTTCTAATCATCTGATCCGACACATCCACGCCAACCTGTGTGTAATTATAGTAGCCCTCTGGTTTGGCTTTTGGGTCACCATACCAGTGTCAGTATACCGCCTGAGGTGTGGGCAGTGGGTCACTGATGTCTGTGTTTTCTGTGGGTGGGGGGATCATCTTCGTACTCGATGTCAGAATCTGAGCCGCTTCCTACCCTTTCGTCATTATCGGTCCCTCTCCACCCGAATCCCTGTCATCAACATTTTAAAGCATTTTTAAAGCCTGTTTCGCTCTTAAATTTTTTCTGGAAGCCATTTTTCTGTATTAGCCAAAGAGTTCTGGGTGAAACGTTGGCTGCTAGGCAACGGAACCTAACATCAATCAACCATGGGAAGAATTTACTATGCAACTAATAGAGCCGTCAAAATGATGGCTGTGGGAGATCAAGTTCAAATAAACCATATTTATTTTTCACGTTTTTATTTTATTAAAAAAACAACATGAAAATGAAGGAAAAATAGAAACAGGAAAAGTCAGTTAATAATGACGACATAGGATTAATGTAAATGAAGTTATTTCCCTTTAAAATCTCAGAACCGTCAAAATGACGGCCTTGGGAGTTCTACTGTTCAAGATGTTTGTTTTTTGCAATATTGATGGAACAAAATTCCCCCCATACCTTTTTTTTTCTTTAATTATGTCATTGGATGGACCTCAATTTTTTTTTATTCTAATGAAATTGAAAGACAGAGGTGATAATGCTGGCTGTGATTCATAAAGCCGTGATTCATAAGTGGTGCTAAACATGGTGTAAATAATTGTAATAAAAAAGAAAACGTACTTGTTGCCGGCTTTGAAATGCAGAAAAATGAAATCGGCAAAGATGCCCCTCAGTGACATTTCTCAACAAGTAAATGCCAGGATTATTTAGAGCTGAGTGACTTTAACGAGCCCCAGAGGCACAAACCTCCATGAATGTGAAATCTGCAGCCACATCACACCCTGACGACTCTGACATCAGCCCTGTTAAACCCAGAGGAAAAAAAAACTTGTTACACAAAGTTTGGACTAATGCTCCTAAAATAAGTACAGCAGAAAGACGATGGATCTTTAAGGATGCTGTTGGGAGTGATGAAATAAGAGGACCCTTGTTGCTCCAACTTGCATAAACTGTAGAGCGAGAGGAGGTTGGTTTAGCTGCAGGGAGTGAAGAAATGAAAATGGAGTGAGACCGAGTAGACTGAGCAGCCCGCCTGCAGAGAAAAATCCACAAACCACTGATGGCATCAGTGATTCTAGCAGCAGTTCAGGCGCCACAGCTTTTTACTTTGTCCCAGCAGGAAACACATCTAATATTTTTTCCTCTCACACAACTTCAGCAAACTTCATCACAACCCGGAAAAGTTTAACCCCCAATAAATGGACAAAATAAAGAGAACTGAAAGTTTAAATCTAATTTTTTTCAGAGGTTGTGTCCAGAGGCAGGAGAGTTTACCTGCTGCCCTCCAGGCCAAGTCGTTGTTGGGACAGGTGACCCTGATGTCAGACACCATGGTGGTGTAGGCCCGCTCTGGACAGCGGTCTCTGGTTGGACAGGGCGCCGAGGACGGGTACTGCTCCAGAGCATCTTTTGGGAGATCCTGGTTGAAGGACTGAAGCTTCTCTGTAGAAAAACAATTTCAACAGTTAGTAGACAGAGTTCAACTTCAAGAACTTTAAGTTAGCAGAGTTAGTGGGCGGCTCCCATTAATTCCAGTGATGCAGACATATTCTTTTTTAACCCCTACATGCATAGTGATCACTGCAGCGTACAGCTGTTTAAAAGTATTTTTTCCTATATATATATATATATATATATATATATATTTAAATTTTGGGCAGTTATGCATATAGTCCAATCGATTGGAAGCTTTTGCATCATCTCATTCAGAAAAATCGAATTTCTTGATCATTGAAATGAAAAAAACTATTCAGTGAAACCAAGATGGCTGACACACAGGGTAGAAGACCTAACACCTCGGTTATTTCAGCTTCTACAGGGGAGCAGAGGAACCACAATTCCAACATAATACGATATTACAACTAGATCCATGCATCTACTTTGTTGGTATATTGATTTTTTCGAAGTATAAAATACATAAAGTACACTTGGGTTTACAGATAAATATGTCTTTATAGAATAAAGAAAGAACCCTTTTCAAACCTTGTTTCACATTTCAAAGGATGTATAATAACACTTAGCAAAATAATTCTGAATATGTTTATCATAATTCATACACGAGAGGGATAGCTATGTAACGAACATGAACATCAGCTGTCCAGTTTGTTTGTTTTCTTGTCCTATAGTACATTTTCATTCAGTCATAACATATCAGTAAAATGTTTCAGTTTTTTCTTTTTTATTCCAACTACAGCTGAACAGTTAACTGCTGTATAAATCACCCTAAAAAAAAACAAAAAACATCCATCTTCTGCTAATTTACCATCAGAGTCAGGTGGGCTGGTACTGGTACCCATCCCTGGCATCCTATGGATGAACAGCATCCCGGACAGGTGGGTGGTCCACACAACCACGGACACATCTGCCAGGATTCCTCCTGCTCTGTTAATGTTCATCTGTGCTCCACTTATCATCACATGCATCATCATATGATTCCGTTTACTTATATTGCGCCAATTTATCCATCCAGTCAGATTTAAAGTTTTCTATCTAAACCAGCTGATTTCATCGACTCATTGACTCTAAAGCACCCAGAGCTGCTTTTACTGGGACAATGCAGATCAACATCATGTACAGGCAGAACATTGTAACTGCACAATAAAAGACTGGAGGCCAAACATGGCATATATAAAAATACATTTTCTTTTTTTAATACAAATTTTAGGCACTAGTGGCTTTTATGATTGCAGGGATTAAAACAAAAAAAAAATCCTGACCCGGAAAGTTTTCGACGCAGGCAAAAAAAACTCACATATATATGTGTGTGTGGGTGTGTGTGTGTGTGTCTTTGTGTGTGTATTTTCAAGCCATGCCAGTGGAGTGTGGGATCAGTGATTGCATGAATGACTGAAGACTAAATTTGACTTTCGAAAATCCAATACCAAAAAAGGCCAAAGGATGGCAACAGTGCATCTATATTTAGAGTGAATGAGAGGTCGTGTTCGGTGAGGAAAGCACAAACCGTTATTTTTAATACGCATACACGGTCAGTTGGATGGAGCTGTAAACGGCAAAAGGTGACTTTCCGTGTAGAACTCGTGTAGCACTGCACCACAATCTATCTGGTGACTTGAGCAAGAAACGAGAGGAGGAAGTACATGCTTCTCCTTTGCTTCCATTGGCCGACAAGCGCAAGGAGGATTTCAAATGTCTTTATTTTTTTTATTTAGCAGAAATCTATTTTCAAGTATTTTTTTTTTACACACAGGCAATCACTATGAGCCAGAAATCTGGCCTGGGGCCAGAATACTTTAATCCCTGTGTTTGTTATTTGGTATGGAGACAGAAAAGGTTAGAAGAGAGAGGAGAGAAATTGGGCAAAGGTCAGCAGAGCCAGGACTCGAACTTGTGACAGCCGGTATATCGGGTCATGAACTCTATCTTCATGACATAGCAGCACCTTAAAAATGTTCATGTTACTTTTTAGGCTGTTTCCTCCTCCTGCTCCACTCCAATCTACTAACTGGGTGAACAGCTTCACCTGCTGCTGTCTAATTAACAAGTGGTTTCACCTCGAATACCTGCCACTCTCAGTCAGTCTCCGCAAGATTGTCTCAGTGCAAAATATCTAAAGATTCTATGACTGGATTTATGTTTCCTGCTGTTGGTACCTGTAACAAACCAGCTGTAGTCTCCCCAGGTCCAATCAGAGATGTTTGCAGCTGGAGGACTGTGGATGGAACAGAAAGGACAAACTGAAGTCAGACCTGAGAACCAGCCACCCCTGAAGAACCAGAATCTGGTACGCTCCAACCTGAAGTCAACTTCTTGCTCAGTGGTCCCGATTACAAACGGAACGTCGTTAAAGAATCCCTTTTTCTCCCAGACCTCAAAAGGCGGAGCTTCCAGGACATATCCGTCCACCACAGCAACAGGCCCGATGAAACGCCCTCTAGTGGGGAGATCGGTTAAATCATCTGCAGCCCAGGATGGGTACTCCACCCATGGTATGGCCTGAGACAAAGACAAAAACACCACCTAAAATAAAAGCTATATGCAGCTGGGATACACAGTACATGCATGCTGGGCTATGCTTTTTTGCTATCAATTGTTTATCTACAGGTTTTAATTGATGGATGGGTTTTTCTCAAGTAAAGCTATTTACTTTTTCAAAATTGACTACAAAAAATATCTTGCACTTATTTTTAATCCTGAATGACTACACACAGCTTAATAGAACTGTTGGAGCAACAATTAGTACCATTAAATATAATTCAGAATTACATGAGTTCTGCTTTCTGCAATGGAATCTATAATGTATTTTCTCATACTGCGAAAGAAAGACCTTGGTATTAAATTTCACAAAGAGAAATAAAGGAAAACAAAAAACAAGCTATTATGATCCTTTCCCCTAAAATAATTCAGAATCAATAGGAAGCAGAATCGAAACAAAGACCCAGAATCATTCGAATTTAAACCATGACAATCCTAGTGACTGCAGTTGCCAACATAGGCTTACAGAGTGCTTATTCAATATACGTTAAAGCCGGGCATACACTGTGTGATTTTTTTCAATCGTTGCACGCAGCTACAGCTCACACTGCAGGGCTCGATGTTAACCATCGCCCGATCTCCCGGGGCAAGTAGTTTTTATTGTTGGGGGAGTACAAATTTAATTGCATTTGCCCGCCGGGCAATGATCGCAAAAAAAAATTATCTATCACTTAAAATTACTTTAAAATCACCAACATTCGATGAAAACGACCCACAAGCATTGCCGGCGCCGTTTTTGTTGTTTTGTACACATTATCGCGTGATTTGAGAAAGTCGCGTGATTTGAGAAAGCCGGGTGATTTTCCGCCAGATGGCGTAATTTTTTGTCCACCTAGCTGTACTTTAGATGTAGTTACCAAAACGACAAACAGTGGACTGTACAGTGATGCAGGTCATACATTAAAAATGTTCATTAAATGTTTTTCTCTCAGACATTGGAGAGGTGCATTTAAATGTTATAGAGCTAAACATGTTAGATTGGTGACCTGTTATGTTATTATTATTGTCATTTATTTAGTCAGGGAAAACTAATCCTGATCAGTTAAAGTCAGGGAATTCTGAAATGATGTCAGACTGTGGAAACCCTGAATAAAATAACTATGTATAATGATTCTCTCACATTATATTAATAGTATTATTTTGTATAAACAGACCATGACTCTAAAATAAGAGTTATTCATTTCTGACATTGACTTCTGTCTTGTGATTTATCTTTCGTTTTTTACCTGTCAAGTTTTTTTTTTTTAGATTTTTAACATTACAGTTTATATTTTTCCAAGCACACAACAGTTTAAAGCAAAGTTTAGTTTGAAAAGAATGTGCAGGAAGGATTGAAAAGCATGTTAACACGGTAATGTAGGCTGGAGTTCATTATCTGATGCATGCAGATACACACCAGGAACCTGGAAACTTAAAAAATACTGAATTACAAAAATCATTTAAAAAAACAAACTTGTTTCATTGATATATATACAAAAATGAATATTAGGAACTATATTTATCAAGCATTATACTGGGCAAGTAAAAATTGTTTCTGGGCAAATGAAATGTCGGGCAAGTGGTAAAAATCATTAACATCAACCCCTGCACTGTATGATGAATGACGAGTTCCCAGCTCACCATGTTTGTTCTCATACTGCAGCCCGACGCTCTGATGCCATCTACCTGCTCACTCTGTACGTCTAAAAATCGCGTCGGACTCAGCTCCGCAGTGAGATGGCGCTACTCGGACTCATCCATCCGGAAGCCAAACAGCTAGCAGAGGAACATGAAGCTCACTAGAGTGAAACGCGCTGCCTTGGATATTTGTGCTATTTAGTGCTGAAAGCCCTAAAAAGAAATGGAGACGACGTTTTTGGCCAAAGACATTGCTGAGCAAACGTGGCTACTACGGTCTGTCAATTTGACAGAAAGAACTCCATTTCACTCGCACCTGCGCCATGCTGCTGGGTTTTCACCTGAGAGGAAGAAGAAGAATCCTTGATTTGTGCGATTTTCCTATGACGGTCGACTGAAAATCAAATATGTTTGATTTTCTCCCGATTCCTGAGGGGGGGGTGGTCGTGAGAAGCTGATCGCCCCTCATTAAACAACATGCTTGCCTGTACACAATAGCCCCCCTGCCCCCATTCTCCCCTATATACCTTTGTTATCCTGAAAGCAAATGAAAGTCTGTAGTTCCTTCTCCGATGAAAGACTGAAACTGCTGGTTGAGGTAGAGAAACCCCCCCCTATTTTACAGAAAACTAGGAGGAAACTTAGTGATATTTTAAAAGGATGATCTACAAAAACATGTGTTCCACGTTCTAAGAACAAATAGAAATCATGTTAACCCTCAAATGGATCTAGGCATGTGTCTAATGCTACAGTAGGTTCCCACTGCACGCAATTTCAGCATCAAAAAAACTTCTGCTGTTTAATTTTGGATGCTTGTGCAAATTAAGGTCAGGCAGACCTCAAGAGCCTCTTTCATGCTCCTGAAATGCGTCCAGTAAAGTTCGTCCAGATGAGTCTGATGTTTCAATGGCAGAGAGCAGTGTTGCTATATTTGCTGTAATCAGTGGGTAAAAAGTATTTTTAATATATGTAATATATATAAGTGAGAGAGACCACCAACATGGTCTGTGCAGTCAGGTTATCCAGATTAAAATCCTCTCTTCAAATATTATTTCTGTGTCGGAGCTGCTCAAACCCCCACATACCGATATGTGGGGGTTTGTGGGCGCTGTCACTGCTGGTTTGTGGGGGTATGTGGGCGCTGTCACTGCCGGTATGTGGGGGTATGTGGGCGCTGTCACTGCCGGTATGTGGGGGTTTGTGGGCACTGTCACTGCCGGTATGTGGGGGTATGTGGGCGCTGTCACTGCCGGTATGTGGGGGTATGTGGGCGCTGTCACTGCCGGTATGTGGGGGTATGTGGGCGCTGTCACTGCCGGTATGTGGGGGTATGTGGGCGCTGTCACTGCCGGTATGTGGGGGTATGTGGGCGCTGTCACTGCCGGTTTGTGGGGGTATGTGGGCGCTGTCACTACCGGTATGTGGGGGTATGTGGGCACTGTCACTGCCGGTATGTGGGGGTATGTCGGCGCTGTCACTGCCGGTTTGTGGGGGTATGTGGGCGCTGTCACTGCCGGTTTGTGGGGGTATGTGGGCGCTGTCACTGCCGGTATGTGGGGGTATGTGGGCGCTGTCACTGCCGGTTTGTGGGGGTATGTGGGCGCTGTCACTGCCGGTATGTGGGGGTATGTGGGCGCTGTCACTGCCGGTATGTGGGGGTATGTGGGCGCTGTCACTGCCGGTATGTGGGGGTATGTGGGCATGTGGGGGTATGTGGGCACTGTCACTGCCGGTATGTGGGGGTATGTGGGTATGTGGGGGTATGTGGGCATGTGGGGGTATGTGGGCGCTGTCACTGCCGGTTTGTGGGGGTATGTGGGCGCTGTCACTGCCGGTATGTGGGGGTATGTGGGCGCTGTCACTGCCGGTATGTGGGGGTATGTGGGCATGTGGGGGTATGTGGGCACTGTCACTGCCGGTATGTGGGGGTATGTGGGCGCTGTCACTGCCGGTATGTGGGGGTATGTGGGCACTGTCACTGCCGGTATGTGGGGGTATGTGGGCGCTGTCACTGCCGGTATGTGGGGGTATGTGGGTATGTGGGGGTATGTGGGCATGTGGGGGTATGTGGGCGCTGTCACTGCCGGTTTGTGGGGGTATGTGGGCGCTGTCACTGCCGGTATGTGGGGGTATGTGGGCACTGTCACTGCCGGTATGTGGGGGTATGTGGGCATGTGGGGGTATGTGGGCACTGTCACTGCCGGTATGTGGGGGTATGTTGGCGCTGTCACTGCCGGTATGTGGGGGTATGTGGGCGCTGTCACTGCCGGTATGTGGGGGTATGTGGGCGCTGTCACTGCCGGTATGTAGGGGTATGTGGGCGCTGTCACTGCCGGTATGTAGGGGTATGTGGGCGCTGTCACTGCCGGTATGTGGGGGTATGTGGGCGCTGTCACTGCCGGTATGTGGGGGTATGTGGGCGCTGTCACTGCCGGTATGTGGGGGTATGTGGGCGTTGTCACTGCCGGTATGTGGGGGTATGTGGGCGCTGTCACTGCCGGTATGTGGGGGTATGTGGGCGCTGTCACTGCCGGTATGTGGGGGTATGTGGGCGCTTTCACTGCCGGTATGTGGGGGTATGTGGGCACTGTCACTGCGGGTATGTGGGGGTATGTGGGCGCTGTCACTGCCGGTATGTGGGGGTATGTGGGCACTGTCACTGCGGGTATGTGGGGGTATGTGGGCGCTGTCACTGCCGGTATGTGGGGGTATGTGGGCACTGTCACTGCCGGTATGTGGGGGTATGTGGGCGCTTTCACTGCCGGTATGTGGGGGTATGTGGGCGCTGTCACTGCCGGTATGTGGGGGTATGTGGGCGCTGTCACTGCCGGTATGTGGGGGTATGTGGGCGCTGTCACTGCCGGTATGTGGGGGTATGTGGGCACTGTCACTGCCGGGTATGTGGGGGTATGTGGGCGCTGTCACTGCCGGTATGTGGGGGTATGTGGGCGCTGTCACTGCCGGTATGTGGGGGTATGTGGGCGCTGTCACTGCCGGTATGTGGGGGTATGTGGGCGCTGTCACTGCCGGTATGTAGGGGTATGTGGGCGCTGTCACTGCCGGTATGTGGGGGTATGTGGGCGCTGTCACTGCCGGTATGTGGGGGTATGTGGGCGCTGTCACTGCCGGTATGTGGGGGTATGTGGGCGCTGTCACTGCCGGTATGTGGGGGTATGTGGGCGTTGTCACTGCCGGTATGTGGGGGTATGTGGGCGCTGTCACTGCCGGTATGTGGGGGTATGTGGGCGCTGTCACTGCCGGTATGTGGGGGTATGTGGGCGCTGTCACTGCCGGTATGTGGGGGTATGTGGGCACTGTCACTGCCGGTATGTGGGGGTATGTGGGCGCTGTCACTGCCGGTATGTGGGGGTATGTGGGCGCTGTCACTGCCGGTATGTGGGGGTATGTGGGCGCTGTCACTGCCGGTATGTGGGGGTATGTGGGCGCTTGTCACTGCCGGTATGTGGGGGTATGTGGGCGCTGTCACTGCCGGTATGTGGGGGTATGTGGGCGCTGTCACTGCCGGTATGTGGGGGTATGTGGGCGCTGTCACTGCCGGTATGTGGGGGTATGTGGGCGCTGTCACTGCCGGTATGTGGGGGTATGTGGGCGCTGTCACTGCCGGGTATGTGGGGGTATGTGGGCGCTGTCACTGCCGGTATGTGGGGGTATGTGGGCGCTGTCACTGCCGGTATGTGGGGGTATGTGGGCGCTGTCACTGCCGGTATGTGGGGGTATGTGGGCGCTGTCACTGCCGGTATGTGGGGGTATGTGGGCGCTGTCACTGCCGGTATGTGGGGGTATGTGGGCGCTGTCACTGCCGGTATGTGGGGGTATGTGGGCGCTGTCACTGCCGGTATGTGGGGGTATGTGGGCGCTGTCACTGCCGGTATGTGGGGGTATGTGGGCGCTGTCACTGCCGGTATGTGGGGGTATGTGGGCGTTGTCACTGCCGGTATGTGGGGGTATGTGGGCGCTGTCACTGCCGGTATGTGGGGGTATGTGGGCGCTGTCACTGCCGGTATGTGGGGGTATGTGGGCGCTGTCACTGCCGGTATGTGGGGGTATGTGGGCGCTGTCACTGCCGGTATGTGGGGGTATGTGGGCGCTGTCACTGCCGGTATGTGGGGGTATGTGGGCGCTGTCACTGCCGGTATGTGGGGGTATGTGGGCGCTGTCACTGCCGGTATGTGGGGGTATGTGGGCGCTGTCACTGCCGGTATGTGGGGGTATGTGGGCGCTGTCACTGCCGGTATGTGGGGGTATGTGGGCGCTGTCACTGCCGGTATGTGGGGGTATGTGGGCACTGTCACTGCGGGTATGTGGGGGTATGTGGGCGCTGTCACTGCCGGTATGTGGGGGTATGTGGGCGCTGTCACTGCCGGTATGTGGGGGTATGTGGGCGCTGTCACTGCCGGTATGTGGGGGTATGTGGGCACTGTCACTGCCGGTATGTGGGGGTATGTGGGCGTTGTCACTGCCGGTATGTGGGGGTATGTGGGCACTGTCACTGCCCAGCAGCAGCTGCCTGAGGGCCGATCGCCTCTTGGGGTTTTTTCCCTACTGTTACTTGCGGCTCAAAGTGGATGTTAGCATTTTTCAGGTATGTGGTACAAAATGCAGTCACCAGAATAATAAAAGCAAACATATTTTGTCAGGTTTTGTCATTTCAAATTAATTTAGGCATTAATTAACTGTTTCAAAGCAGTGATCATAGCGCCCTGGATGATCAGTGCTGTGTCTGTCTCCCTATCAGCTCCCAGATCAGCTTTCTGATTGGTTAATGTGGCGTGTCGAGCAGCAAAAGTTCAATTTTCCAGCTGCTGCTTGTGAAGTGCATCACGCGCCTCAGCTGCTCATGAGACGCTGCTTCAGCTGCTCTAGAGACGCTGCAGGACCTTGTGCTGTGCCTTGCCGCGCGCCAACCATAGACTTGCATGTAAACCGGCTGCTTCTGCTGCTCAAAACACATTAGGTGTGAACATAGGTTTATACTTTGAAACAGGGTTCCTACAGCATAAGGCGAGTTAAATTCAAGACTTTTTAAGACTTTTTAATGCCACTTAAAATAAAAATTTAAAACCAAATTCACAAGAAACACAAGAAAAACCTGTTTGCGACAACTTAAGCCAAAGGTTTATTTTAACATAAACCACTGCACTAATGCTTCAAATGTTGAGAAGCTTCCCATACAGGAAGAAAGTTAAAAACACACAAATGACAGATATATTTGAACAATTATTTAACTGAATTCACAAACTTTGTTTTAGCAGGGAACAAAACAAATCAGTTTTAAAGCCCCAACATAACCAGTGCTAAGTCTTTTTAGCAGCTATTTTTCTTTGTATGGTTTTCTTAGTATGTTTGATTTGGTGATAAGTGGAAGCGTTGCAGAGACAAGGGTGGAACTAAACTGAGAAATACCGGCTGTTTCTCTGTAACTCCATTTTGACGCTTTGTGTTTCGTGCTTCGCATGTGCGACTCCACTGCCTTAATTCCCATCGTTCTGAGCTTGAATGACTTCTTGCACTAAATCCACTGAGCCTCATGTATGTTCCCTGGTTTTAGCCATGGAGAAAACTCTTGGCTGGAGACAATTTTGGTTACATTTACACTTGCTCATATTTTCCAGACAAAAAGTTAATGGTGCATCTCCAAAATGTCCCGGCCGCAACAACGCTTTATTGGTTCCGCTATCGGGACGGAACCAATAATGGCGAGCGGTTTTTTGTTTTAAAGAAATAAAAAATAAATTGTCAATTTTAATGTTTTATTTCGATTACAAAAATAAATCATAATAAAAATAATCCTATTTATGATGTTTTAAAAATTAAGACCTACGAAAGACTGATTTAAGACATTTTAATACCAATTAAGGCCTTAGTTTTATTTTGAAGAATTAAATGCCTTTTAAGACTTTTTAAGGACCTGCAGGAACCCTGTGAAAGCCCCTAAACACCATACTTGGTCCCTGACCACCTTGACAGTCTAAACATAAATAAAAACGTTTTGGTAAATTATTATTTAAAAACAACTTGAAAAAACATCCATCCATCCATTTCCTGTCACACTTATCCTAAGCAGGGTGGCGAGGGGTGCTGGTGCCTAACTCCAGCTGTCTATGAGCGAGAGGCGGGGTAAACCCTGGACAGGTCACCTTTAAAAAACATAGAATACTAAAAAAACTGTAAACATTTTTCATCAAGAAATACAATTAAATAAAAAGAAAAAGGAAAAACCCACCATTGTACATCAACATCAACCATGTAAGAGGAGTAAAAAAACAACTATGAAAAGCATAACTTTTTCCAGCTATCCTGAGACGCTGCATTTTAAATACCTACAGAAGCAGCATGACGGCTGCTGCACTTCTTAATAATAAAGGTAAAGCAAATGATGAAGACAGACAAACTTTCTAAAGTCATCCTGAGGTCGTAGTGAATTAAGTTGAACTGAAGCTTTTCAAATGTTCACTTTAGGAAACCTTAATGGAGTCTCGGAATGAAGGAATATGTGTGTTTAAGCACGGCTGTAATTTTCACTTTCCATTTATTAGGCGACGTTCAGGTCTGCAAAGACCTGGACCTGACATTTATAATCCATAAAAATGAAAAAGCATTTTAACATTTTAGCAAACGCCTTCAGTAGAGTGGAAGGAGAAATTGAGGAAGAAGCTCTTTATTCAGATCTTTGAATATTAAAAAGAAAATCGAAGACGATTATAACAGAATTTTAATTACTGGCATATCTTATCTGCTTTGACAGAAAAAACTCCTTCACTCAGACTCCTGCCACAGCTTTAGAGATGGACGATCTTCATCCTACCTGCAGGACCTGCTTCACGGAGAGACCTCGCAGGCAGGCCAGATCTTTGCACCCTGTCTTTTTCAGGAACACAAGGTTGTCTGATTCAGCTTGCTCCAGCGTGGCATTGAGTATGTACGAGCCACTCATGTCCACGGCAGCATAAAACAGACCTTTGGCCAGCGGGGACATCATTAAGGTCCACACCGAAGTCCCACCTTCAGCAGTCAAAGGAAACACAGACAGGCTGCAGTTTAGCTCATTGAAATACAGACTCTTCTCTCATTACACTCTAGGAATGGATGTGATTTGAAAGGGGTTCCAACATAGCTTCTGTTTGGTGCTGCTTTTTGACCGGCCGTGTAGAAAGAAGAGAGGTTAGCATGTTAGCAAAATAATTATATATTTTAAAGCAAGAAAGTACATCATAATACTTCATCTGTGTAGTCAGTTGATCAAGAAACAGCCCACTGTTAGATCAGTATGGTGCTGGTTAGAGCCCCAGGTGCTTAGAGCCCTGGGTTCAGGCCTGTTTGAGCTGCCTGCTGGAGGGGATATAGAGAAGTTTTGGCTCCTGCCAGTCAGTCCATCATTATCCATTAATTAGGACGTCGTTTAAAGACGTTTTTGATAGGGCAAAGTAGACCTCAAAACTTGATCTGTGTAGACTTAGACCTCCTTTATTGTCATTGCACAAAAAAACACAAGGTGAATCTTGACAACGAAATGTTGATTACTTTGCTACCAGTGTAACAGAGCTATGGCCTTATTCCTGCACAATAAATATGTTTTCTATTCAATTCAGTTTATTTATATAGCGCCAAATTCACAACACGTCATCTCAAGGCACTTTACAGTTCAACCAGATCATCCAGTCAAATTGGTTCAAAGTTTTCTATCTAAGGAAAACCAGTTGATTGCATCGACTCATTGACTCAAATACAATCCCTCACACTAAGCATGCTTGTAGCGACAGTGGAGAGGAAAAACTCCCTTTGAACAGGAAGAAACCTCCAGCAGAACCAGGCTCAGTGTGAGCGGCCATCTGCTGAGGCCCACTGGCGGTTCTGATGGTTTTCATAAATCGTCCCATCCCTAATATATACATATATATTGCATAGGGATGGAACGGTTTATGAAAACCGTCCGAACCGTTCGGTTCGACTGTCTCAGTTCGGTTCACGTGTGTTTCGTTCGGTTCATGCGCTGCTCCTTTTTCTCATAGGCGAAGCGTTTCCACTCCAGAGCAGAAGGTGGCGGTACTGCGACCAAAGCCAACCACCAGTAGTAAACAAGAAGAAGAAGAAGCGAAGCAGCGTAGCCGGGTGTAGCAGGGAAAAAAATCAGTTGTTGTGGAGAATTGTGTGGGTATGGCGAGTGGGAAAGAACAGGAGTTGGAAGACGCGCCAGCAGCACTTTATAGGTCTGCTGTATGGGACCACTTTGCATTTAGAGTGACCTACGATGACGGCGGAAAGAAAGCTATGGATAAAAGTGCAACAGTGTGCAAGCATTGTGCAACACGTTTTGTTTATGCTAACAGCAACATGACCAACATGTCAGGCTAACAATCAACATAAACCGAACCGAATCGAAACCGTGAAACCGAAACAGACCGTAGATTTTGTGAACAGTTCCACCCCTAGTGTGTAGTTAGTTGATCAATATTATAAATACTTTTAAATATGTTTTTAGAGTGTCAGAATCCCTCTGATCGGCCAGTCTGGCTGCTAGGCTAGCTAAGCTATCAGTGGGAATCCAAAAAAAGAGCCGTTAAACCCATCCAGAGGCTCAGGCCTTTTCTCAATATGTGTACTTGTGCATTCTTCTGTGCTCGTGAAACGCCATCAACCTCAGCCCTAGTACTGTACTGAGAACGAACAAAGTCCCCGGATGTTGTTTTCCCCCCTCCCTCTTTACCCAGCATGTTTGGTACTCACCTTGTTATTATAATAACTGTAAATCAGTTTTTAGTGCTTATTTTTAAATTATTAGAAAAGGTAAAAAGCAACTCTGGTCACAAGCTGGTTGATAAGAAATAAAATATCAAACTCCTTAAATTTAAGGTTTTACTGATAGCTTATCAGCACTGAAGGTAACGAGAGAAACCCTTTGTATGTTCTTATTATGCATTTTCTTTCGGGGGTTTCAGAATACTGGGGAAACAAGCTTATAAATCTATCCCATTACCTGGGTAGTAAACCATAGGATTATCAGTGTAAAAGAGGTTATAGACATAGCTATTGTCTAAGCTTTTACTGTCTCTCTCTTTTTGTTGCGTTTCTCTCTTAGATGAAGCCACTAAAGGGGCAGCTCCTTAATTTCCTTTCATTTAAAACATGCTTCTGATTTAGCCTTTTATTTTACTTATTTTACTAAAGTTAGAGGTTGTAGAGTAGAAATAGGGATTCAAACATGGCCGTCCTGTATGTCAAAGGAAAAACAGGAAAGGTTTTCAATGATTTTTCTACCAGCTCAGATTTTGTAAAAGGCTGCTGTAAAAGAGAAAGATCCAGGTTATATTTGTCTCTTTTTGTTGTGCATCTGCAGCTCTAGGTCATCTCTTGAGTTTATAGAATAAATAAGTTATAGGTCAGAAATGGTTGGGTATTTGGCTGGACTCTAGGAGATAAAAGTCCAAATAAAATGAAACTACTGCAGAAACCCTGGAGAAGTATTGATCCAATCTGCTGCAAAGGATTAGAGGAAGTTTGGCTGCTTTGATTTGCAGGAATGTTGGCAGAATAAGAAGGAAAACATTTAAGATTCATGCTGAACTTCTAGTTAACAAAGGTACTTTTGTTTTGATTATCCCTAAAATAAATCAGAACAATGACCCAAGTTTAAACGGACGTAGCCCATTGCTTCATTTCCTGCTGAAGTCTCAGCGTCTCCATTATTATTTGGGTCAGGAAGGATTTCCTGTTTGCACTTCATCCTGTGATGCTGGTGGACTGAAGGTGTGATTACTTCTGCATGCAGTTACAAAGTTTATGTCATTTTTTTTTTGTGTGCTTTCATACCTGAACTATGTCCAAATATGGTGACCTTTCCAGGATCTCCTCCAAAACCACGGATGTTCTTCTGGACCCACTTTAAAGCTGCGATCTGGTCCAGGAAGCCATAGTTCCCTGTAGAGGCCACAAAAAGCCATCAGTTACTCTGATGACCTGATTTGATATGAATTTCTTTCTGGTGGCCCCATTTTTTTCTTTTTTCCTTCCACGGTTAGAAATGAAACCAGATCAGCAGATGAGCTACATTCAACGAGTTTACAGCTGAGGGAGAACAGAAATGGGCCGGGAGAATCAGAAGGAATCAGAATTACAAAGGAGAGTGTGGGAGAGGCAGCTGATGGAGGAGGAAAAACGACTTCAGTGGCATGCATCATCATCATCATCATCATTATAACGTCATTTACCGGGTCACTTCACATAACGGTCACACCAGGGTTATGTAACAGAAGTCCCCCAGCCTCTCTCCCAACATGCAAACATTAAGCTGGAAATGAGCTCCATTTGTCCACATCGCATTAACCTTCATTAAGTATTCATATGTTAATGGAGGTGTGTTTTCAGGCTGCAGGAACACAATGTAAACAACATAAATATTAAAAGGTCTCCTGATAAAAAGGCCATCGCGCCCATTAGAAGTTCTTTAACACAGCAGAGTGCCGCTGCAGTGTAAAACAGGCCGTTAGTGAACTGAGTTACTTCTTAAAACTTCACTGAGCTTGTTAGAAAAAGAAACAACAACATTTATTAATTTGCCCAGAAGGGAAGCTGGGATTTCAGCTCAGAGAGAAGAACAAACCAGAAAACAAAACCTTTGAGTTCAGATTTCTGGAGAAATTAATTCATGAGCACAAAGATGCAGAGTTTAACTCAGAACTTGCTCGGCCCAATTTTTTAAGGCATGAACACACCAGCTGCGTATTACTTTATAATCTCTGATTCTATTTTTTTTCTATGTCACATTGACTGCATATAGAGAGGCTCAGACTAGGCAGGGTGGGCAGATCTACTCAAGATTTGTTTCACTTCTGTCACTGTGCCACACAAATGTAAATATTTTCCCACATTAGACTTGGACAGATAAAGAAAAGTTATAAAAAAAATAGAAAACCAGCGGTGCATTCTATAAAGCAAAGCTCTACTTAACGAGTCTGTGCAGCATCTCAAACCAGAACAGATAGAGAATGTTAAAAACATAACGAGATCTTTGTCTAAAGAAAAAAAACCCAGCAATAGACGCCGTGGGATGGTTTTTATGCTAACTGAGGCAGAGAGGTGATTCTCAGAGAAAGATTAGATTAGATTAGATTCAACTTTATTGTCATTACACATGTACAGGTACAAGGCAACGGAATGCAGTTTAGGTCTAACTCTGCAATGCATTCATGATGTATGTAGTAAAAATCTTTTTAGAAGTGCTATGTGCTGATGTTTATATGCACAACAGGGGGAAATGTGAGGTCTATTGAAGACAGTTGGTGTGGGTACGTATGAAACATTGAAGACCTGCCTCCAGCTGATTGGTCATTACAGGGTCATTCTGTCTTAGGACCCACCCCATCCTGTTGTGATCTGTTAATAAAAGGCTCTACTGTGAAGGGAGCAGGTAGAAAGGTGCTGAAATGTGAGCAGGCAGCCTTTCTCCTGCAGGAAGCTGTGTTTGAAAATCCCTTGGTGTGTCACATTCATTTTTTTGTCCTATATGAACTCACAATTTTTTGAAGCTAACAATTAGTTTAGATTAGATTCAGCTTTATTGTCATTACACAGGTACAGGTACAAGGCAACGAAATGCAGTTTAGGTCTAACCAGAAGTGTAATAGCAGCAGTGAAGGATAAATAATGGTTCCATAAATACAGGACATGGTTCTACTGAATGAGTATAGAGATGAATACCATTATAAATAATGGATATAATATATAGATCACTAGTGTTATGAACTAAACTTACAGCTGGATATGTACAGAATATAATATACGGGCGGATATTACTATTAAAAAAAAGTTTTTTTACAGTTATGTACAATAGCATAATATACAGATGGGTTTTACTATAAAATGAATAAATAAAGTTTAGCAAGAAGCTATCTAAATTAAAGTGCAGTGGAAGGTTATTGCATATTACAGTTAAAGTACGTTATTGCAGATGTAAATGTAAACAATTGGTGCTGTGAATAAACAGTCGGCAGATCAATAATCAGTCAAAGTGAGTAGTGCAACATGCATATATGAAGTTTATCAAAGTTGTTCTTTCCTTTTTACATAAAGAGATGAGAGAAATATGCTGCGCTTACCTGCTCTGTCTGCCACTCATTATTTTGGAGTAAAAGATCACTACTTGATCCATTTCCTGTGCTCCTGAGCTCCTATCATGGGTAAAGTTTTATATTTTAATGTTTAATTTGCACTAGTCTGTCCTGCTTACTGTATAATACGTGATACGTGACTCCAAACTGATTTTATTTGGTATTTTCCCCCAAAGGGAATGTGTTTTACTTTTCTTCCTGTCAGACCCATGAAATTGCTGTGGAATTGCTGTAGTCTGTCCAAAGTTAACCTGGGCTCTATCTCAGTCGGAGCTACACTGCCCCCTGCAGGTAATCAACCCAACTGACTTTCAATGGGTGGTAAACATCACTGTCGGATCAGACGCATATTCGGATTGGTTGTGATCTGGCCTTTAGTGAAACCTGTGGAACAACAGACTAACCTGACGTGTTTCGCGGAGAACCTTCCCTCAACGCCTCCAAAGCCAGGAAGCCGAAAGCGCTGAGTCTATAGTTAAAGCTAACATAAACCACTTGAGTATCGGCGGCGAGCTTCTCTGTGGGCGAGTAGCCCGGCTCCCCGCCACTGAGCATATGCAGGTATCCTCCGTGGATCCAGACCATGACGGGCAGGCCGGCGTCGCGCTGCAGCGTGGGTGTCCACACGTTGACGAACAGGCAGTCCTCTTGGCCCATCACCTTCCCACTGCTGGACAACGGCCGCGCCTGAGGGCACATGCTGCGGAAGCGGGTGGCGTCCATCGTACCCTGCCCACATACCGGGTCAGACGGAGGAGCCCAGCGCCGGTTCCCCACCGGAGGAGCCGCGTAGGGAATGCCCTTAAAGGAGTAGGCTCCATTTTTCTGCAAAGCACAGATGGACGCATAGATATTTATTCACAATTTGAAGCACACAGCCTCCGCAATAATAATGGTCAAATCTATTGATGTAAATTGAGAATTACTAAAATCTTTAAACCAACTGTTACTGTTTGAGCATTAATATCCACAAAATAAATAAAATAAACAAACTCTGAAACCTAAGAGGACTTCTAAGATCTGATTTAAAATCTGGTTTTCTTGCAATTTTCTAACTTTAGAATATCTAAATATATCTTAGTCTAAATTTCCAGTGAAAGTTATTTATTTTTGCCAATAACGACTTTTTCCCCATTGTTTTTTACCCCTTTAAATAAGTAAAATTACTCCCTAAATGTCTCAGTTTCTTTATTTGACAAGAACTCCGCTGCTAGGCTATAGACTATAATGAAATTCTAAATTACAACTTTATTTAATAAAAATACATTACCTTTACTGTAACTTTGTTTGCATTTAACACAATGCCTTAGAAAAATCAGATGTTCTAATAATATGTCCCCAAACGGGACCAAATGCACCCTAACCCCTTGCTTCCACATCCTCCATCACCGCTCTGCCCCGCTCAGGTACGCCCTGCGGAGTATTGCAGTCTGATTAATCATTCAGAACTGTTCTACATCCACCACTACTCCTCCGAACATCATCGTCCACATACGTCTTCTCCATCCCTCACCTTCCAAATACTGAGCCAAGCTAATAGATATTATAAATGATAATATATTTCTGAAACTAAGACTGTTTATTTATACTATTGGTACTTCAATATACCAGCAAGCAGATTTCTCATCTCGGTCAAAATATTTATTCTATACAGAGAGGCTTAAAAGTTTAATCAAATCCAGTCACAAAACCTTCCCAGAGTGAGTCTAACATCTTATAAATAAACTTCTAATCCCAGGCTTAGATGAAGAGATACTTAGTTTGGAAGGTTAACAGGTTCAGAACGAAAAGAAAATATTTGGGCTGAAACATTTGATGGGGATTTTTTTAAATATGTCATATTATGTCATATTAACTTAAGCATTAATTACTGCATGTTTTGCTCCATGAATAAACAAATAATATGGCGCATTCTCTCCTTAAGCTCCGTGGCGGGAGGAACCATGGAGGTGTTGCTTTGCTCAGGCGGTCTGAAGGTGGAACGGGGCGGAGCAGATACAGAGGATGTGGGATTCCAAACTGTTTTCCAGATCACATTGGTTGTGTCCGAACGTCCCCCCTAACCTCTAAATCCCTCAATCACTATATAGTGAACACAGTTAACTGACCGTTCAGACGGATGATCACTACTTTTCGCTCCTCGTTGGTCACGTAACTCTGCCTCCCTACATTGATGCTGATTTTTGAACAGTTTCTGTCTTTTTCAGTTAAATAACACGCTGCTGTCATTTGCATGTATTTTGTGTCGCTGCTATTTTTTAAATAACCATTGCTGTAAAAATGTCCACAGCTCATATTGATTTTTTTTATTCTTCAGATACTGTAATTATATTGTAAAAACACTGTACAATACCGCATTGTTTTATTTTCCTATTTTTATACACTTTTCTAAGCTGCAAACCACTTGCAAACCTTTGATGCTGTAAACACCACAATTTCCCAATTGTGGGACATAAAATCCACTGCATAGTCCCCGCTGCATCTAGGGATGGAGGGGTTAGTGCGGACGTTCAGACACAGACATTCTCTTCACTTCTGGGGGCGGGGCTTTCCTCTGGGGTGAGGACCAAGATGCATTTCCACTAGTCTGCTGGACGTCGGTAAAACATTTTATTAGTCAAGACTGAGAGTTTGTATTGGGCTTGCAGTAAAGAAAATGTCTGAAACACAAAATTAAAAGAAGCAATTCCTAAAACTCATTCTTAAACACAGAAATCACCAAAAAAAAAAAACAGGAAAACACAAAATGAAAAAGATACAACAACTAAATCTGAGAACTTACTTTCGAAACCTTTGTTGATTAAGCAGTTTCATTTCTGGGTTGCTTCTTTTTTTTCTAAATTTCCATCTAAAAAAATGTGTTCTGTGCCTGAAGCAATAATAGAACAAAATGTCCTCCTGCTGACTGGAGAGATGTGAGCGTTTAGTTCAGGAACTTTGGCCAGTTCTGAGGTTTTACATCTGAATGAAATATTTTGCTGTCTTTGCCGTCTATAACGGTATTTCTAACACGTGGAAACAAACATAGATTAGAGAATGACTTTTTTTCCCCTCAAACCTGTTATTTTTCCTCACAATATATTATAAAGTTTAGCTTTAAATAAAAATTCAACTAAGATGAAATATTGTGCTTGTATGTGAAGAGTATGCGGCCTTCAGATCAATATTAGACTCAAACATGGTAACCCTACCAGCACTACTTTGTTAGTTTCTGCTAAGGAGCAAAAAGTTCAACTGCTCTGTCCTGAAAAGGGAAATGAAACTGAGCCTGACATAAAAAAAAAAACATGTTGAAATTTAAGCCGACATCAGTAGAAAATACTGCTGCATATTGGTCTGCTGGCAATATAGATATATATTTCTGGAAGACGTTCTCCAAACACAAAGCAAATATTTCTTCTAAATTATTTATATTTAAGGTGACTTATTGGTCTTCCAGCCTGTTGAGTCAAAACTCACGTGATTTCCCCTGAACTCCCCGCAGTCTGTCAACACCTGGGGCCGTCCAGGCAGCTGGGTCTGTGCCACGGAGACCAGGTAGGCGGCCAGGGCGAGCATGGCGAGTACGCCCAGGCAGATGAGGAAGATGCAGCGTTTGGACAGCACTAGGAAGGGGCTGATGTAGTGTCTGTGACGGACATACTGAACTTCCTCCTCCTCATCGTCATCCTGAACCAGGTAGCGGAACTCCGTCCTCTCTGGGACCTCAAACGCATCCTCATCCATCTTTGCTCTGGAGGAAATAAACACATCTTATCACCTTTTCTATTAAAAGAAAAGCGGGCGTGAATCACACCAATGAACCAGTAACCAATTCATTGAGTTCTTTAGAGGCAGGTTCAGTCATTTGCATTTACTATCAGGCTCCTTCTAAGCTGGTAAACATTGAGACATAAATCTGTGGGCGGAGCCTAGCTGGAGGCAGAAAGATTTTCCCGGCTCTAGAAAATGTGATTATGTCTGAATATGTCAGAATATTCACTTTCAGGGACGGTGAAAGTTAACTTGATCAAATGGAACCGGATCAATCGATCCAGACTCACTCACTCAATGGCTGGGTGGCCTGACTTTAACCTTTGACCTAGCTGGTTAAAAACGCAGTGAGGGCATCAGAGGGATAATCATAGAGAATATAGAGAAACCGAGGGTAATCCAAAGCCCTGCCCAGCTGGGCCAAAGCCAGATAACATGTGGAAGGTTTCGCTCATTTTAAACCAAAGAGTAAATTTGATGTTTAACTGTACTTGATTGGCTGGTTGACTTTATTCAAACTAAATTAAACAAACACGTTATTTCCCTAAACCTTCCTGGTATAAAATGTGCTCTTGATACATGAACATGTTTTATAACAGTTTCTGACGTGTTCCTTCATTTTACAGCATTTAACCAATACCTTCATAGTTTTTTATTATCTTTTGGCAGCAAGTCAGCGGCAACATTTCAAGCTCTGTACTCAACTAGAAACCATTCTACTCTCCTTCTCTAGCCGACACTGCTGGTTCCCCCCCTGTGCTGGTTCCCCCCTGTGCTGGTTCCCCCCTGTGCTGGTTCCCCCCTGTGCTGGTTCCACCCTATGCTGGTTCCCCCCTGTGCTGGTTCCCCCCTTGTGCTGCTTCCACCCTGTGCTGGTTCCCCCCTGTGCTGGTTCCCCCCTGTGTCTGGTTCCACCCTGTGTCTGGTTCCACCCTGTGCTGGTTCCCCCCTGTGCTGGTTCCCCCCTGTGTCTGGTTCCACCCTGTGTCTGGTTCCACCCTGTGTCTGGTTCCACCCTGTGTCTGGTTCCACCCTGTGCTGGTTCCCCCCTGTGTCTGGTTCCAACCCATGCTGGTTCCCCCCCTGTGCAGGTTCCCCCCTATGTCTGGTTCCACCCTGTGCTGTTTCTCCCCCTGTACTTCCCCCCCCCCCATGCAGGTTCCCCCCTGTGCTGGTTCCCCCCCTTCGCAGGTCCCTCCTGTGCTGGTTCCACCCTTTGTTGGTTCCTCCCTGTGCTGGTCCTGCCTGTGCAGATTCCCCCTTGTGCAGATTCCCCCTTGTGCTGGTTCCACCCTGTGCAGGTTCCCCCCTGTGTCTGGTTCCACCCTGTGTCTGGTTCCACCCTGTGCTGGTTCCCCCCTGTGCTGGTTCCCCCCTGTGTCTGGTTCCACCCTGTGTCTGGTTCCACCCTGTGCTGGTTCCACCCTGTGCTGGTTCCCCCCTGTGCAGGTTCCCCCCTGTGTCTGGTTCCACCCTGTGTCTGGTTCCACCCTGTGCTGGTTCCCCCCTGTGTCTGGTTCCCCCTGTGCTGGTTCCACCCTGTGCTGGTTCCCCCCTGTGCTGGTTCCACCCTGTGCAGGTTCCCCCCTGTGTCTGGTTCCACCCTGTGTCTGGTTCCACCCTGTGCTGGTTCCCCCCTGTGCTGGTTCCCCCCTGTGTCTGGTTCCACCCTGTGTCTGGTTCCACCCTGTGCTGGTTCCACCCTGTGCTGGTTCCCCCCTGTGCAGGTTCCCCCCTGTGTCTGGTTCCACCCTGTGTCTGGTTCCACCCTGTGCTGGTTCCCCCCTGTGCTGGTTCCACCCTGTGTCTGGTTCCACCCTGTGCTGGTTCCACCCTGTGCTGGTTCCCCCCTGTGCAGGTTCCCCCCTGTGTCTGGTTCCACCCTGTGTCTGGTTCCACCCTGTGCTGGTTCCCCCCTGTGCTGGTTCCCCCCTTGTGCTGCTTCCACCCTGTGCTGGTTCCCCCCTGTGCTGGTTCCCCCCTGTGTCTGGTTCCACCCTGTGTCTGGTTCCACCCTGTGCTGGTTCCCCCCTGTGCTGGTTCCCCCCTGTGTCTGGTTCCACCCTGTGTCTGGTTCCACCCTGTGTCTGGTTCCACCCTGTGTCTGGTTCCACCCTGTGCTGGTTCCCCCCTGTGTCTGGTTCCAACCCATGCTGGTTCCCCCCTGTGCAGGTTCCCCCCTATGTCTGGTTCCACCCTGTGCTGTTTCTCCCCCTGTACTTCCCCCCCCCCATGCAGGTTCCCCCCTGTGCTGGTTCCCCCCCTTCGCAGGTCCCTCCTGTGCTGGTTCCACCCTTTGTTGGTTCCTCCCTGTGCTGGTCCTGCCTGTGCAGATTCCCCCTTGTGCAGATTCCCCCTTGTGCTGGTTCCACCCTGTGCAGGTTCCCCCCTGTGTCTGGTTCCACCCTGTGTCTGGTTCCACCCTGTGCTGGTTCCCCCCTGTGCTGGTTCCCCCCTGTGTCTGGTTCCACCCTGTGTCTGGTTCCACCCTGTGCTGGTTCCACCCTGTGCTGGTTCCCCCCTGTGCAGGTTCCCCCCTGTGTCTGGTTCCACCCTGTGTCTGGTTCCACCCTGTGCTGGTTCCCCCCTGTGTCTGGTTCCCCCTGTGCTGGTTCCACCCTGTGCTGGTTCCCCCCTGTGCTGGTTCCACCCTGTACAGGTTCCCCCCTGTGTCTGGTTCCACCCTGTGTCTGGTTCCACCCTGTGCTGGTTCCCCCCTGTGCTGGTTCCCCCCTGTGTCTGGTTCCACCCTGTGTCTGGTTCCACCCTGTGCTGGTTCCACCCTGTGCTGGTTTCCCCCTGTGCAGGTTCCCCCCTGTGTCTGGTTCCACCCTGTGTCTGGTTCCACCCTGTGCTGGTTCCCCCCTGTGCTGGTTCCCCCCTGTGTCTGGTTCCACCCTGTGCAGGTTCCCCCCTGTATCTGGTTCCACCCTGTGTCTGGTTCCACCCTGTGCTGGTTCCCCCCTGTGCTGGTTCCCCCCTGTGTCTGGTTCCACCCTGTGTCTGGTTCCACCCTGTGCTGGTTCCACTCTGTGCTGGTTCCCCCCTGTGCAGGTTCCCCCCTGTGTCTGGTTCCACCCTGTGTCTGGTTCCACCCTGTGCTGGTTCCCCCCTGTGCTGGTTCCCCCCTGTGTCTGGTTCCACCCTGTGCTGGTTCCCCCCTGTGCTGGTTCCCCCCTGTGCTGGTTCCCCCCTGTGTCTGGTTCCACCCTGTGCTGGTTCCCCCCTGTGCTGGTTCCCCCCTGTGCTGGTTCCCCCCTGTGTCTGGTTCCCCCCTGTGTCTGGTTCCAACCTGTGCTGGTTCCCCCCTGTGCAGGTTCCCCCCTATGTCTGGTTCCACCCTGTGCTGTTTCTCCCCCTGTAACCACCGTGCAGGTTCCCCCCTGTGCTGGTTCCCCCCCTTCGCAGGTCCCCCCTGTGCTGGTTCCACCCTTTGTTGGTTCCTCCCTGTGCTGGTCCTGCCTGTGCAGATTCCCCCTTGTGCAGATTCCCCCTTGTGCTGGTTCCACCCTGTGTCTGGTTCCACCCTGTGCTGGTTCCCCCCTGTGCTGGTTCCCCCCTGTGTCTGGTTTCACCCTGTGTCTGGTTCCACGCTGTGCTGGTTCCCCCCTGTGCTGGTTCCCCCCTGTGTCTGGTTCCACCCTGTGTCTGGTTCCACCCTGTGCTGGTTCCCCCCTGTGCTGGTTCCCCCCTGTGTCTGGTTCCACCCTGTGTCTGGTTCCCCCCTGTGCTGGTTCCCCCCTGTGTCTGGTTCCACGCTGTGCTGGTTCCCCCCTGTGCTGGTTCCCCCCTGTGTCTGGTTCCACCCTGTGTCTGGTTCCACGCTGTGCTGGTTCCCCCCTGTGCTGGTTCCCCCCTGTGTCTGGTTCCACCCTGTGTCTGGTTCCACCCTGTGCTGGTTCCAGCCTGTGCTGGTTCCCCCCTGTGCTGGTTCCACCCTTTGTTGGTTCCTCCCTGTGCTGGTTCCCCCCTGTGTCTGGTTTCACCCTGTGTCTGGTTCCACCCTGTGCTGGTTCCCCCCTGTGCTGGTTTCCCCCTGTGTCTGGTTCCACCCTTTGTTGGTTCCTCCCTGTGCTGGTCCTGCCTGTGCAGATTCCCCCTTGTGCAGATTCCCCCTTGTGCTGGTTCCACCCTGTGCAGGTTCCACCCTGTGTCTGGTTCCCCCCTGTGTCTGGTTCCCCCCTTGTGCTGGTTCCTTTAACATTAAAGGGAATAAATGACCCAGCTTCTCTTGAACCTTTAACACCTAATCATTTGTTTCAAATGAAATCTGAGTCTGCCTTGCCTCCTGCAGGAACATTTGTGAGGGAAGATATTTATTCCTCAAAACGTTGGCGCCGGGTACAGTTTCTGGTCGAACAGTTTTGGAGTCGATGGAAGAGGGAATACCTCCAGAATATTTCCATTAGACAAAAGTGGCATGTAATTCGGCGCAATATAAAGGTAAATGATGTTGTAATAGTCAAAGAAGATTTTCTCCCAAGAAATAGGTGGCTATTGGGTCGTGTTGTGGAAACGATGGTTGATGGTGATGGTTTGGTTCGAAGAGTGAAGGTGAGAACAGGAGAACAGAGATCTGGAAGGGATATTATCTCAAAGAGCTCAGTAATAGAAAGACCGGTGCAAAAATTGGTAGTGTTATTAGAAAGTGACATTTAAACGTAATGTACACAGACGAATATGTTTAAATGATCTGCATGGTTTAAAATAATGCATGATTGTGGGGTAATAGTTCATGCATTATTGGTGGGAGTGTAATGGGTAGTTAACAATTAAAATTAAGTTTCTTTAACTATTTAAACTTGTAACTATTTATATTTAACTATTTATAGGATATATTTATTGTAAATTATTTATATTTAACTATTTATAGGATATAGTTATTGTAAATTATTTATAGGATTGCAGATTGTTTGATTATATTTGTCTGTTTTGATTACCACTGTTTTGTATTGTGTTTTGTTTATTGTAATCGCATGTTTTAAAATTTTCTTTGTTATGTACCTCCCGGGCTGCCGCAGCTTAATGAGGACAGGCCCTATAAAGGCCGCTGTATCAATGTATGCCGACAATAACCCTCAGAGCCGTGCTTGCATTGTGATTCTTAGCGTTCCCTGGTGAAAGCAGCGAGGTACGTTTTATTTCGTTTGTGTGTTGTAAGTTTATGTTTATATTCTAATATTTGTATTTGTTTAGTTTTCACGGTGACATTGATGACTGAGATGATCCGCATCAAAGAAAATAAACATTGAAAATCACCTGTCGAGACCGCTGAAATTTCATTCACTGCTGGGGAGCTGCTACACACCCTTTGTTGGTTCCTCCCTGTGCTGGTCCTGCCTGTGCAGATTCCCCCTTGTGCTGGTTCCACCCTGTGTAGGTTCCCCCCTGTGCAGGTTCCCCCCTATGTCTGGTTCCACCCTGTGCTGTTTCTCCCCCTGTACTTCCCCCACCGTACAGGTTCCCCCCTGTGCAGGTTCCCCCCTATGTCTGGTTCCACCCTGTGCTGTTTCTCCCCCTGTACTTCCCCCACCGTACAGGTCCCCCCTGTGCAGGTTCCACCCTTTGTTGGTTCCCCCCTGTGCAGATTCCCCCTTGTGCTGGTTCCACCCTGTGCAGGTTCCCCCCTGTGTCTGGTTCCACCCTGTGCTGGTTCCACCCTGTGCAGGTCCCCCCTTGTGCTGGTTCCCCCCGGTGTCTGGTTCCACCCTATGTATGGTTCCACCCTGTGTCTGGTTCCCCCCTGTGCTGGTTCCCTTGACATCATGTACAGTAATAATACAATCATGATACATATGTGATTGTTTTGCAACCCTAATTTTCAAAATATTCTTTTGTGGAGCTGCAGAAATAATGAGGAGTCTGTTTGGGCTTTAATGACTGAAACAGAAACTGATGATTTTTAATTTTGGGGAATTTCTGGGTATTTATTGTTTAAAAGGAAGCCAGACAGGAAATAGAAGCTGTTCTCCTCTAAAAACTAAATTACTTCCAATCAGCGCAGCAAGATAAAAAGCAACACATCTTTTCATGCTTCTGGAGTTATTTCTGTGAATAAACTCGCAGTCAGCTCCTTATTTGGGATAAATCACTGCTTAGAAGCAGCTGAGAGCTGGTTTAAGACTTTTGCACAGTGCTGGACCGTTAGCCTGACCCAGTCTGCTGATCTTACATTAAAATCAGTGGATATTTTTCAGTAAGTGTTGAGTACAAAGGTCAGATTTTAGGATAAAATGATCAGAGTTCAACCAGAAGTGTTTGCATTAACTAACCGATAGAGGAAAACTTAAAACAATAAGCGGAGAAACTGGGTGGAGAACACATGCCATGACAGACTCCAACCAGTAGAACCAGTACGACACAAGAAATAACCCATACTGGTGTAACCAGAACCAAAGAAAAACAATAAAATGGTCAAATGTAAGGGAAAAAAACTAATGCAGAATCGCCTTTACTTCATTATGCGTTAAAAAAAAATGAATATATATATATTCGCTAAAGTGGAAAAAAACCCATAAATATGGACTTCAATAAGGAAAAGTTTATTAGTGAATAGTTAGAAGAGCAGAAACAGTCCAGTAAACATTTGTGACAGTTAATAAATACTCATTTATCTCCTATAAACTGATTTCCTGTCGCTCTTATAAAACCGCATTCCTCTTAAATTTCACGTTAAAAAACCTTTTTTACTTATAGAAAAGATGAAAAGTCAAGTTTAGTAACTTACCATGTCCTAAAAACTCGAATCTTTAAAAAAGTTTAGCTCTAAAAACTTGACGCATGTAGTTCTGAACTGCGCGAGTGCGCATGCGCAGAGGTTTCCCTTTATAAGGGCATTTAAAGGGACAGTACCCTCAGAAGTAACATGAATCTGACAACTGGGAGTAAACAAACCCAAAAAACATTTATAAGGGGACACATTGCATAAAGACATCAGATCTGAAACCACTTTTTTCATTTCTTGATAAAATCTAACAGAATATAAGGTACAGTTCATGAGTTTGATGTAAGATTTAGCTGGAATGTTACAGGCAGTTAATATATAACCTGCAGTAGATAACGACTCAACTACCTGTGGTTTAATATAAATCTATTTAAGTTGCTATTTTAAGTAATTTAACATCAGCAAACTTTGCATTTTATTTCTTTACGGAAATAGTTATTGTTTGAACAGTGACATGGATGAAGGAGGCAGCGAGCCTCCGGTGTGAGGCATGAAAGGAAAAGTAAACTCCTTAAAGAACATTAAGGGGGAGTAAAAAGTAATCTAGCCAAAATTATGTGCTGTAATATTTTTGTTTTAGGGTCGCTGACCTAAAATGTTTTGCATGTTCTGTCAATTATTCAAAAAAATATAGCATATAAAAACATAGATATAAAGTAGCTAAAGATGTTTTTTTTATTTGTCCTTACTGTTAAGGTTAGATATAACAATATTGTATGCACTAAACATCTCCCAAATCTCTGTTTGTTAAATAAACAGGACGATTATTAGTTAAGCAATTAAAAACCACAATAGAAATACATCATCCTTTGTCATTTTGATGAGAAAAAGTTGGAAAAACAAACATAGGGAATGTAAATTCTTTTGGAGGTGTGACAGAGCCTGGGCACAGGACAGACAACCATGCAGAGACAGACTGTAACCTGGCAGTCAGCTGGGGATGAACGTTAAACTTACATGGATGTTTTATTAACCACTGGAGGACACATCTGGATCGAGTCACTGGCAAGAAATGATATGAATGAACAAACCTGAACAAGCTTTCTGATGCTCACTTGTAGTGCAGCTGATATATGGGGTCCCTGTATGGAACAAAGGTTCAAAGCAGTAAGAACACATGGCTTCAGAATTTAGGAAACAAATGTCAGTTTTAGCTCTTATTCTGGGATAACTTGAGTATTTTAAAATTGTAATAGACATTAGACCTCTTTTCTAATTCATAAATCTAAAACACCAACAAAATTTAAAAGAGGTAATTGTTGCTGTTAGGTCGGCAATGACCTCCTGCACTGAATTATGCATTATATTCACGGATTCTTCAAAGCATGATTTTGATCTGTGAAACCTTCTCTTTATATGCAAAAAAAAAAAAAAAAAAATACAAGAAAAGAAAAGAAGGACAGGGTCACCAGGTGATCCTGCTGGGACCTTCTCTGATTAACACCTATGATGGAGTCATTCATCAGACTCCAGGTGTGTTCTGGTCCAGAGCGAAGTCTGCTTCACTTTGTGAGGATCAGCATCTTTCCTGCAGTTTTTTCCCACATCTTCTTTAACAGCCTCCCTCCGCCGCTCTGTCAGTTATTTAACACAGTCATTGAGCTGCATCCTTACCGAGGCGATGGATGGAGGCAGGCATGTAACCGCAGAGTTACCACAAACCACATTATAGTAAAATCCATTCAGATCAATGCTGCAGACCGGCCTTGTCGTTCTGCTTAAAAGCCCTCAGTAATCCTTTGATTAGAGGAATTGATGATGGTCCCCGAGGGGCCAAGCTGCTTTTTGCCAACTCAGCTGATCAGAGCATCGATTCACTGAGAACCAAACTCGCATCAATCGGTTAATCCAGGGGAACCAAAGTCCAGTCCTGCAGATCTACTGTTGCTCCAAACAGCCCTGAATCGAATAATCTGCAGTCGGTCGCTTCGCTCTGCAGAGACTTGGTAGCTGGTCATCCATCTGAACCCGAAGTGTTTCAGATACGATTCAACTATAGGTTGTAGGAAACTATGGAGGGCTGAATTCAACTGAATTCACTATCACACTTCTGTTACTCTTTTTTTTTTACATTTTGTACTTTTTTTCTAACATTTCGTAGCTAAATGTGAAATCTAAATCATGTATTTATGTATATTATTGCATTTAATAAATAAATAAATAAATAAATAAATATATATATATATATATATATATATATATATATATATATATATATATATATATATATATATATATATATATATATATATATATATATATATATATATATATAATTATTATTAGATTTAATATAATGTTAAAATTTTATGCAATTTGCTTTGTGTCCACGGGCATTGCTGTTTGTTTTTTTTGTGAAAAGATGATCCTCTATGCAAGTGGTCACCCTCTTATGTTCTATAAAAACATAATAAATATAAGAAAATAATAACATAATAATAACATAATGTCAACATTTATATGTTGGATCTATTTCTACATTCTATATCTATATATACATTTTATATTCATATGCAAATCTTGAACCTACAGAAATGTATTGCATTCACCCCTTATGCTGTGCTGCATTAAAAAAAAAAAATCTGACAGTCTTTTCTCATAATTACAAGATAAGATCTCATAATTGCGAGATACCGAATTTGGAATTATGAGATCCTGATCTCAATATTATGAAATCTTATCTAATTACAAAATAAGATGTCATAATTATGAGATAATATTTCATATTTAGGAGATCAGGAAGGACAGTCAATGTTGAGCTATGCTACATGAAGCGTCAACAATGAGTGGGTTGTCAGATTTAATATGCTTTATTTCCTTTTAGGCATGCAACACTGGAAAATACTGAGATTCCTCAATGTGGATGGATTCAGTTTTAGTTTGTCAGCATTGCGCAGTAAGTCTTTACAATTGTTCCACCCTGACTAGTTTAAAATCACACTGCTCCTGCAGGAGCAATTAAACCAGCACAGGATGCTTTATGGTTATAAATTAATTCATCTGAAATCCATTCCAGCTGGCATGGTGGAGTCCCAAATAAATGTCCGCCGGTACCTTCTCAAAGTCCTAGATCCACAAGGAACACAGCTGAGGGTTCAGAATCATTTAAAACGACCAGGTGCCAAAGTCAAAACTAAAACCATACGGAATCTGTATTAATGGAGCCGTTGATGGATTTTCATGCATGGTCACATGGCTGCATGCTTACTGCACAAGGAGTAATCCCAGGGTTATAGCTGGGTACTTTATTGATGAAGTGGAAAATGGGAGCGGAGCACCAATGAGTATCAGGTCAGACCTGCAGAGAACTCTTCACTGGAACTGATGCAGATATTCTGAAGAAGTAATCATGAAAACCAGTTTTCTGAGAGACGCTTCATTACTGGCTCAAGCAATCATGACCAAATATATAGACAAGATCTCATAATTATGAGATTGTATCTTGTAATTATGAGAAAAGATCTCATAATTACAAGATATCTCATAGTTATGAAATACTGATCAAATAACCTTATTGAGATAAACTGTCTGCTTTCTTTTTTCTTTGGTGAATGGACCTATATCTACGAATATATCTTATATAGAAATAAATTAAACACATTAATTTAGATGTAGACTGAGCTTCTTTGCTTGGTTTGGAGAATCCCAGCGGCCCTCCCCTGTCCCTGCCCTGTCCCCTCCCCCACCCAGCGCTGACACCCTCCCACTCACTGTCCAGGAGCTCAACGTCAGGAAGGTGCTCCTTGCAGTGAACCCCAGGAAGGCCGCAGGCCCAGACGGAGTCCCTGGCAAGGTGCTAAAAGCATGCGCGGGCGAGCTCGCCCTGACCTTCACCAGGCTCTTCAACCTGTCCTTGGCCCAAGCCACCGTTCCGTCCCGCCTGAAAACCTCCACCATCATCCCGGTGCCGAAGAAGTCTGCCATCACCAGCCTGAATGATTACCGCCCAGTGGCCCTCACTCCGGTAATCATGAAATGCTTTGAGAAGCTGGTTCTTCAGCACATCAAGGACTGTCTCCCCCCACACCTGGATCCCCAACAGTTTGCATACCGGGCCAACCGTTCCACAGAGGACGCCGTTGCCATGGCTCTCCACTCTGCTGTGAACCACCTGGAGCAGCAGCAGAGCTACGTCCGGATGCTCTTTGTGGATTACAGCTCGGCCTTTAACACCATCCTCCCGGACAGACTCATCATCAAACTGGGCTCCCTTGGACCCCCCCCTCTCACATGTGCCTGGATTAACAACTTCCTGACCGACCGACCCCAGGCTGTGAAAGTTGGCCCCCACCTCTCCTCCACCCGCACGCTGAGCATCGGCTCCCCACAGGGCTGTGTGCTGAGCCCCCTCCTCTTCTGCCTCTACACCCACGATTGCAGACCGATCCACAACCACAACCGGATCATCAAGTACGCCGACGATACCGCTGTGGTCGGTCTCATCTCCAGGGGCGACGAGGCCGCCTACAGAGAGGAGGTCCTGAAGCTGGCTGATTGGTGCTCAGAGAACAATCTGACTCTGAACACCAAGAAAACCAACGAGCTCATCATAGACTTCAGGAGGCACAGCCCTGAGCCAGCTCCCCTCTTCATCAACGGCGAGCAGGTGGAGAGGGTTCACAGCGTCAAATACCTCGGCGTCCACATCTCTGACCGCATCACCTGGTCAGAGAACATCACCACCATCATCAAGAAGGCCCGGCAAAGGTTACACTTCCTGAGAATCCTCAGAAGGTATAACCTCAACTCCGATCTGCTGCTGGCCTTCTACCGCTCCTCCATCGAGAGCTTGCTGACCTACTGCATCATAGTATGGTTCGGCAGCTCCACTGCTGCCGACAGGGAGAGGCTGCAGAGGGTGATAAAGGCGGCGCAGAGGATTATCGGTCGCCCTCTCCCTTCCCTGGCAGACATTAACTCCACCCGGTGCCTCAGCAGAGCCAGGGCCATCTCCAAGGACAGCTCCCACCCTGGCTCCACCCTGTTTGACCTGTTGCCCTCTGGAAGGCGCAACAGGCAAATGAGGATCAGGACAAACAGACTCAAGAACAGTTTCTTCCCCCGAGCCATTGCCCCCCCTCAACTCCGACCTGCACTG